TATTAAGAAGTACTCCAAGGACACGATCAGAGTAGAGCGCGGAGTTATTCCCGAGTCGCTGGAGATCGATGAGCTGAAAGTCAACGATCAGTCTTCCTACCCAGTTACCGTAAAGTTGCGTCACCTCACCGACGAAGAGGCCACGCCTAAACAGCAGATTAGCGGAAGCAAGATCTCAGACGGTCTCTTCAGGAGCAATCTAATGCACGAGGACGATGAGGACGATTTGATTCGGAAGAGCAACTCACGAATGGGAACAGGCGAAGTAGTCCACGCGAAGTACGTCATAGGATGTGACGGTGCACGCAGCTGGACTCGCCGTACCTTGGGCTTTGAGTTACAGGGTGAGGCGACTGATTTTATCTGGGGCGTCCTTGACATTATACCTATTACTGATTTTCGTAAGTGCTCGACGTAAATTCTAACCCCCTACTAGACCTAAGTTACGCGCTTTAACACGCTTGACTTAGCTGATATCCGAATGCGATGTGCCATCCATTCGGCCGAGAATGGCAGCTTGATGGTAATCCCTCGCGAAAATAAATTGGTCCGACTTTATATCCAGTTGAAGGAGGTAACTCCGGACGCTTCCGGCCGCGCAGATAGGTCTAAGATCACTCCCAAAATCATTTTCGATGCCGCCAGAAAGATTCTTAACCCCTATAAAATTGACTATGAATACTGCGAGTGGTGGACTGCATACCAGGTATGGTTAATACCCTCCCACGTACGGCTTAATATCGCACTGGGTACACGTATTGATGCTTCGTAGATCGGACAAAGAGTCGGCACACAATTTGACGCTCATGAGCGCGTCTTCCTTGCCGGAGATGCCGTTCACACACATTCTCCGAAAGCCGGCCAGGGTATGAATATTTCTATGCACGACACTTATAATCTTGGCTGGAAAGTAGCCTTGGTCGCGAAAGGTATCGCCAAGCCGAGTATTTTGAGCACCTACCAAACTGAGCGGCGCGCCATTGCTCGTGAACTCATTGACTTTGACCATCGCTTTAGCAGGCTATTCTCGGGAAGACCAGCTAAGGATGGCATAGACGCTGAAGGTATTAGTATGGATGAGTTCAAGGAGACCTTTCAGAAAGGTAACTTGTTCGCATCCGGCCTGATTGTCAACTATGGGCCTAGTAACCTTGTGGCGAAGGCCGTGGATGAACCAGAAAAGGGTGAGCTAAGCGGTTCGACCCCTACAAGCATCTCGGCCAATACCTTCGCAAAGAAGCAGGCTCTGGCTACAGGCATCCCTGTTGGGATGCGCTTCAATAGCTTCAAGGTAGTTAACCAGTCCGATGCCCGACCTTGGCACTTTCAGGAGAAGCTCAAGTCCGATGGTCGATTCCGCGTGATCCTTTTTGCAGGAAATATTTTGAACCCCCTGCAGAAGAACCGCGTAGAACAGTTCTGCGAGGCTCTCGGTGCGCCAAATAGCTTTTTCCGTACTTTCAACCCTACTAGCCCACCATTGGATACGGTAATCGAATTGTTGACAATCCACTCCGCGAAGAGGACTGAAACAGATTTGATAAGAGACTTCCCTGAGATTCTTCATCCTTTCAATCCGCATACTGGGTGGGACTATGATAAAGTGTTTGTGGACGACTCAAGCTACCACGAGGGCGTCGGAGACGCTTATATAAACTACGGAGTAGACAAGGAGCGAGGATGCGTCGTGGTGACCAGGCCCGACCAGTACGTCGGTTGGGTCGGTGATCTTGAGGACTTTGATGACCTGCAGAAATATTTTGAGGGATGTCTTCTGCTTAGTGCTCACGCATGACTATTGACATCTTTACGTATTGATATATCGCATATCATAGACGCGAGTTGGCCTGAACATCCATAAATACGGTTGCGCGGGGAGATAGGTGATCATTACTTACATACATCTTAACATACCTAAGTACCGTGATAGACTACTCTGATATTAGTTACCCAAATTAATCTGGCCTGGCTAGCTCAGTAGCTAATAAATTTCCTTCATATATGTTCAATACACAAACTTGACATATAGCTCGTCGTAGTTTTGGCGCTGATCGTCCGTCATCTGTGCGCGAGTTTTATCCCGCCTCCCATTGCTAAAGATCAACAGTGCAAAGATAACACATGTTAGCACGAAACCTAATACCGTGAAGGCGAGACCTGTGGCAAAACCAGTGGGATAATGCGGACGCTCGGTAGTGATAAAGACGTTTGAGCTAATGAAATTGGCACAATTGCCAAACCCGCACATCCAGGCCATGCCGACGGCAAGATACTTGCGACCGCGCAAGTTGGCACTGAGCCATCCCATTAAGATAGACATCTGCGGGAAAGTTCCGGCTGCCATGAAGAAAAGCGCGAGATACCGCACCCCAGCTTCCGGAACATAAGCCACCATGATACTCCATCCGATGGCCTGTAAGCAAATACAAATAAGAAGGAAAGGCACACGTCTATCGAGACGTGAGGTAATCCAAGTAATAGCGAAAGTAAAGACAATACCAGTCGCCCATACGGGCATCGTCATGAGTTGTGCAGTAGTTGCCATCCAACCAAGCTCGGTGAGAATTGTCGGCGAGAAAGAAGCTATCGAGGACGCCGTTACGTCGGCGCAGAAAAAAGACAGTGTTAGTAAATGGATTCTCCAATCAACAAGGACCTTCCAAATAGGAACACTGTCCACAGCTGAGCCCTTAGCTTCAGCGCCGCGAGATGCCTCGAGAAGATACACGAGATGATCGCGCTCCTGAGTTGACAGAAACCAAGATTGCGCATCCTGAGGGAAATTGGGACATAGCCATACAACGAAAACGGAGACGAAGCATGTCATTAGCCCTTCGACGATGAATATCCACCGCCAGCCCTCATAACCTCCAACGCCGTCGAGATTCTGAAGAGCATAAGCCAGGAGTCCCGAGAATAACGGCCCAGCGAGAGCGAAATTGAAAAACCAGGCAAAGCACACAGCCGCCTCGCGTCTTGTGTAGTACATCGAGATCATATAAGTCGCACCGGCAGGAAGAGCGGCTTCAAAGACGCCCATTAGGAAACGGACAGTGAGCAGCCCACCATAACTCCTAGTTAGACCCTGACACACACCGAGGACGCCTACATGTCTGTTAACATCAAAGGTAACGGGAAGCCGAACCTAGGTAAGCATAAGGCAAGTGGCAGCTAACCTAAGAGGAACATCTGTCCACCAAGGAAGATACCGGGGCGTATCTTGTTCAGATTCAGAAACAAGTTCGCTGGGACCTCGGCCAGTACGAAAGGAACATAGGAGATCCATAGCGCCGTATTGTATCCATCGGATGGCATATTCAGCGCCATTTCCAACCCGTTCGGCTGTCCAATACCCAGACTTCGCGCATTTGCGATATTCGTCCGATCCAAGAATAGCAGCATATATAGGATCCCCATAATTGGTATGATTAATACATCCCGCTTCCACCGAACTGCACGTTCCAGCTTGCGTACTTCTTCCGTAGTGAGGATACCGGCCTCCCTGTCCGTTGGATTGTCTCTCTTCTCCTCCAGCTTCTGGTCATCCCGCGGGGCAGGCGCAGAAGTTACGGCCATAGTCGCGATCTTACGATGACGCCTCGATCCGAGGGACGAAGCCGAGTAGAATAACGACCTAGTGGCCTTATAAAGTTGATATGGATATTAAGGGACTGGAATGGGGTATGAATAAAAAAGAATAGACGCGGGTGACATCGCCATGTTTCTATTCTATGTATAGGTAGGTAAGTAAAGACAGAGAGATCAGCCTCGATGCGAAATGCAACCATCCGCACGACATATACGTTAAGCACGTGTAACTTACGTGCAGGACGACTCGTCCGAGCGCGATCGGCGTTTAATATGTGTCTAACGCAGCACGTCTAGCCGACGAGGTTATACGATAAGTATTAATTAAGCACTGACCGACCCTATAATTAATTGATTCAAGCTGTTCCTTCGTCTCTTACGCGTTCAGATATGATAGAAATGTTTCCACTGGTTATGGTTATCATTGGCCGTTCGAAGGAAGTTGTTTTGCCAGAGTTCAATAAGAGGTAAGGATCGTATTCGTATATACATAAGGCGCGGTATCCTTATCCTGGCAGCCCTGAACATGGAACCGGTCTGTCACATGACAGTGTCCCACTAGACCCACACATGTTACCCTATGTATTCTCATCCCCCACATCTTAGATATTCCTCTAGAATACTTCCTAATACAACTTCCATTAGATTGATGAACCATACTACAACACGGTCATCCCGCTGGCCCGGTAGCGTACCTGAACCATCAGCACTTTCTCAGTGGGGGCCAGATTTATAAAAGCTGCTCTCCATCAGAACTCACTTATTTCCCCAAGGTATCCCGGTAGTGTGCTGTAGCCCTAGTTATTAGCGAGTGTTCCTTTTCGAAAAGCCAAGATTCTAGACCAGCTCGACAATAGAAAACGGTTGGATATGCTTGGCAATCCATACATTTTCTGGTATTTCCAGCAGACATTCGATACAACCATACATGAATCACGATAGCCTGAAGATTTCACGTAAGAATTGTGATAAGTTAGGCAGTTGATAGACATTATAGACGTTACTTATATCCGATATGAATATTAGAGATACCTCGTGTTCATAAGTTAATCCAGCCGTATTTCCTAAAAATAGTACATTCATAACCTCTTACAATTAGGTACCGTCCGTTTTCTTGCTCAGCGAGCAGCAAGTCATCAGTGGCAATGATCTCCCCGGGCTCGGCTTATATTTACCATTCTTAGCTAAGAAGTCGGCATATTGAAATTACTTGAGCGATCCGTGCCGCACGTTTGCATCCGAACCAGCTACCCAAACCAACGGGTCGGGGATCTATATACTCTATCGGCCGAGTCTTAAAATATCAGGTAGGTACCTAGTTAACTACAGGTACCTAGATGTCCGCATTCCCTGAATAAGAATATGGTGTTTTTTTGCTGGGTTAGGTTCCTGATCTAACGTGCCATTTGCTCGCCGTGCCGCTACGCACACGCGAGCATACATAGATGCGGCACAGCACGATCTAGGGAACGCAGTTTGATATCTGATAGATCTATAGCTAGGTATCTGAGACGACAGTTACGTACACTGAATGGTGTCAGAAGCGCCTAAGCCCGCATGCCTCATAATTGATACGCTCTTAGCTGGGCCGCCATTCTGTAATAAGCCTGACCGTTCCCGTACCAACCTGTGGAAGTCATATTCAGCCTTTTTGATATCTGCTTCGAGATCATGCTGCCAAATCCAATGCAGCCTCTGGTTCGCATTTTCAACAATCTTATGCATATCGTCCTCGATCGTTGGAGCCTGCCATGTGTAAATCTGCCCGGCTTCGGCGCTCGTTTGAACCACTTTCTGCGCCCTCGGCCGTCTAATCGCGTCATATATCTGAAATGCGACCTCGATCTCATCGGAAGTCTTAACCAGAGCAAGTAGATGCGAGAGGACGGCAGCATCCTCTAATCCCTGCCCGGCTCCAGCAGCCTGGTGAGGACTGCAAGCATGCGCAACGTCACCTAATAAGCACACCCGCTCTTTGTAGAATGTTGATGTCTGGGGGTGATGCCACGTCGGCCACCTCAGAGGTCTAGCGTAGTCTAGGAGTTTTAGTAGTCTATGGTCAAACCCCTCTAGGTCTTCTAGCATCTCTTCCTTCGTACAAGGTACCGCGTTATCCCCAAAAGTCCAAGGGCAGGGCTTTGAGACGAAGAATACAAAGTTTTCTTCTCTGCCCTGCGAAATAGGATAGACGGCCATAGCTTTCCTTTTAGCCATGAAAAACTTGGCATCGCCGGCGTGGTTTCCCAAGATTTTCTTTGCCTCTTGCATTGGTATGATGCCCCTATAGATGTACATACCGCAGAACGTCGGTTGGACTTCTCCGGGCGCAAGGCCACCCAAAACGGTTCGGCGTGTAATCCCTTTCACTCCGTCGCAGCCCACAACTGCGTCTACTGCTTCTACTGTGCCATCCTGAAATCTTATGAAGACTTTACCGTCCAGTTGCTCAACCGAGTATGCTCGCTTCCCGAACTTGACGATCCCTTGAGGGATGAAGCTTGCCATGATATCCAACAAGTCTCGGCGGTGGGCACTACTTCGCGTGAAGTAAGGGGCGCCGATGAGGCCTCGGGTCCACCCCCGCTTTTCGCCGAAGCCTTCCTCGGCGTACAACGCATCAAAGACGCTATGCTCGAACTCCGGCTTCTCGTTTCGCGTTTTCACCTTTTCATATCTCTCTCGGAAACGCGGATCAATGACATCCATGGCATTCAAGGAGTTTGGTCCCAAGCCGATTCCAGCGCCTACCATTGAGAAGCCGTCCGCAGCTTCATAAATGGTAACTGGAACGTTGCGCTTTATCAGTCCAATAGCAAGGGCTAAACCACCTATACCAGCGCCAAGGATAGCAATAGTAGGAGAAGTCGGATTTAACAGTTCCATCATAGAATCCATTACCCTGTCTCTTTGCATCCTTGAATTTGGCCTAGCGGCAACGTTGAGGCAAGGATAAAGAGTACCTAAGGTAGCTAGTAAATCGCCAATGACTCTATTTTTAAATCACGATATGGGTGAACAGGTCAATCGGTTAGTGAGCCGCGATCACTTGCGAATGAAGTTAGAGTATCGCGGTCTTCTTTCATTTTTCTAATCACAGGGTGATGTGGTCTTCCCAATGAGATGTCATTTAGCAGTAGGACGCTTTCAGATTCGGGGCGAGCTCGGCTTCGACGGCAGACCATCTTTCCCAACTCGAGGAGCCAGGTTTTACACCGAAAAGAAACGTAGATCCGACCTGTCTCTCTAGCATCATGCTGTAAAAGGAAGAAAAAACACCATGAAGTTGCAGCAGAGAATATTTATCACATCCGAATTATACAGCAGTTTTGGAGCAGATGGAATATTGCGCCAAAAAAAAAAGCGCCTCGTAGCAGTTTTGGGCTATCCGCTCGGCCGATAAATACAGCCCTGTAAAGATGTACAGGGGTAATTACAAGACATGCCAGGTATGTAAATACAATACAACAGGCAACTAGTTCCGAGAATAATATATATCTTATAATGTCGAAGAGCCAGTAAGAATCTGCGGCAAGCGAGAAGTAGAGGAATGTAATAAGAGCACGCCTGTATTGCTCTGTTACGATACACATCCTATCATATCTCCTTACCAAGGCCAATGACAGGTCAGTGGCTTAAGCACTTGACGGATGCTTGGCTCGATATTACGAAACACGCGTATGCATAGAGACTAATGCCATGCAGTCATCGTGCTCATGTCGCACATAATGGACGTCCAATACATGTAGGTAGGTATGTGTGTTATAACTTATATCATGCAAGTTGCTTGCGGGGAAACCTACGACGTTACCGGAATTACATATGATTCTAGTCCCCGGATTTAAACGAGATGAGCCGGCTTTGGATTCGTCTAACACGTGTCTTTCTCTACCTACCTACTTACCTTGGTGATATTACTACTTCTAACCAGTAAATACACCGCCAATAATGATACCTATTCATAGCTTTACGAGCAGCTCGGGTAGACTACATTAGCGAAGGTACAATCCCCCATGTAAAGTAAAGTAAAGTAGGGCTGCTAGGATTTTGGATTTGGATTGGCATACCAGGTAGGTACATTGAAAACAGCTTAATTTTTTAGTCATTCGAATACTCCCCCTGCTACAGGGGGAATTTATCAAATCCGGGGTCCAGTATTTTGTGCACGGCTCATCATTGAGTAGCATTGATCTCTATCTGCCCACTTACAACTCAACATTCCCCGACCCTTTGGTCACGAACTCTCACTACTCTTCTCATATCTATACAAATCAACATCACAACAATATAGTTGTTTCAAAGACTTGCTTAATGGGTTGATGCTGTCGCTTCAGGTGACAACGAATAAGTCCCATAGTCATACCTAAGACATATCATGAAGGGGATGATACGACAAGTCTCCGACATAACGGACGACCATTCCTCCTATCATCAATTAACAATTACTGGAACATCTAAATTTCTTCACTCACCGAGGTCAGATTCATCGTAAAAAGATTATTTTCTTCGAGTCTAGAGTCATTCGTTCGCATTTACCCCTGTCGGACTTAGCGATCCGTCTCTACAACAAGTAGGTAGTTCTGCAGTAACTTTCCTGACAAGAATTATATGCGCCACTTCTGTCACCCCTAGCCACTAACTCTTGCTGACTTCCACTTCTAGCTCTAAGGGGAATCCGGAGCTATTGGGACGGAATAGAAACTGCCTTTCCCAGAGGTCGTGCGCAGGTGTTGGGATTTCCACAGTCCCAAGCTATTTCATACTTACCTTCCTCGTAGGCACACATATCCACTCCCATTTACCTACCTCATTCCAGAAACTGTCCAAGGCTTGATGGGAATATTGAAATTCGAATACGGATCGAGTTAAACTCGGAATTCTATTAAGCCGGTCTTATCGTGACTGTACACCCCTGGCTAGACTATCGAGCGTACATGTCTGCTACTGGGCTTCTACTTCGCATCTATACAGCCACGCTTATTTCCGACCCTATCATAACTGGTTTCTCTTAGGGAAGCTTTGCCGAAATCACTGTATACGACATTACTCTTTTTATTTTTCTTTTTTTTTCCTCGCCAGCGGTAGCAGATGTCTCAGATCGACCCCAGCGGGTCTTCTCCGGACACAGGCGGCGCTGGCCGAGGCATATCGCCAACCGCTTCGGCTCCGGACAAGTCGGTGGCACAGCGTAAATCTGCTAAGCGTGAGCGCGTCGCCCTAGCTTGCCAAAGGTGAGTCACATTGGGGACAATTCTAGCATACCATCGATTGCTGATTACCTCATTCTAAAGGTGTAAAACCAGGAAGCAAAAGGTAAGAATAAGCCATAATAACTTGCAGTATCATTTCGTCCTATTCTCTTAATAAGCCTCGTCTAACACTCTCTCGTCATAGTGTGACGGTCAGCGGCCGGCGTGTGCCTCGTGTGCCCGATTATCGTTAAAATGTGGTATGTTACTACCTTACACGTACGCTCATCCGCAATCTAATCCATCGTTAGTGTATATTGTCCCAGTTGTTCCAGCAGCGGGCGAGAAGAAGATTTATATCAGGGCCCTCGAGAATCGTGTCGCTGAGCTCGAAGCATATCTCACGTCGATTGGCCACCGTGATGTCGAAAATGGTCATCTAGGATGCTCGGGGCTCTCAACGTCGTCATCTCAAAATGCCACAGTGACACCAGTTAGTCAACACAACCAGGCGCCGACGCCAGTGCCTGAGCAATTCGCGCGGGATGATGAGGACGATTCCAATGATATCCTACTCGCTGTCAGGGACTTATCGCTTTCAGCATCTGGCCACTATATCGGGGCATCTTCAAATATCACCATAGGGCGGGTGCTGAGTTCGTTTGTACATAGCCAGAAATCCTCGATCTCGGCTTCCCATGAAGGGTCAATAGTACAGATTGAAAATGATCCAGCACCAAAATCCATCTACTCAACAACTGCGGGCGATATCATTGGTGTTCCTTTCCTAAGTCCTCAGGTCGCAGCGAGACTTCTTCATGGCTACTTCCGCCATATAGCTACAAGATACCCCGTGCTACATTCAACTCAGGTGGTGGAACTTCATAATAACAGGGATAATCTCACAGATGAATACGAACGAGCTATTCTACATCTTGTATATGCGGTGAGTGGGAGATGGCTAGAATCAGCTGGTGAAATGGGCCATTTTTTCAGTGACCACCATTATGACCTTGCTTTTGGAGAGTTGGAATCCATACTTCGTCTTCGCGACTCTCGGACTATTAATTACTTATTACTCATGGCGTTATATTGCACAAGAGCTCCCCGAGATCCTGGAGCCTGGACATACGTCGGAGCTGCTGTTAGATTGTGTATAGAACTAGGATTGCATCGACGACAACGAAGGCAACAGCCCAGCCTAGAGGGTGAAATGGACAAGCGCCGATTTTGGACGGCATATTTTCTTGATCGGGACATTTCAATCGCTGTTGGACGCCCACCCAGCATATCGGACCGCGATATCGACGCGGAATTACCCCTTGACATTAACGAGGACACCGTTAACGATGAGGTTATCCGTCAAGCTGCGACGCGTGTTAGCAATATCCCCGTCAACCCCCCTAATACACTAACATCTTTCATCCATCGGACAAGACTAAAACAAATCGAATCGGAAATCCAACATGATATTTACAGAGTTGATCGACCAAGCGACGTCTCTGACGATACTATAAATACGTTCCTTGATAGGTTAAATTCGTGGAAAGCTGCCATCCCTTTCGACACGATGCACTACGTGCACCGGCAAGAGGACGCGTATGAAGGCCCTGAGTTATATACGCTTCACTATTACCGCTGCGTTCGGTTCCTATTATATCCTCAGCTCGCTAGAAACCCCGTGAACATGGTCTACTTAAAGACTTGCGCCGATGCCTGCATAGGAATCATTACGGATTATCGACGGTTGCACCACGCCTTTCCAATAGGCTTCTCGGCTTTGTCGATACAAACCGTCTTCTTAGCAGGTAAGCATAATTCACCCATTGGCCATACGCGAGTAAGCATACTGACATACAACAGGCCTAACCTTGATCTATTGCGCATGGCTGGCTCCTCCAAACTGCATAAGTGTCGAGGGCTCATTAACCGACTGTCAGATTCTTCTGTATATCGTTACGGAACGTTACCCATCTGCTAGAAAATACCGGGACGTGTTCGAACGCATTAAATCTGCGATAATGGGTATCATTTCCCAGGGCAAGCACGAGCCGCGAAACCCAGTCCATATAGACTCAAACGACCAAAAGGGATTTGCCAACTTCGAAGGCCAATGGGCTCCTGGAATGGGCGCGGACTTCTCTTATATGCTCAATACTATGACCGGCAATATAACGACAGGGCCTTCGTTTAACTTAGGGCTAGATCCAGCGACGTCAGCAATGGGCGGACAATCTGAGAGACCTGCATCAAATTTGGATCAGTATGGGGCTGTCTGGCCTGATATGCAGCAGTCTATGTCCCATGGGGTTGGCGATATGAATGGATTCGGTGGGATCTATCAGTGAGCATACGTTGATGTTCACTCCCACGCTATGAAGTTGAGTTATTGGGAGATATGAGTGTATATATACCATCATGTTAGCGTTTATGACATTCCAGACGAAAGGGCTGTGACCTGTATTATACCGGGAAGAATGGAGACCCCATAATTTAAGGGGGAGAAAGATGATGTTTAAAATCCTACTTTACATACCATTCGTGCTCAGGGTTCTCTCGAGACTTATATGCTCGCCTAGTCCACAGCGGAGACTTATATATTCGCCTAGTCCGCTACGTGTAAACTCCATAAGCATCCGAGTCCCGGCTACGGGTTACTTATTATGTACGTGAATTACTATGCTCCACTGAGTGATCTCAGGCATGAGCGTGAACATGCCGAACGTGCCGAACCGCTTTACCGTCAGCATCGGGTTGAGTCTCCCGATGATGATACCCTATTACCAAAACCACACCAGAAAACCAACGGCACACCATACACCATCCCTACCATATCTCAGACTTGATTACAATTACGACAAGACCAATCAAAATACCGATTCCATGACTAGTTCACATTCCTTAGATGCCCCCGACTCTAGTCTAGTCCCTACCTAGTATACCGAAAATTCACGTCTTTTGACACATTTGCCTTTCGCGGATTTTATTTTGATATGTATAGGAATTGAGATAAATGGCCGATATATTTCATGTTGAAGCCTCACCAAGTAAATGCGGGGTGGGGACGGAGGGGGACACAGACGCTTCTCACGTATCTCATTATATGGGAGGCGGGGAACTAACTCCTAAGTCAATTTATATTATAACAATTAATATCTAAGATTCAATTATTTAGATGAATTATGACTAGGTACTTCATTGCTTAGGTATACTTGGCATCTAAAGGGGATATCTTATGCGGAGGGCTTTCGGATTATTTTTACACGCTGTCCGTTATGTAACAACACATGTAACTTTAACACTCCTACGTATATAAATCTCCGTATTAGAAATCGCTTATTTGGTATGGCTAAGTGAGTGCTGAAAGATACGGTATATGAGCTGAAGTTGTATATTGACTTAGTCTACCAACTGTATGAGTGAGGAGGGAGGTCCTTCTTATATATACATTCCATGCCAAGATACCATGTACTGTACCTGAAAGTAGTCCCTTGACCACTCACTTCAACAGTGAGTACCTTGGTGGACGGGTGACTCAGATCCCGAACGGTTTCTACTTTATAAAGGGGGTAGCTTATCTCCCCATGTCTGTAAAATCTGTACAAGTGGTAAACAATAAAGTTACAACAACTCTATTAATACCTTTGAGCATTCGAATGACGCCCCATAAGATATTCAAGAATCCTCCTTATTTACTCTTAGGGAGCGGAGTATAATCTCCGGTGCTCTCTATCTTACCCTCATGTCCCACAGCCTTAGCGAAGTCCGCCAGGAATAACCACCTGGACTTCTTTACCCAATCCTTCTCCAGGAAATTGTTAGCAGGCTTCGGGAAGAAGTCTATTAACCCAAGCAGGAACTGGTCGTGAGCCGGGACGACAAAGATGTCCTCATGCGCATCGAATTCTTGTAACCCCTTGATCGTCTCAGTCGCCAGTGACGCGTCCTCGTGGATCGGACCGTCCACTGGAATGTAGAACGGCTCATCATCTTTGCCCTCACGAAGAACTTTATGGAATAGTTCGCCGGGACAAGGCGCTGCACTGACGGGGCTGAACGGGTGCGGCGAGATGGAATCCGGCAAAGGGTGCCAGTGATTAGGTCGCAGCTCGCCGTTGTGGTGCACGCCGTCCCCACCCATTAGGATAAAGCTGTCCGGGTTGCTAGTCACGCGTGCAAAGCCACAGATGTGACCGATGCAATGTCCCGGAGTATCGAGGAAGTAGAATGAACCATCGCCAAAATAGTCGATGGCTGAGAACTTCCCAATCTTTATATTCGAGCTGGAAAAGTCGAGCTCTTTCACCTCGCGGCCCGCATGGTCGGACTCGAGGAGGAACGGGGAGTTCGGGTTAGCCGGGTATCCTGGGAAGACGGCCTTCTTAGTTCCGGGGCCGACGATTAAAGCAGTGCTTGGCTCGAACGTGGACGGGTTTCCTGTGTGGTCGAAGTGCGAATGGGACCAAATTACGGCTTCGATACTTTTAGTGTCGACTCCTTGCTCATCAAGTATCTCTCGGACGTGTTTTGGTACTATGATGTTAACCCCCTGGGACTCGAAGGTTTTTAGGGTTGCTGGTGGCAGATTTTCGAGGTCCTTTCTGATACCGAGGTCGAACACAAGGGTCCGTTTCGAAACCGGATGCTGGATCAAGAAGGCATAACAAGGCCCCGCGAGATATTCATGGCCTTCAATTGTGGGCCCGAAGAAGAAGGATGGGCTGAGACCTCGGATTGTACCGCTAGTATTCAAGATGGACACATTGACGGTAGATGTCGAGGCGGGTATGTTGAGATCGGGAACCTTTGCCATTGTTGCTATATTATTCGTATATTACCGATGAGTTTTTTCCGTTCTACAGTCGAAACGAACACGAGATTATTTTTAATGATTTAATTGCTTCCAATAACAATGATAATAATAAATTGGAATAGTATCGAGGTTTGTAGGTGTTTTAGTAGAGCCTCTATTTCGCTCACCTTGTATTTATTAATCATCACTTCATTTATAAGCTACCAACTTCGTCCAATTATTAAGCAGTTAAGTTAGTAGAAGGAGACATCACAACGCAAGACTCTCATTTGTCAGCACGGAGCAATTAGTAGATTAGGTATTGAAGGCCGACTCGAATTCGGGTTCGAATTCGGGTAGGCGTACGTACGCACCTACGTACGGCTCCCTAACCTACCTCGTAAGTGTACAATAGATCAATAGGAGTTGTGTTAGGGTACATAGGTAACCTATATGTTACCCAAATTACCTAAAGTATTCTAACATATGTAATAATTCGATAGTCCACCTATCTACCCCCAGGTTTCAACGGCGGCGTGGCTAGCGCCGATTCAGGAATATGTTACATATACCTAAGGTAGTATCGGGTGCTTCTCTTTCGGGGAGAGTCGGGGGAACCCATCAGCCCGTAAAAGAGGGGAAAAGTTTACCTTCTATAGCACATATCGGAGTATAGGAGATCGCATATAGATCAGGCCGACTATGTCATGACCTAGATAAATCCGGGTTAGTGAGCACTATCCCGTACTATAGTTCGGGTTGTCGATATGCTCCGTAATAGCTAACTTCTTTTCCGATCCCGGGTCACGAGTTTCCAATTCCCTCAAAGCTTCGGCTACGATGGTTGTCCCGAAGCTCTTGAAATTCCGAACAGACACCCGGTTAGCAAATAGTTCATCAATTTCTTCCAGTGTTCTCCCTTTCGTCTCCGGAACGCAAATATAAAAGAACACCAAGCAACAAAGATTTGAACCGGCCCATATGTAGGCATATTTAGCACCCTGACAATTTACGTTAGTCGCGTAACCCCTATAAGGCGGTATACTAGAACCCATAGCTGTAGAAACAGGTACTTACCCAGTTGAGATCCTCTGGGTTGATAAAATACGGCGAACAAAATCCCGTGAGCCATGCTAGGAAGTAGCCTAAGCTGATAGCTGATCCGACAGACCAGGATCTTAACCTCGTGCTCACCATCTCCGTGGCCGTAGGGTATGTTGCGTCTCCAACAAAAGCATTATAGGAGAATTGATACAGTGCGGTGAACGCAATGACGCAGTTTCGAGCAGAAAGTGTCCCATAGGCGACAGTTGCGGAGACCGCCATTCCTAACATTGTAAGCCCCTGAGCTACAGCGCCCGTCATTAAAATAGTTCGTCTACCCATGACGTGGCGCATCAGGTACATGCCGAAGTTAACGCCAATGAAACCCAGGCAGGTATTCATGACTGAAAACTTGAAGGCATCGTCCACTGATAACCCGGCAACAATCATAAAATAAGTTGAGTAGCTGATGATAAACCATGAACCGGCTCCTGTCTGCGTAGCAATGATGCCGTAGCAGAGAAGTGTGCGTCTTAGTTCGGTTCCTGTAGTTTTATCGATCAGTGTCTCTTACGTACTGATGGAAGAAGTAATACGGGCCCCTACCTTTAAACATGTCCAGTGGTCCAATTGTTCCAGCTGCTTGCTTTTCCTCTTCAATACCTTTAACCATCTCGACCCATTCGAGCTCAAACGCTTCGGAAGTTAGCGAATCCCCTCTGAGCGCCTTCAATGACTCTCTCGCCGCCTCCGTCTTTCCTTTGTATAATAGATATCGAGGGGATTCGGGTACGAGGAAGAGACCTAAGGCCAGGAAGGTCGGTACGATGAAGAGAGTTCCAAGTGGTATTTGGTAAGATGCTTTATCCAAGCGGCTCTTCGTAGCATTCGTTACAGCTGCCCCTATTATGCTCCCGATGTTGACCCATTCCGAGAAGAGTGCCACCATGACAGCCCGAAGGTGGGCCGGAGCTGCTTCGGCGGTCTGATGAATGTAAATATACTATACTACGCAAAAGCAAACACGAAGATATCCGAAACGATATAATGTGCAATATAGAACGGAGAACCGATATGGAATGTTATTAAGGATATTAATACGTACTACAATTATGTTAGTCATCTCGAAAAAGGGGGTGAACCGCTACAAAAAGGAAATCTCACGTCTCTCTTGACGACACACTCGTACGTACCGTAAATATTTGAGAAAGTGACCAGAAATCCATTAGCTAGTCCGAGAACAAGTCGACCGATATAAACTGCCACTTTATCTGTAGTCGAGATCTGGATAATGCATGCAATCGCGTTCAAGACGCACGCAAGCCAGAGCGCAACCTTTCGACCGAAGAAATGGGCGAACGCTCCGGCGACAAGTGAGGATAGAAAGGCGCCTAATGTTAAGAGTGACCCAATGAGCCTTTGAAAAGTCCCCTGTATATCTTAGTTATTATGATGAAAACTACGATATTCCAACCGGGTGGCCTGCCTCGATCGCATATCCGGCTGGTTGGCTCGGATCCTTATATCCAAATACTTCTAAGAAGCCTGGCATCGCCTGTAGAGACCCAATTGCCGCCGAGTCTAGTCCGTATTGCATATTTGCTATGGCCACGATAGCACATATAGCTAAACACTTTCGATTCGCCCACAGGGACGTCTCTGGTATCTTTGTGACAGACGTCATGATTCTACCGACTCTAAATAAGAGACGAAAGACAAATATAGATATTTAGTAGCATAAGCTGGGGGAGGTGAATAGCTTAGATAAAAGCTTTACAGCCACCTTACATTTTAATAACCCGCTACGGTTTCTATCCAGGGTCCGAGAGCTACCCCAACGTTTCAATAATAGCTATTTACCACGTATGGAGTTGAAGCACTACCGCGGCGGAAAACGACACGATCTTCGCATTTTCCCCGTTATTGATCAAGCGTTTCCAAATTAGTTCTCCCCGCACTTCGGTAGTTAATTTTAGGTCGTCGACGGCCCTTCTAGATCGGTTGGTGTCGTTCCTGGTTATGATGCCGTGCCAATAGTTTCTCTGACCTCGGAAGGGCTTACAGACACGGTCTTCAATAGGCCCAAATAGAACTAGGTATTCCATACATGATGGCAGCTTGCCGATTGGAGATGGCCCCAAATCCTAAGAAAGTAACGCGGAGACCACATGGAGAGATGACGACCTCGCTCCTGGATTAGCGAGGGGCAGTAAGAAATCTATTTACATATTTCCTATCTATATCGAATACTCACCGTCTAGTTTACTTGTAGTTTGATAGGAATGGGTAATGCAGTGTATTTAAGAGTGAGAGGTTGCTGTCGATTGATAAAGGGGTTACGATTTGACATGCCAGTACGGAATATTCCGCATAAATCACGAATCGTCCAGTATGATATTGACGTAATTCCGAGAAAGATTTAGTCGAGAAAAAAGAAACAAAATATCAAGCCGACTTCCATATAGTAATGTTTTTAATCACAATAATAGTGCTGTGAAGTTCTATTCCTTTGTTGAAAGTTGTAAGGAGAGAGTACGGATTCTGTAGTACGTACCTAACCTGTTATTAGTAAGGTTAGGGTGCTGCGGTTAATTACATCTATTAAGCTTTGAATACGTCACGGCATTATGAAAGTGACATTACATAATATCACTATTAAATGCATTCATTTTTGGCCCCCACCGCATTGTCGACACCTTGCAATTGACATGGGTCTTAAAAACGAAATACCTAATAATATAAAATCCACCAAATAACATTTACAAAAAGTTAACCCAGCAAACTCCCAGTTCGCGTATCACGAACGACGTAATTGATGCGCCAAACCACATCCTGTGGCAAGCCGTAACCATCCGGCATCTAAAGCTACCTGGTAGTTAATTAGTAGTTAAATTATTATTCATTTCAACTTCACCCATCGACCTCTTCTAGGCCTATCCGGGGCCAGTCTCCGATCTGAATTTATATGCGACGATGAGGTTCTCTATCCTTTCCGTGGGCCTCCTGACCCTCCTTACCCCGTTGACTGCAGCATGGACGAAAGAAGATCGCGAGATCTTCCGCCTGCGCGACGAGATCTCCCAGTACGAGGGCGCCAATGTCACCTTCTACGACTTCCTCGGCGTCTCACCGCGCGCTACCCAAGACGAGATCAACAAGGCCTACCGCAAGAAGTCCCGTGCTCTACATCCAGATAAAGTCAAGCAGCAGCTGTCGGCCGAGCGTGCTAAGCAGGCGAAGTCGAAGGGCAAGGGGAAGAAACCCGGTGTCCATGTTACGAAACAGCCTACACAATCCGAAATCAAGGCCGCTATTAAAGCCGCCGGCGATCGTCAAGCCCGTCTGTCCATCATCGCCAACATTCTCCGAGGCTCTGGTCGTGCTCGTTATGATCATTTCATGTCCAACGGGTTCCCCGTATGGAAGGGCACCGAATACTACTACAGTCGTTACCGGCCGGGGCTGGGCACCGTGTTATTTGGGTGCCTGCTCGTGGGCGGCGGTGGCTTCCACTACATAGCCCTATATATGAGCTGGAAACGGCAACGTGAGTTCGTCGAACGGTATATCAACTTCGCGAGACAGGCCGCTTGGGGTGACAACCTCGAAATCCCGGGTGTCGACACACCCGCCGCTGCTACTCCACCCCCAGCAGACGACGACCAACAGCCCCTGATGGCGATGAACCGCAAGCAGCGGCGACTTCAGGAGCGGGACCAACGCAAGGAATCGGCCAAGGGAGGAAAACGCCAGCCGCGCGGTAGAGGACGTCCCGGGCAGCAAGCAAGTGGCAGCGCAACACCTGTACCGCAAACTCAGGGAACCGGCCCGACGGGTCCTAAAAAGCGTGTCGTGGCTGAGAATGGTAAAGTACTTGTTGTTGATTCGCTTGGCGACGTGTACCTCGAGCAAGAGGATGCAGACGGCAATGTGGAGGAATTCCTTCTCGACGTAAGTCTACCTAAATCAATTTATCTTTCTCAAACCCGATAACTAACCCACATACAACAGCTCAGCGAATTTCCCCAGCCTACAATCAAGGATACCGCACTCGTCAAGCTCCCTGTCTGGGTCTACTCAGCCACCCTAGGCCGAGTCTTCGGCTCCCGCAAGCCCACCGACGACTCGCACGACCAAGTTGACGAGGATGACGAGAGGCAAGGCGCCGACGATCTCGCAGACGACTCCTCATCCGACCAAGCGCAGCGAACGCCCTCGACGGATTCGGCCGAAGACTTCGAGCTCCTAGGGACTAGCGTCGAGGACCTACCCAATAAGCCGAAAGTGACGAGCAGCCAAGCGCAGCAGAGCAACAAGGCCAAGAAGAGGAACAAGAAACGCTAGAGACGGGACTTGAGAAGCCGGGGCGGATCGGCGGATGGGGCTGAGGAGTCTTGGATGCTTTTACGCGTATGACAGGGTGGACGTATATATAAAGGTGTCCTCGCGACACTCTGGTGTATGCAGTAACCTGTGTAGCGGATCATAAAAGTGAATCTATTCAATTTAGAGAACCATGTGCTCGAGATTTTCCAGTCCGGTGATAGACAGCGACAGTTATTCCACTCCTAGCACGTAATGTGTATAGTTAATACATTCACGGTCTAAACGTTCGGTCTTCAAAACGTTTTTAAATGCTTATCATGCTCGGGGTTTTTAAGAAAATGAGGAATTTCTCATTCAGGTACGATAAATCATATCTCAAAACTAGGAAATATATCATTACTAGATACCTCTAAGGTTAAGTTGTCACTACTTCGGGATCGATTTAAAATATGATATTGGTACTTGATCCTTAGCATGCATTTAATGCAGATTCTACTTTGACACAATATCCACCGATCAATCCGGAACATAGCAATAGGGATAAAAGTAGTTTCATTTCCATTCAAACTATCTATATAGAGGCTCTACACCGGATGATGGTATGAAACAATAAGCAACCAATAATGCCAAGCAAAGAAATAGGGGCTAGCGGGTCGTTGTGTTTACCGAGTTTGAGTGCCCCGAAAGCACAATGAGAGAGGAAGGGGATCTACCAGAGCAAGAAGAAAGAGAACGTATAGATAGATATACATGTGTGCAATGGTTTTGGGGCGGGATACACACATACCTTGAATAGGTAGCAAGTTGAGCTTTCCGAGTGACTCTGGAAGTCAAGAATGGTTAGCCATACACTATGCAAAGGAGGGGACAGGAAAGAGGTATAAAGGCTATGAAAGGGGAGATATCCTCAACTCCGTCCCTTGACATGAATTGAAATATGTGCAGTCCAATCTGGATATCCTCGCCCACGTGCAATTCTCTGCGAGACCGTAATATCCCCTTTGCCTCCCACGTACGATATCCACCAGTCTCCCTGCTTGGTATCTACCTAGTCAAAGTAAACTATGCTGATCTGTCCTGTGCTAACCTGACGAGGGATATATACATTCAAAATAGCACTATAGGTGCATATCATCCATCTGTTGAAAAACCCCGTATTGATTCTCCATGGATTGCTGCTTTCTCATCCAGTCGTTATCGTAGACCGGGTCAGTCGCTGGACGGTAGTTGGGGCCACCAATAGCGGTACCAAAATGGCTGTAAACGTCTTTAGGCCTTTCCATAGCCTCTGCGTATTGTTGCCTTGCGGACTCTTCATATTCGCGTCGAGCTAAAGCTTCGTAGCCGGACATCATGTAGGGTTCCACGTCGCATGTGGCGACCCATCGTCCGTCTCCGGTCTGCACTGGCGTCAGGGGCGTACCATCCAGGGACATCATGGTATTCTTCTGCTCCTCTTCGGCCATTCTTCTCTCATAGCGAAATTGAGCAAGGAGCTGTTCTTGTTCGACCGTCGTGCTAGTCCAAGCAACGGCGGGGTTCTCGTGGGAACCAGTAGGAGGGCAGATTCGCCATAGCTCGATCAAACGCAACTTTTGGCTATCCTCAGCTGTCTTGAAAAGCTGTATCTGCGCCGCAGAAAGCGCAGTATGGTCGATACCATATGGGTTTAGAATGGACTCTGCAGAAAACTGCTGTGTTTGTGGCGGCTCTGATGATCGCCTCTGGAGTTCCGCTTGTGAGTCGTCTTGGTGGGCGATATGTGCGGAATGGTGGTAGTGTTGGGAGATGGAATATGTTATTTCTGGCTCTTGCACTCTCGGTGTTTCTTGGGGAGCCTGATTTGGTTGAGGTTGTAATGTTAGGTTACGAGAGAACAGCGCAGCGAGGTCATCGCCAGTTTGCATGTTTGGTTGCGAGTAAGTCATTTTCTGTAAGTATAGGGTTAGAGATGTTTGATAACTTCAAGACCGAGGGTATATATTCACCGCGCCTAGAAAGTTGTTGAAGTTGATAGTTGATATACCGAAGTTGCCGCTGGTTGTAAAATGCAAGTAAAAAAGCTGTATCCGAAGAGATGATGGTGTCGGTCAGAATATGAAGGATAGAGGATGGAGGAAAATAGAGAAGCGTTTGTGGTAAAGTAACAACTGCGAGAATTCTATCTTATATTGACTATAACTAAATACTGAGTGACGGTAGAAGATCTTGGGCATTAATAAGGTTCAAAACAATCACTTCGAAGATGGACAACAAAGTCCTTTTGGTTTTGTTTCAGGACCTTTGCTTTGATGCTCAACGAGCGGTGGACAAGCGGCCAATGTCAATGAAACTAAACCCCTGAAAGAGGTCTGATACCGTATGTAGAAGAATAGGGGAAAAAGAGAGATGAGTCGAGGCAGAAAGATGGATCAATAATATCAATGGTGGAAATTGGAGTTGGAGTGGGTGGCGTCGCAATACAATAGCTTACTGATGTGAGCTTAGTTTTAAGAGTTAGCAGTGTCGCAAATGAGCGATACCAAACTGAGGAAGAAGCGTTGTTGAAATAGTTGTCACGAGCGAAGAAAGATAATGTAGTTAATAAATGCAAGAGTAGAAAGGGATGGTGTTTGATGTTGATGATGATGATAACGATGATGACAACGCATTGGAGACGAGACCCGCCGGGTGATACCGGCGGAGCGTTCGAGGAGAGTTCGAGGCACACAAATCGGGAAGGATGGAGGGGGAGGGGGGAGGGGTAACATCCACATGGATATCTCAGGTACTGGGTACCTAGATACATTACACCCACCTCCAACGATTTCTTTGGCTGGCTGTAAAGTTAGCGAGGAGATGCGAGGGGCCACGAGGGGCCACGAGGGGTGACGAGGGGTGACGGGGGGCTACTTTAGTGGACTATAGGCCGCTAAGTCGTGCCCATTGGCGCCCAAAGCTACCCAAGACTCCGCTAAGGCCCCAATCGCCATTTACCAATCTGCCAACGTGCACTTGGATACATGTGTACATGCATGCAGAGAAATCAGGTGAGCTGCTCGAGGGCGAATCCACGAATGCCTTAGGTAAACAACAATGAAATTAAGAAGACTTAGACATATGGACTCAATGCAAATATATTAATAAGTTTATTAAAGGAAAATTAAGTGACTTTAAGAGGTACTTTCTTTATTTGAAATCTACAACATCGATGACTAACGTTGCTGTACCTCTTATTGTTCCCCATTTGCTCCGAAGCGTATTATAGTTTAAGTTTTCCTTTTTTCTACTACTAGTTATATACTTTCAAGGTATTAACTTTGTTGCAGTTGACGGGGAGATTTTTTTTTCTTCCCTTTTTTATGGCGGACAATTCTCACCTGAGACTGTATCTCACGGCCACCTAGGTAAGGAGTACGCCTAATCAAGACAGGAGCTAGTATCGTATATTCCTATTAGCCTCTCCATTCGACAGAATATACGAGTAGGTAACTCATTACGGATTCGTGTGCACAATAACGCCAGAAGGGAATGGGATACAGTTGTTTATAACATATTTCCGACGACTTGAACGATCAAGATATATCCGGCGTAGCACTTGTAGATAGCTTCATAATGCATGTAAAGACGTCAAGGGACCTGTAAGCATGTAAAAGTGACTAAAACATGATATCAGTAGCTCGATTAGCTATTGGATGTGTTTCCTCTTTCCATGTAGGCACGCGTAATTTCTTCTCCGGCTCGAGATCGAAACATTAGAACCTCTGATGTCAAAGTAACCAAATTCATACTATATACAACGATAACAGGCTCAGGAGATGTAGGACACGCCGTGCAAGAGCCGGGTAGCTGTACTTGTGCTGAATCATGATTAATCGTATCCATATTTATTAGAGAATAACAGCGTCTATAAAAGCCCTAAACCTTTACATTGGGTCTTAATTGTAAGAGCTATACGAGACATATATCAGACTTAAATCACAAGACACCTATCTCCCAGCTCTATCAATACAACACTCAATCCTATATAATTCGACCTACCATGGCACCGAAAATCCTTGATGTCTTAACCTCCTATGGAGAAATCCTGGGCTCTGCCGGAAAGCCGATTCAGAAGACCGGGTGGTACTTAGTGTGCTACTTTACTCTAGACATACAGCTAACTAGGCGACATTCGTCTCATAGTGTTGAACCTGAGTTGACAATTTTGAAACCAGTTTGAGTTTGCCCACCCATACGAAATCCTCACCAAAAGGCGGCGTCGCGCCCCTAGACCCAAACTCATTATAACCATGGTGTCACGAGGTAAACTCAAACAACATGGAAACAAGTTCGTTGTTCCGCGAGGAACTCTAACTTATCTCACGAGCCTAAAGCTCGTATATATACATGTTTGTTCTAGATGTCTCATCTAGAATCCTGACACGTGGATCCAAGACGGCCGATCTTCAACCGAGCTCTACAACGACAAAAAGGCTCTCTGGGAAAACACTGCTAAGATCTTAGACTTCCTAGGCCGTGCTGACGAGTTCGATGCTATCTTCTACCCAGGTGGATACGCCCCTATTTTTGACCTCGCGACAGACAAGGACTCGATCGCCCTTATGAATAAGTTCTAGGCTAAAGGTAAGGTCACGGCCACAGTTTGCCACGGCCCTGCTGCATTCGTTAATGTCACAACCCCCCAACGGAGAGAATATCCTAAAGGGCAAAGACGTAAGCGCCTTTAGCAGTGCGGAAGAAGATGCTGTGGATATGTTGTCGAAGCGAAAAAACGACGCCGTAATTCGCTAACAAGCAATTACGCCTTATACATATTGTGCGACATATGTCCAAGTATATGCCATTTGTGCTGGAGGATAAATAAAGGAGGATGGCGCTAGCTTCCATAAGGCTTCTGAGTTATGGGCTCCGACAGTGCGTGTCTCTGGGAAGTTGAAGAGTAAGATCATACATACCCCTTTCTTACCGGAAAACTTTGGCTACGAGCTGAGCAGGTAATTTGCGTCTCACTGTAGACAGGTAAACATCGTGAGCTTTGCATCGATTTCTTTGGATATCGTCATGTCTAGGGCCTACGTCTGTAAGCCCTGATGATATATCTTTAAATCAAGTGAGAGGTGTTGGACAATACGCTACATACATTAAACGCATTTGACAGGATATCTAGGTACTAGCGGCGTTGCCCGTCCGCTCAAACGCGGACGGGGGAAAGGGGAGGAGGAGGAGGGGGGCCGGCGATTATGCGCAAAACTGACGCCACAGCTTAAGTCTGGCCTCTGATTGGCTAGCCACATCTCAGCGCACGTCCGATGAATTTTTTGTAAAATCAATTGATCTATTTCAACATAATGTAAAAGTTTTAATAATTGGTATCGTTAGATAGAGCTCGTTTTGCATGACCTTTCTATACCATTTGCACCTCTTGCAGACGTTATGCGATAGAATGGCAAAAGGAAAAGTCGCAAACTGCGGGGCGATTCTAAGTATCTGATTGGTTGAAAGAATTGTGGCAGTACTAATTAAATATATAAGACTTGATTATACACCGATCGAGAGAAAGGATGGAGTATTTATATCACGATGCCTGCTCCTTCTTCCAAGCGGCGCGTTTGCGGTAGATATCATGGCGGAAAGTTTGCTTAAGCGATTCGACAGCATCAGCATCTACGGTAACCGTACCCTGGATAGCGCCGACACCGCACAGGTTGTTCTTACGATCAATGAACCAGGCAAAGGTCAAACCGCCTCCCCAGGTGAGGGTATGGTCGCCATACCAACCGTCGACGTCTTGCAATGTGAGCAGACCGCCCAGCCCGTGTCCCGACACTGCATCGACTGCGGTGCCGACGCGAAAGAAAACGCCCATGGGGCTGACTAGTGCCGCTCGATGGCTTTCGGTAGCTTCCGGGCTAAGATGGTGTTCAAACATGTCGTTAACTGTCTCTGGTTTAAGGATCTTCCCGTCATTAGCTAATAGCGAGTGAAGTACTTTGACGTAGTCTGGAGCTGTCATGAATAAACCGTGACCTCCAAAGTCGCCCTTGGCGCTCTTGTTCATATCGCCGCCGCCGCCTAGCACGGCGCGACCAAGAGCCTCTGGGTCATCGGGATTTAAATCGACAAGGCGTGCACGTAGGTCCTCTCGAGTCACTGGGTAGAACTGGGCGTCTGAAATCCCGAGTGGGCTAAATATGCGCTCCTGCATACGTTCAAGTAGCGTCTTGCCAGTCACACGCTCCACAATGCGACCAGCCCAGTCGAGCCCCGGCCCGTATAACCAGCCGGAACCAGGTTGGAAGCCTAATGGGTAATCGAATAGCTCTTCGACCGTCTTCTTGCCGCCTTCGTCGGAAACTTTGGTCTCCGCGCGGGATTTCTCGCGCCAGCGAGCGATGAGGGGATTGAGGAAATGGTAGACGAGACCGGAGCTGTGGGTTAGTAACATCTCAAGTGTGATAGGGCGGGTCTGTGGTTCAAGCAGAGGCGTTTCGCCATCTTCAGAGAACCCGGTGAGGACCCGTTTTGCGGCAAGATCGGGCGCGACGGGTGAAAGGTCACCGGTAAGTGATAGGAGCCCATCCTCGACACACTGCAAAGCGGCGATGGAAGTAAGCAGCTTACTGGCTGAGGCGAGGAATAACACGTCGTCAAGCTTGTGAGGTCGCTTCTCGCCAGATAGCAATGTACGCTCTCCTATTGTCTTTTCGAAGGTGAAGTGGCCTTCGGCATCGGTAGCGCATATTATAGCACCATGGATCTTGCCGGCATCGATGGATGCTTGGAAGGTAGTCTCGATATTTCCGTCAGTCATAATGGGTAGACTGTAGCTAAAATCTAACCCCAAACAAAACGATTCCGATTATGCGAAGATATGTATGAGTACCTATATATAGAAGAGACACACACCGAAAGACTAGGAGAAGAACGTAGGGGAATAATCTTTCTAAAGGATTATATATTCGAGCGGCCTACGTATAAGTCGCGCGTTTACATATGTAGGACTGTCCCTATGGGGTTCTAGCCATGGGTCGCATGGGTAATCCTTGCCTTTGATCTCCATATTAGCCTGTAGGTCTACGCATGAATATGTATGAATCAGAATGTGTCATTGTGAGTAGGAACAGCTATCTCAATTCGGATACGCCCCCCACTCCGGATCCCGAAGATGCCCTTTAGCTGAGATACTTTACTTGAGTTGCAGTCGGTGTTGTCTGTATTTTCGGTTCCCGAATCTTGAAAAGTCCGAGGTCAGTAACTTCAAGGACCAAGGTAGGTACCTATGTATAAGGCTTGAACTACATACTGAAAGATAGAGTAATGAAGAATATAATAGATTTGATCTCGTTCAACATTTATAAGATCTTGTGCCCTGAGGTACCGATACATACTACTCTTCGTAGGTTGGAAGAGGTTATCACGATCGTGGAAGAGATCCTCCAGGACTTTTTAGTGGTATTTTAGTAGAGGCTGCATCCGTGCCCCCCGTCGATCGTTTTTAGTGTTGGATTAGGGACTTTCGGCTTTCTTCATGATGGCTATATACACGTAATTAAGCCTTAGTCACGATAGAAGGATCTAATAATTGAGATAATCCTGCCCGCACTTGAGCTTGATGAGTTATGACCCATTTAGAAGTAGTTTAAAAATGTCCGTGCAAAATGATTCCAGGTAACCCCTATATGGTATGTGACTTAGGTGGTTTTATAAATCACACTATACTACGCATCTTAGTCTCCTTTTCGGATGCTTTACTACCAAATTCCCGCTTATACGCTCCGCTTGTGTGCTCTGCTAACTTAAAAAAGTGACGTAGTATAGGAGATATATTTCCCATCATCAACATCAAGCCGACCTCGTCTAGCACATATCCTATTTCTAGTAGCTCACATGACGAATAGGATACTTGTATCTGTAAAAGTCAGTAAATAATTTGATTCATGGTGTTCGAGGAACTCACCGAGAGGGTGGCTGCAAGACAACTGTGGCTTTTGGGAATATTTAGTTTCCAGCACGTCACGAATACTGTTGAGTAGTTCGACGTAGCTCTGCTTAGGGTCTTGCTTAAGAGCTGTGATAAAAGCATAAGACATTGCCCCGGTTGCCTGAGATGCAATGGTCGCGTCCGCACTATATTGCTGTTAACCACCTATGTTATTCTTAGAATTCTACTGTACAGTGACTTACGATGTCTGGTCATCCTTGCTGCCGGACCACATGATAACATCCGCGGGCGAGGTCTATAAACTCGATAATTAGTACTGGCTTCTCTGGCTTTATTCAGAAGATCATAGTCTTTGGGTGTTCCTTACCTTAGTTTCGATAGTCTTTTTATACCCATCATCTCCTCTGAACGCAGTCTTGGCAAAACCAAAGATGGCGCTGGCAGCTCCTACCGCATCACCCTGAGCGTAGGAAGAAAACGCCTTAAGCAGCCCTTGTCCAGCTTCGGCTGCAAGGTTCGGCTCCTTTAGAACACCCTTGGTCGAGTAGATGTATGGTAAATCTAGAACCGAACCGGAGTGACATGAGTCAAAGATTGCCGTTAACCTCACACCTGCTTGGAGAGGCTTAACGACTACGTGATGAAGTTGATCATCAACAATATGGCCGGCGGTTTCGTAGTCGACAGGGTAAATAACCTCGTCATAGCCGTCTTCCTCGTCCCCATCTGCGATTGGAAATGAGCAATTAACTCATGTTTGGAGTTTCTTTAAGACTATCTTACCTTCGTCTTTTGTCTGTCCGCCATGACCTGAGTAATGCAAGAATAATGCGTCATTAGGACGAGCACCAGAAACAAGCCATTCCATAGCTCGAAGTATGTTGGCCTTGGTCGGCACCATGATGGGGTCTTGCTGATCGTCGGTCAGAATTATCATGTCCTCTCTCTTATAATTGTAGCGCTCCATAAGAAACTGGGACAAGTTCTTGGTATCGTTGATGCAACCACGGAGTTCACCCTTCTGGCCAAAATAGTTGATGCCAATCAACAATGCCTTACGTTTACCGGTACAGTTGGAATACTGGAAAGTATACCCATCAGGTGCACCGTGACCGAATTGCTGTGGGGCACTTGGCGGAGGAGGGCCGGCTCGGTGCTGGCCCCCGTAACCTTGAACGGGAGGGCCACCGGGATTAGTGGGATATCCATACGGATCTAACCCATGTGGTGGTGGATAGGAAGGCGGCGGGTAGCGGTTAGATCCTTGGTTGTGCGAAGGAGGCGGGTAATTCGAAGAAGAATGTTGATTATACCCGTGCTGCTGAGGAGGCGGAGGGCCAGACGGAGGGGCATATTGGTTGTAGCCATGTTGCTGGGGAGGCGGACCGGGAGGAGCCCCATATTGGTTATGACCGGAAGGAGGACCAGAAGGGGGACCATACTGATTATATCCTTGAGGTGGTTGATGGTATCCTTGGGGTGGTTGATTATATCCCTGATGAGGCTGATTGTAACCTTGATGAGGAGGAGGTTGGTTATATCCTCCTCCTCCACCACCACCGTAATTTTGGTCGTGACCCCAACCGGACATTTTACGAGGTGGTCGAAGATAGAGCAATAATTAGAATAGGTTAAGGGATGGTGATGTGTTTACTACTCTTTTGAAGAGGAACAATCTTGGAAGTCAATATCTATTCTATGATTCGTGTTGGTCTGGGAGGTGTGGGATGTGAGATTTGGGGCTGAGAAATGATCAAACAGGAGAAGGAGTTAAGGGTCTCGATAACTCGATAACTGATAACCGCGTAATCAGTTGACTTATGGATTTACATAGGGCTGACGGGTAACACGGCAGCGATGATACACGCTGATGATGGGGTGGTAACACGAAAAGGGAGACTATAGTCTTGGCGGGGTATCTAAGGAGGGGCTATGGAGGGGCAAAAAGGAGGCCGCCCGCCGCGGCGTCTATGCGGCTAACCATTTTCAACACTAAATTATAGGCACCTACATGTACCTAAGGCACCTAATTGTTAGGCCTCCTATTCACACGCATAGCACACCGAATCAGACAGTTTACCAACCGGGAGCAGCCGCAGCAGGGGTTCTTAGCCCCCTTGAATCACTTACATGAGTTTTTTACTATCTGAAAACACCGTTAACTCATTATCCGTGTACCTGTAAAGTGCTGCAAGTTTCACCCAAACAAGGGTTAAAACCCAGTCATCTCCGTCACGGACCTCTGTGTAAAGTGCGCCATCTGATCAGTTCCAAATATATCTAGACATACATATCACGGCACGAATGCGATTGGTTGAACTGCATACAGTTGTTCCTAATTGTCTCTCACATAATCAACCTAAAAGTAGACTATATCTACCTCCATCTTCCTACCGAGGTCGAAGATAAACCCAGCAACAAAAGCAAAAATATTAATATTGACACAATGTCTTTCTTTAACAAGTTGACCAGTAAGCTCGACGAGCTAAACCTCGGCGGCTCCGAAAAGCCGCGGGAACGGGAAGGATATCCAAGTAAGTATATGTTTTTAGTTTTTTTATCACTCATTCTTCACTTACCTAGCCCGTCGTCTATATTCATCCTTAGGTAGATTAAAATCGAGTAATATTGACCGTCATTTTAGGCCATCAAAATTACCCACCTCCTTCTCAGCAATACGGCAGCAACCACGGCCGAGAGCCATATCCGCCGAACCCGCCAAATCCGCAATACGGTGGTGCTGGTGGCTACCCGCCTCAGTACGGGAGCAATTATAATACTCCTCCGCCCGGAAATTATAATAGTCCCCCTCCTGGAAATTATAACACCCCTCCACCTGGTAATTACAATACCCCTCCGCCGCCTGGTAATTATAGCAGCCCCCCGCCGCCTGCTCCAGGTGCCGGCCCTACTTATGCGCCGCCATCGGATAAGCCGCCAATCCCGGCCGGCTGGATACCGCAATTTGACCAGCAGTACCAACGCTGGTATTACTACGAGCAGGCAACCGGCCGTTCGCAATGGGAAGCACCAGGTTATCACGCTGGAGGTGGTCAAACTGGAGGAGACAGAGGATATGGATCACACGGCGAATCTAACTATTCATCTCATGACGCACCAGGTTATGGCGCACCGAGTCACGGCTATCCCCAAGATTCCCATGGCTACAGCTCTTCCGGAGGCCACGGTGAACAAAGCGGATATGGATACAGTCACGGGGATCAAGGTTACGGGAATCGCCCAGAAGAAGACTACAACAGGCAGGGAGGCGAAGAGAAGAAGAAGAAGAAAAAGGATCATAGCGGCCTCCTAATGGGTGCTGCCGGAGGTCTAGCTGTAGGTGCTATCGGCGGTGCATTGATAGCCAACGCTCTCGGTAAGCCCCCCTGATCATAGTGCCTTTCAGCTACACACTAGCTTCTTATGTGAATTATCATACTAACATCCGTATAGACGACTCAGATGATGAACATCATCAAGCCGCACCGGCTATAGCCCCGGCTCCGGTCTACGCAGCTCCACCTCCCGCCCCTGTTTACGAGCCAGTCTATGAACCAGCGTACAATGCAGAGGGTGAGTATGTGGATTCCAGCGACCGAGAGTCTGTACGTTCTGCTCGTGAAGATTACGAGGAAGCCCTTGCCAAGGCGCAAGATTCCGACGCCAGCAGTAGCGATTTCGAAGAGCTCGAAGAGGCCCGGGAGGAGTACCAAGAGGAGTACGAGGAGGCGTATGAAGATTAGTAGATCGTATCGATGCTTAGAACCGGCCTTAGGTGTAAAAATACCTAAGGGGATGTCTGGGGATGCGTTAAGATAGTGAAATTGCACTTCTCGTGCGGTTTAGGACAATCACCTATGCTCCCATGCTCCTATTTTATGACCCTAGTTAATAACTAATGAGTGTCTTAGCGTTGAAGAAAGCTTTCTCAAATGTTCACCTATCAATATACGATAGTGAAGATCAGTTGCAACGGACTTTATCTAGTTCCTCGATCAGGCTCGCTCACCTACAGCAGAATCTCCTGCTGTAGGTTTCCTTATTGATATAGCTAACAAGTATACGCTAGGTAGCGCTGTGCTAATTCATACCCCAAACAAGCGCCACATACTGTAGTAAAACACCCCTACTTCACGATCTTCTGAATCGTATTATTCTTACGAGGCGGTGACTTCGATACCCCTCAGGTTGCCTTCATCGCGCCATTCTTGCAACTCCCGGATATACTCAACAAGACCCGCACTGTAGGGCGACGCTCGCGCCCGCTTCATCTGCTCCTCGGGGCTAGCCGTCGGATCGACCGCCTTCCCTTCGTTGTTGATATAGCTCGGCGTGCAGACCGTCACGGTCGCGAACCGAGCCGCCCCCTGCATGATCTTCATGCTCCAGGCCTCCTGCGCGGCCTCTTCGACCTCCACCGTAACTCCACTCTTGGTCAGACCGCCTGCCTTCTGGTGAGCCGCCGCCGCTACGTATGCGATGAGCTTGCACTGCACATCGAGCACATGCGAGTGGTTAACGCTAACACCGGACTGGAGGGGGGAAAGCCAGAACAGATTTGGGAAGCCGTGGTTTGCGTAGCCGTGAAGAGTGGCAATACCTTTATCCGCCCAAGACTCTGCTATGGTCTTTCCACCACGGCCGTGCACTTCGACGCCGGCGCGAATCGATGGGTCTGCTCCGTCTGCACTTGGTCCGCGATACCCCGTGCTAAACACGATGACATCAAGGGGGATGTCTTGGCCGTTAGCGACGAGGCCCTCCGGCGTTACGCTGTCGACTCCCTTGCCGTCCGTGTCGACCAAGTGAACATTAGGCTTATTAAAGGACTGCAGGTACGTATCGCTGAAAGTAGGCCGCTTGCACCAGACTGGGTACCAGGGCGTAAGCTTCTCAGCTGTCTCTTTGTCCTTAACGATCTCGGCGATCCGTGCTCGTAGTCGTGCTGCATTGGGCGCGTCTCGAGCTAGAAATTGACCAATAACCTCGGGTATCCTCTCCGGCGATACAAACGCAAACTCCGGATCGCCAATTAGGCTCGCGTAAGCAACCTGCCGAGACCACTCATCGTCGACCAAGTCCGGGGTACCAGGAGGGGCGCAGTTAGATATATTCGCTGCTAAATTCTGCCGGCGAGCCTCGTGCCAACCGGGCTGGCCAGCGATCTTCTTCCATTCCTCCGGATCAGTCGGTTTCTGACCACGACCGTAAACCGCGGCGGGAGTACGCTGGAATACATATAACTCCTTCGCATGTTCGGCCAAGCATGGTACGACTTGAATCGCTGTCGCGCCGGTTCCAACAACACCTACCCTTTTATTCTTCAACTTTGATAAGTCCGGGAAGACTTCCTGCTGTGTACCACCGGTAACGTCGTAGTTCCACCGCGCTGTGTGGAAAACATCGCCCTTAAACCCCTCGATCCCGACTCCGGAGAGCTTCGGTACCTGGGGCTTGCTCAGTAACCCAGCAGTTACCCAAACAAATTCCGCCTTCGCTTTGAAAGTTGTCTTTTCGTCACCCCTTGGTCCCCTTCCAGTAGTGATGTCACAATTCCACAAGCGAGCACTATCATCCCATTCAATCTTGTCGAGTTTAGACCTAAACAGAATTTTATCCTCGAGATTCCACCTCTTCACAACCTGCTGCAGATAGTTCCTGATCTCAATTCCGGAAGAGTATTTCTGAGAGGGTACGAATCCCGTCTCCTCCAACAGTGGCAGGTAAACATAAGATTCGACATCGCAATGTAGACCCGGATACCTATTCCAATACCACGTTCCGCCGACGCCGCCAGCTGTCTCTATAATTCGAATCTGGTCCGCCGAGAAGCCGGCCTCGATAAGTCGGACAGCAGCCCCGATACCGCCTATACCTGCTCCTGCTATGAGAAACTTAGGAGAGTCGCCAGGCTGAAGGGGTAATGGCAGCGCGTCCAATGCCGCATGATCAGCCCAGAAATCGTCAGCGAGGTGACGCAACTGATCGGAGTCGCTCTGTGCCAGTGTCTGAAATTGAGCAGCGCCTTCAGGTCGGATACGCTTTTGGGCTTCCGCGCTGTATTTCTCTTGAATGCGAGCAAATTCCTCCATTGTAAAAGATGTCTTAAGTAATGGGTATACCAGTGTGCCTTATTATGTCTCGCCAGAGGAGACTTCTTGATGAAAATAGGCGAACCTGAATGCAATGGAACGACGAGCTCGCCCACGTAGCTTATTTTATGTACATCATCCTAGCTCTACTATTTCTAATGTAACTAGGAAAGTTGAGCTTAACGTACTCCGTATTCCGATTGGCTGATCAACTTATTGTAGCTATATCAGTCCATGCAAGGAAGCGACCAATCTTTAACCCGTACACTAGCAGCAACAGACGCGGTAGCCCGCGTTTGGACGCATAATATTTAACCTATGGGACATAAGAAGCAAAGGTGGGCCAATGGATAACTTGACGATGTTCTAGCCACCTTTCTTGACTACCCCTCACGAGACCCTGAATAATAACCCTGAATAATACCTGGGCGTTAGCGTATTCGCGTAGGATGGAGAAATCGTATTCGTGTTACTCATTGGAGTTGAGACTGGATGTCCAGGTCATATCCTAGGTTAGGACATCTGAATACTCCGCAAATTCATTGATAGTCTCAAAAAAACAACGGGGAGTAAGATCCTAGTAATACCATATAAGACTAGCTGGGATATTCCTCTTAAGTCCTACTCGGCCACGTACATGATGGGGGCAACCCACATAAGCGACAGCGATGCCAATGTAAAGGAAATTGTTGTACACGTTAATATATATCGTACCATGAACTGTCTAAAATACATCTATAGCATCGTAGCACGTAGATGTTGTAACTCCGTGCCGTATAAAATCGTTCGATTATTAAACACTGCAGGCACGATTCGAAAGGATGGGTGCCGTAAATGTGCCGGAGTTCGATAACCTCCCCAAAGTCCCCGATATGCCCCAAGGATGCGCCTGGGGTATCTTCGACAAGGACGGCAAGAAAGACCTTTTAGGCACTTTAAACCTCGTGACACCATCTGTTACGAAGGAGGCTTTCAGCGAGGCGCGAGATGGCATATCCATCTCTTTAAAGTAAGTCTAACTATGTCTATTACGTCGCCATCGCTAGGTTAGGTATAGATTCTGGATTTAGCTTATATGAAGCTATGTAGTTGGCCTCTCAATGCTATGGCTTTCCCGCTGCCGGGGAGGATAGCCCCCGTGCATAAGCAAATGACTTTACAGGAAGCGGGATTATCTGAAGGGATAGGTTGGGATGATGAGATCCATTTCAACACGCAACTGAGTAGTCAGTGGGATAGTCTCGTCCACTGGCATCACCAACCATCCGGGTTGCCTTATAACGGCATTACTGTTAATAAGGAAGCACTTGCCGTGCCGTATACCTCTGTAAACACCACGCCTACATTAGACCATTGGCATGCGGCAGGCGGATTGGTAACAAGGGGTGTTCTCATTGACTTCAAGGAATGGGCGGAGAAACGTGCTAAGGCAGAGGGCAAAACCGGGGAGCAAGCCGTCTTCCACCCCCTTGATGGTCATCGCATCACAGTTGAAGAAATCGAGGCAGTAGCTAAGGATCAAGGTGTCGAGTTCCGACAAGGTGATGTTCTCATCGTCCGTACGGGGCTTACTGAGATACTACAGGCACCACGTCCCGAAGACTTTGCAAAACTACAGAACGGGACAGTTTCCGGCGTGCATGGTGTTCTCGATACTGCCAAATGGCTGTGGAATAAGCATTTCGCTGCCGTGGCGGGCGATTCCTGGGCTTTTGAGGCTCTGATGCCTCTTAAAGAGGATGGGACGGTGGGTAGCCCAATGGACCTATGTAAGTTTACACAGACCTGCGATATTACCACACCTTCCTATGCCACGCTCGATAATAAAGAGAAATTCACTTACATTGCTGGCAGTCCTCCATCCTTGGTTGCTATCGATGTTCGGCATGTCGATCGGCGAACTCTGGGATCTCAAGGCGCTCTCTGAGCACTGCAGGGCTTCGGGACGGTATAGCTTTCTCCTTACATCGGCACCCTTGAACATTCCCGGGCTGATTGGGTCTCCGCCGAATGCCTTAGCCATTTTCTAGGTCTATTGTGGCCAGTAGCACACTGGATTGTATATAAAAGAATGCGCCAGGCCGTCGAAATCAATATAATAATGTTTCATTGCGTGAATTGCCATTTTCCAAGACCTGGAATAATCTTCAGTGCCTAGTCTATAAGAGGATCATTATAAGCATAACTACCTACCTAAAGTAGGGATGCTTAAACTCATTCTTTAAGTTGGATTATCAGTTATTAAAGTTAAACGACAGTATTTATATCACCGAATACGAGTAGGGCAGGTGGTATTTGATCGTCCAGCGAATATCACACGCATAGATTACTGTACCGTCAGGCATTTAATAAGCTCTATAAACTTCAGGCTTCATAAATACTTTGACTTTGGATATACCGTAGTCCGAGTCCAATACCTTAAGTATAAGCTTCTGCCTTTCAATATTCCGTCCATAAGTCTGTCAGCTACTTCTAAACCCCATAGACGCGAGAATCAGCTGCAAATCCAGACTTATATCATGAGACTCTATCTTCTCATTGCTGCTACATTGTTCGGGGCGTCCTTCGCAGAGTAAGCATGAATACCTATGGTTTCCACTAGTTATATGACTGGCAAATACCTAACACCATATAGCGATTGTCTCCCGGCACAAAGCGGTTATGGGTGTGCTACAGCGGATTGGTATCCGGACTGTTCCGTATGTGTGGTGAACTGTGTTGGCGGACATTGCTATTATAATGGTGCGGGCTCACAGGTAACTTGCTCTGGATGTCCATCATAGGCTATTTCTCTTATACATTGAGAAGCTATGCAAAGTTGCTTAGGTTGAAATCCTCAAAACACTGTGATATATAGGTATATTCTGGTCATGTGGTCCTCTAAGCTACACATTGTTAGTCTTGTATATGAACACGTTCCCGCTGGATGTTTCATGGAAACTTGCTATTGAGAAATTTGTGACAAGGGCTATTGGACTTGTAACATATAGTTCATATTTAACTAATAATTATCTATGATCTCAAGGTCCTTGGCTTCTCTCCTCTTGCCTGAGGGGAAAGTCCTCCCTATTTATGTTCGTTCTGTAATACACATATATTAGGCCTTAAACACTCTGATCAATCTCGTGTTAATCGTCTTGCGTATAGGTGCATGTCCTCTCGGTCATTATTCTTCAATGAGGGCTCTTTGACTTATCCTATATCCTAACCACCAGCGCAACTATTATCATACGACCTTTGTTTCAGTATTCCAGAAGTTCCCATTTCTTAGGCGGCTGGTTTTCGGCTGGAGACATACAATTGCCTAGTACGGTAGCGACGTCCTCCCGGATTGACTTAGCCACATCCAAGTTCGCCGCCTCTATCTGTGGTTGAGGAATCTGATTGTGAGTTGCACCACTGCCCTCATCTCTTCTTCTAGGCACGGTTGCTTCGAATTGGTCAAGTAGTACTTCCATAGAAGCATCTTGGATTAGCCCAATAGATTGGACTGGTATATCGTGAGAGATCTCGTATGCGCGACCATAGTGTATTCTTGCAGTCCGTGAAAGTGCTGTCGATGGGTGATCAGATTTCATCCGTACGGGGGCAAGTACCATCCCTGTTTCGTTAGCCATGGGAGGAGGTGGCTCTTCACTTGAATGAAGAATTCCGAACAGCTCCTGGTCCGGTTGATCCCCACAACCCCGTCGAGAGTATCTGTATGTTACGAGTATGTCAGCTAAAAGTCATCACGCAAACCGAGAACAAATCTTAGTAGGGAGTTCCGTTCGCTTACGTGTGGATCCCGAGACAGAGACATCTGTCTACTCCTTGACGGACAACTACAAAGCGCTGGATAAGGACCGGGCCTCTTAGATAGTCGTCGAACCAAGATGACACATTGAAGCGTCCTATTAATTCTTGGTCAGTCATGATTGGCGTGGGGTCTACTACATGGGTTAAATTTATCCATGCCTCCTTCGAGAAGCTCGAGCCTGGAATAGGGCTTGCAAGACTCTCAGGAGGCACCAATTTTACCCTCATATCCATCTCTAGACCTTCAGAAACCTCCCGAGGTAGCATTGATAAATAGTATTCCCAATGATGAACGCGAAAATGGCAGCTGGCCCAATCGTCTTTAGGGCATGGTGTGGCATCTTGTCTGGCATCTTGCGCCCGTAGTTTGGTTCTACAAAGCAAACAGATGACTTTAGTAGGATCTTGCCGACTACTTTCGCAGTATTGAACCATTCTCTCTAAGGGGAGTCCCCAAATTTGGGCAAGTCGCTTGCCTCTGTCCTCAATAGTTTCCGCAATAGCCTTCTCCTTGAGCGTTGAAACTGGTTCAAGAGGGAGGTTTCCAAAGTCAACCTTCCTAAATCCCCGGTGACTTTGTAGACTCCAAGAAGAGGTGATCTGCGCCGAAAATATCTGACCAGGTCGGAAGAAGTATTCCGGGGCGCCCTGTTTATTAAACCCAGGACACGCTGTTAGGTTATGAAAGTCGCGAAACATCTTGGCCGTAAGTTTTATATCTTTTCCCCAGCTTGTATCATCATGTCCCTGTTGTTCTTTATCATAATCTGGGTATATCGCCGCTGTAAATCTATCATAACCAGTACTGCCATTTCTATTAGAAAGCTCTTAAGGACGGTAACAGGGTGAATATACTTGTAGTAACATGCTAGAGATACAAGGCAATTGATAGCTGCTAGCATCGTGGCTAAGGTTCCTTTCAGATCTCGAACCTAATTGATGAATCATGAGTATTGAGCCACTATTCCATATGTCAGAGTAGGCGTCACCTTATCGGGCATCTGAGTAGCCCATTTCCCTTTCTTGTAGACATCTTTAAGAATCTTACCCGAACCGCCCTGTCGTAGACTCTCTTCATAATTCTCGTATTGAGTAAGAAATTTCTCAATTGCCTCACTTGCGGAGTTAATCGTGAAGAGAAGGGCGTTAATAGTTGCCTGTGCAAGCTGATTTGCCGCACGAAGTTGGTCGACTTGGATTAGAACCTTATGAACCACATGAAGCTGCGAAATAAGTTCCTGATAGTCGCTCGAAGCCCCCTTCGTGTCCGACAGGGCTTTACCAAGCGTATATGCCAGTTGCGCGCCCGCCAGGATATCACCGACTGAGAATCCAAATGACATGATGAAAGCGATTGAAGGAACCCGCCCAGTAAATGTAGGGACTGCGACTATAACTCGCGACTTGGAAAAATACGATTTAAGTATGTTCAGATTATCGAGAGCCTTTAATCTTGAAGCTCTATATGTAGAGACGTGGTTGTATTGGTAAGGCTTTAGGTTAGGCACCTATTCAGCACAGCCATTGCATAGCCAGTATTTCCAAGCCTGGTGATCAACCTTGGGTAAGCCTTATGGCAACCATGATAAAATGGAAAAAGTTCGGAGTTATCAGAGATTGTGATAACTTGGTATTTCAGCAAACCAATCATAAAAATGGTGGCTAAATACAGATTCAAAATACATCGGAGAAAATCTCATATTGTCATATTACAAGGTAAGCAAAAACCATCTGCATTTCTTGGGAATTCTATGGTGAGGCTATTAATTCTAAGGTACAAAAGGAGAAAACTAGATCTTTCGCATTTATCACCATTGTGCTTCCTTTAAAACATGGATAATTATTTCATCCTCAAGTTTTCTTTTTACCTTTCTATTTTCCAATAAAGGCTTTTATTAAGAAAGCCATCAATAATCTATAAGGTAGTGCATAAGGTGTATATATTATCCGAGTGACCAGAGCTCTCCTGCAACATTCTTTCATAGCAGATACTATTATCTGACCCTGTCCTTTGGCCTAGGTAGTAGACAAATAACGGGTTTAGCATATAACTATTTTTGAAACAGTGGTCTTTTTGTCCCCCGAACAAGCCTATTGTAATCGAATTCGAGGTTTGTTTCCCTTGTCAGGTATTATAAGCAATTGTTTAAGATAGTTCAAACAAGGCCTTGTATCGGATCAGGAGCCCCCTTTTTTACTTTTTTAAGTCTGTTTCTGCCTATATTTCAGCTTCAATCGCCTGTTTGATTCGTCAAGCAACCTTAACCCGACCTAAAACCTTGGTTTACGTGTCTACGCTATCAAACTTACTCTCGCAACAATGCCTGGAGGCTGTAGGGACATCTATAATACGTTAGAAGGAGAAATTATGGATCACGAGCCATGCGCCACCCCTCTTCCTCCGGGAGTCACAGAAGACATTTATAGCAGCGTCCGCAATACTCCACCTCCAGGAATTGTACGAGCATACCCACCGCAACCTATAAGTTACTCAGCATACCGAAAGGCACTCGAAAAAAATGTTCGTGTCATAACTAACGACAATGTATCTGTATTCGGTGACATCGCCCACTATGTCGAGTATGGATTAGACTCCGCGGGACGACGCGTTGAGCTATATTTAACCTGTCATATATCTCAGACCCCATTAGACATAATGTCAAGAACACCACGCTCGAGGGACCCACAGGACATGTCTCTATCGGAACCCATGGCGGTCTTACCTTGTGGTCACTTTTTTGGCTTCAGGGGTATTGATGATTGGACCCGAACTCGTTTTAACGATAATGTCCGACCAGATTGCCCCTTGTGCCGCTTTCCTCTCATCTATCCCCAATGTGGTCACGAAATAAGAATACGGCCCTACGACCCACGCTTCACTCGTGATGGACAGCTTCCGTTAACTATTCCTGAAGGGGGATCTGTTCCTGACTACTGCCTAGGATGTCGTGTTGACTATCTTAAGTGGATGGGCCAGCATGTAGCGTCTCAAATCTACCCTGATGATATACCCTATTCCGCGTTCGTACGTCCAAATCGATGCGGGCCGATCCAATTCGAAAACAAGAGGATTGGGATGCAAGAATATTTACTAGATATGGCTTTCATGGCTGAAGCTGACTACTCCCATTGGTAGCTACCTACCTAGGTAGTTAACCCCCCAGTCCAATGGGTCTTGTTCTTGTGGCTTGATACAGTTAGCGAGCGATTGCGATCTCATTATTTACTCCCTAGGATGATGGAATCAGAAGGGAAATGTTTTAAAAATCAATGTAATTATCTCCTACGTAGAATCATAATACAAGATTCTTACTTATTTATATATAGAGCTATCTGGGCACCCCCCTGGATTAGATACACATATAGGTCGAGATTATGGAGAGGCCATAGTAGCTACATTTGGTGTAAATACTTAAGGTTAGTAGGTCGAAGGTATACAAGTAGATATAGCATGATTATTACTACCTTTAATAGAATCTACATCTTACATATGATGTGTCCTTGTGAAAAGTCCAAACCACCTTAGCGCCCTCTTCGCCCCCCTAAAAAGTTTAAAATCAAGCCGTTGCACTCCTCATCGATTCTAGAATGCCTCTAACGTTGGCAAACTCTAACTCTTTCATTGTCTCGTCGAACAATTGGTCTGCCGCATCCTTTCCTTCAGGAGTATACAGAAAGGAGTTGAACCTGGATTATTACTGAGTTAGTACTTAAGCAAGAAAAGGAAAGAGGCGTGTAATTATAGACACTTACGGTGAAACCTTCCAACTCATGAGGAACGAACAGTGTGACTCCTTTCCCTTGACCAAAGCCGCATCCAAGTAAGTCGAGGCGCCATCCCTCACCGTCCGCGCTGCTATAGCGGAAAACAGGGCCAGCATGGGCCTTAGAATGATACTGACGTCCCGGCTAAGCTCGGTGCCCTTAACGTAACCCGGACACACCAGGTTAACGATTACATCGTCCGCAGATACGTACTCGCTAAGCTTATAGGCGAACATCTGAGCCAAGACCTTAGACATATTGTAGTTCTTGTCAGCATTCGGAGTAAAATTCTTAGGGTCATCCAGAGTCGCTATGATGGATTTGTGGCCGACGGCCTTCGGTAGAGGTGCGGTGAGTGCCAAGGCCGCATTGACAATTGTAAGCCGGCCGGGGGTTCCGGGTGGGGACTTCCTTTTGAGGATAGGGAGCAGCAGGATGGCAAGGAATATCGTCGATAGGTAATTCACCTGGAGAATTTGTTCGTGGCCAGTGCTAGGCTCCGTGGTGTATTTTAATTTAATTACACCTGCATTGAGAATGGCAATATCTAGCCGAGGCAACTGATTATCGACACGCTGAGCAAACTCCTGGACGGAACTGTACTTGCTCATATCCACGATCATAACCTCGATTTTTGCTTTTGGATGCAATGCTCGAAGTTTGGAGGCGGCTGCGTCCCCCTTTGCTTGATTTCGGACAGCAATGATTAGATGAGATAGACGGAGAGCAAGCATTTGCTTAGAAGCTTCATATCCCAGGCCGGTATTGGCTCCAGTAATGAGAGCAACTTTCCCGGTAAGGTCGATAGTGCTCGGCGGATGTTGGGGCTTGGTCCGGAATTGATTCTGCACAAAGATACTGCCGAATCCGACGTCGAATGGTGGTAGGTCTTTTGAAGTAGCCATTGCGTTTTTGAAGATATAATCTGAGTTGTGATTCCAGATCGATACTTATATAGCTGCACTATGTATTGTACCTAGGTAGGTAAGGTAGGTAATCTTATACCTTGGCTGGTAGCTTGGAAATTCCGATGTGTTGGCGAGTATGAATGAATAGCAGCATTGTGACGGGGCTGGCATCTTATATATGATACGGAACGCCATGACGTTGACTACGTTTCGTTCTCTCCTGTCCACGCAACAAGCTTGGTGAAGTTCTATTTTCACAACAATGAGTCGGCATCTTGAACGGAGACTTTCTACAATAGAGACAAGCTCCCGGCAGTGCTAGAAGATGCAGGGATCGGGATCCTCATCTTTGCATAATGTTCATCCAATAGGAGCCGGCTTCTATTTCGAATCCAGCATCCGCCGCTACGGCACATAGAGTCTATACCCAAATCGGCAAACAATCTTGACGACGCTTAACCAGATGAGGTTTAGCATAGTGAGCACCGTTATACGACCATCGCACGCCCGTCTATACTTGACGAATCTCGGAGACCCTACATTATAAACTCATTTAACTACCTAAGGCACGCTTTAAATATCCATCTATGCCAATATTCTCATACATCGACTGTTTTCCCATCTAGGAAATCAATCTTGTCTATTTCTCTCCTGCGGTATACCCATCTGGGCATACAATCTAAAAGCTCAAATACAATCCCCACAGAGAACGAATCCCAATCGTGGCAGCCTGCCTGCTCCTCATGATCTTTCTTGGAAGCCACTGATACCGGTTATACCAGTTGGCTATCCCTCCGTGTATAGCCCCTCGTCGGTACCTGGCCGACGATATGGCGCCAGCCCCCAAGAGTTCAGGTAAGGAACACATAATCATCTATTAGGTACCTACTTATCCGAGAATCGAAGCTCACATATGTACCTACCCAACCGGGCAGGGGACATGCCCTTCATAGTATCTACAGGCACCAAAAAGCCCGATCCCGAAATGCGGAAGTTCATCCGGAGCCATGTGATGATGGGTAAGAACCGCGGAAAGATCTTACGTCCGAAAAATAATAAAGCAGGAGAATCAAACGGCCTGGAAGGGTTGCATAATTCTAGATCAAGATCAGGTGAGGAGGAATATGATGATACCGCGCCAATCACGTTAATCCCCGTCGTGGTCCCTAGAAGAGTCGGTGGCGATTTATCTTTCATCCAGTTCGCCGACACGATAGAAGACTCCAGCGTCGCTGTTATCTTGGAATGTAAGTATATGGCCTAAATATCACCGAGTACCCCATACCTCCAAAACGCCCTTTACCCAGCCCTCTGTATACTTGGACCACATTCTTATACATATCCACGTAGTCTCTAGCATCGCGAAGAAACTACTGTTCCCCTTACAATCATGCATTGCTTTCGATGTGAAGGAAAAGTCAACCTGGATGGAGGCCCTCACCGTCGACGCCGCATATCTCCACGCCCTAGCTTTCTCGACACGGGCCTACTTTGACCTGATGTCAGGCCGTAGACCAGACAAGAGGCCTACGTCGGCGTATCCACATATGCTCAAGACACTACGACTCCTACGCGAGAGGTTAGATCTGCCAGAGCACAACATGGTAGTCAAGTCATCATTCAGTACGGCCGCAGTAGTGCTATGCCTCGCTTTCCACGCCCACATTATGGGCGAGCACGAAACAGCTGGACACCATATGTTAGGGCTTCGCAAAATAGTCGATTTGAACGGGGGGCTAAAGGGTCTGAAAAACGAGAAGCTTGTCATTGAACTGCTAAGGTAAGATTGACATCATATCCTTCCCTCTACTTACCCCTTTTAACAGTCTATACAGGTGCGACGTGGGAATGGCCTTACATAGTGGCACCAAACCCATATTCTTCTCCGACCTGGTGCGGGAGCCGTACTGGCCATACCCGGACTTCATGTTACACGGCATCACCGCCGATCCCGAAGACGAGCCGCTTCTCGCTGCCCTCGATATAGAGTTGGCCACTGCGTGGCGCACGATGAAGCAGTTCTGTGTTCTTGTCAACCGCGCCGCCGCCGCCGGTCAAAAACTACCCAAAGGAGACCTACTTGATACCATGGCCTCGGTCATGTACCGGCTACTGCATATGTCTTTTACGCGTGGCTCTCTCTCCGAGGTCGTGCGCTTAGGCCTACTAGCCTTTTGTTCCAGCGTGTTCCTACAGTGGGCCAGCGTGCGGCTACCGTATACGCATTTTCCAACTATGTACCAGGACAATCTTGTGAACCTCGAGTTCCCCGCCCCGGATAACGAATCTAGTGGTATAAACAACTTCACCACTCCACGGCTGCTTCTCTGGCTGCTAACTGTTGGTGCCTTTTCCGTGTTTGGCGGGGTTAATAATGAGGCTTGGTTGAAGGCCTGGCTGCGTGTCAATCTCGAACTATGTGGTATAGACTCGTGGCCTGCCATGTGCGCCGTGCTGGATTCGTTCATGTGGGTGGGGGTTGTGCAAGATGCGCCCGGAAAGGCCGTCTTCGATTCAACTATGTCTTTAGGTTTATGTCTGGAATTCGATTGACAGACTGGCTTCGACATTGCCGTGGCTTTGTTTGTATTAACTCACTCGACTTAGCGTTGACTTAGCGTTGTGTTTTGGGTATTGCTTCATGAGTCCTTCCTAGTAGTGTATAAACTTGAACATCAGGTAGTGTTTTATTAGTCGAGCGGTCTCGGATCGTATATTTCAAAACACCTTTACCATGAAATACATGGAAACCAATTCGAAGTATAATGATAATGTAGATGTTCTCATTTAATCAGTTACTTTTAGCCTGCCGCAACCCATATATGCAGACGTATAACCCAAACACCCGTGACACCCTTGCTGAGCAATGTAAAATGACTAAAGCAGTAGCCGAAGCGCTTCGACGTAGGGCGTCCATCGCGAAATCTCCTTATCATACAACTTTTAAATGTGAAGAGTTGGCGGGGTATTTTCTCTTCCGTAGTTGATCGTGTAGAAGTCCTCCATTCTAACCCCTTAAACACCGATAAGGGTATTCACACAGTAATGTATTTCTGGGTAATTGACTTATCTTTTATTACGAGTTGTTACGTTATCGCTCATATCTCGGTAATGGTTCTGATCTCACGGTCCGCTCTGAAGGTCCGGCGATGTCATGATAAGCATCTAGATTTCCATAGTCGTGGTCATCACGAATAACTGGAGCTGTGGGTTCCACACTCCCTGATGGGCCAAGTGTTGGTGCAGATGGCCCCTCGCCCTCGTAGTCTTCCGGAACCTCTGGGGGCGCACTAGCTTCCTGGAGAAGACGCCGACGCTCAAGCTCCTGTTTGTCATCGACATTAGATGAAGATGGGGGATATGTCGGCGTTAGATCTGTCAGTATAGGCGCAGACGGTTCTCCGACATCCACTTCCTGCTCCGGTAGTGAAGTGTGGTTACTTGAATCATGATTACCATTAGTCGGACGAGCGGATTCATCAATCGGTGCGGATGCCTGCGATGGGCCAGCTTCCGATTCTTCAGGTTGCAGTGGCGGCTGGCTAGGTAACAACCTCTGCTCTGCTTGGCGAACGCGCTCCTTTTCCGACAGCTCGCTCTGCCTGGGTACCTCTGGTGGTGGGACATAGACAGGAGCATGTGATTCCCGGTCTTGAAACTCATAATAGGACGTTTGAGGAGAGGCTCCTGGCGGATAATAATTTTGGGGCGACGGTTCGCGTTGTCCAGACGCGAAGTCTCCGTTATAGTTATTTCCACCGTCAAATTCATTTTGCCAGGTATAGTTCAGCTCATCGTTCTCGCCGTGGATATCTTCCGAAGGAGGCGGTTGAATCGTGAGCGACGGGCGCACCACAGATTTGCCTCGAGAGCGGGTGGAGTCCATAGTCCCAACTACAACCTCAAAGGACACGGATATAACGCCCTTTTCACGTCTTAAGTGATCGGTGTCGACTATTGTACCATTCCAGTTGGCAAGTCGCTTCAGATCATATGATCCGACCGTTGAGGCAGGATTGCCACCCGGAACCCCTAAAGATCCAATCCTATTTGCTTGCTGAGAGCTTCCAGTGGACTGGCCCGCGAGTTTTCCGCCCAAATCGAGAACTACCTCAACGTGATACCTGAAACTAATTAAGCCCCCAGGGACATTTTTAATGCTCGGAAATACATCTTCGGGTATTCTAATAGACGTCGTAATATTCGCTGTAAGCGTGACAGGATCGATTATAAGCGGCGCAACCGCTTGAGATAGGTCTTTTCGAAAAACGCTACAAGAACCAGCAGAGGACAACGATAGCCCCCCAAGTCCAGTCCTTGATCTTGGATAATACTCTTCGTGCTTTAGTCGCTTGGCATCTTCTTTAGAGAGCTCCGCCGTGAATAAGGACAGCGGTGGTGAATAATCTACGCGACCTTGGCGATACAACGTGACAATAATACCATGCATACTCTTCATGCGGCGGTTATGCTCAACCTTGATCTTAACAGGTAATATATCTCCAGGAAGACAGCCTCCTTTCAATAATTCAACGGTCGCGGTTATTTCTCTCTCATCACTCCCCGACAACCTACTCGCAGCCACAGATTCGGCGCTGGCATCGGCACCTCTGGCACTATTAGAGCCGCTGTTGTTGCTAACTGCACTATCGCCACTGATTTCACTCTGTAGGTCATGCGGTATTAAGTCGCTCCGTAATGGGCTTCGCGGTAAATGGTTTCCGGGCGGCCCGACCGACGTTGTCACTTCTCCCAGACTAACGGAACTCCCGTTGGAATTTTCGTTTACCCTTGTAGAGTCGAGGTCCGACGCCGGTTCCCGCCCTTCTGTAGATACCGAGCCGCGATGGGCAGTTGATGCGACTGCCGGCACCGGTCTTTTTTTCTTTTTCGGTCGTCTCCGTAAAGTCTGCATACATACCCTCCGCTCTCGTGGAGGGGCAAGTACACCTATATCCACCTTTTCTATGAGCGCTACTTTCGTCTCGCAACTAGAAGTTGCAGCTATCGAAGTCGGCCGCGTTAATGTGGCCGTGACCATGTAGGATATCGTCCCTCTCTCGAACTATAACAGTTTGTATTAGCATTATTGGCTAGCAGTAAAAGCATCATCAAGGCAAGGCAGTTCATACATCAATACTACTTGGTAGCCCCTTGGCAGGAAATATGAGGTCGAATTCAAATTCGAATCTTGTAGGCTTGAGCCTCCCCTCACCACACAGAACCTGCTCATCCTGAAAGAGAGAAGCCAGCCCATTCCCGCAATACCTAACGCTTCGGCTCCTTTCGTGGGAAATCACAGCGGGATTGACGGGACTAAGCTGTGCGCCAGCACCAGCATGTTTGTAGACGCGAACATATCCGTGTAGGGCGACAGTCAAATGCGTTATGCGAATCGGCTTAACGACAGAAAGGACAACGTGACCCCTGACGTGATCGCCAGCAGAATATTGGCGATGAGGCTCTTGGAGGCGAATGTGGAAATCAGCGAGATTACGTGTTCGGGAGCGAAGAGGCGACGTCAGACGAGAAAATAAGGAGGGCCTAGATGGCGGGTCTTCGGCCGGCAAGTTCTGACCTTTGTCGGCGTCGGAACCCATCTATTCAACTAAACTCAATTGACAACGCCGTGCGTGTCTTGCATGACACCACACGGATACCGTCGTCAACTACCCAATAGTCCGTTCGAGGCCTAGCCGAGATAAGAAACGAAAAGTCGCTCGGGCAGCGGACGGGATCGGCCTTCGCGTGTTTCACGATCGAGAGGTCGCGGTAGTCACGGTCGAGGACTAGGACAAAGGGGGGACGGCCAAGGCGACGGCGGCGATATTGAGGACCCCTAGAGGAGTCCTATGGCTAGGACGCCGAATGAACACGCGAAAGGTAAAAAAAAGTTCGAGATGCGCTTAGTTGGGATTGGCTTTCGGGAGAAAGTTCACCAAGATCTTGGGTGTTGCATGTGCCAAGCTGTGGGAGAGGCTTGGTAAGAAAAGGGACTTGGGTTTGGGAAGGGATGCCAAGAGATGGGACCTCCAGCTTTTATTGTTATTATTAGGTTGCGTAGGAGGTTAGTAGGCACTAGGTTAGGCAGGTTAGGTAGCGTCGGAGGGGTATTATAGGGTCTTGTATGTTGTACAAGCGTTAGGTTAGGAGGTTATGTACCTAACGTAAGATGTAAGAAGCTTACCCCGGGTCTAATAATGGACGCGGTTGCTTGCTTTTGCTGCTGGCTGGCTGGCTCTAGACTGCACTAAAATTGGCTGGAGGTTTTAAGTTTGGATGCGTACATCCATAAAGCCCGACCCCGGAAGAAATCCCGTTTCGCTAGAAAAAAAAAACCTTCAATGTTGGACGTTAAATAGACAGGTGCCTAAGCGAAATTGATATTAGATAATCTTGTAAGACTTCGAAATTCAATTAGGTACACTGGTGTAGCACATCGGCAAGAGTTTCTCAAGATTAATCACAGGTTTCACAAGTAGAACTAGTTATGTAGGTATGTATAAGCCACCATCTTCGTAACCAGCCACCTATCGAATTACACTATGGATTATTATGGATTATATGGATTCAAACCCAACATCTAACTAATCGTTGGGGACATTTGACCTAGCGCACGTAGTGTTTCCCACATATATGCGCCGCCGTATCCGGAATGGACCCTTATTAGTTTCTAATGAAAAAGCATGTTGGTTTAGAATTGGGTAACATCGGATGAGCGTCAGGACTCCGGCTATGAGATATTTCTCTCACTAATATCTTACTAGACGATTGACAGCAATAGTAATAGGCCACAGTTCGTACCTAGGTACGCATTACGATGCGCGGGCTAGTTAACCGAGGGGCCACAAACTTAGTAGCGTCAAGGTGAGTGAGTCCATTCCCCCCCTCCGTTAGCCACCTATCGGGATTGTAAACGTTCGTATGTACAAAGGTCTCACAGTACACCATGCAGCTCACGAGACTTGCTTCGGTGACATGGAAGACAGAACCTGGATATGGTAAGCCGCCACGCCACGTAAGGATCTAAAGGCGCAGCTGTTTTGCGGTCTTCGGCCTACTCGGTCGGCAGGGTTATCCTTATTCCCAACCCAACGGCAGCTGACCGGAGTTTGGAGTTTTTCAATTATGGTTCAGCCAAATATGTCCCAAACAAAGACGTTCGCTTAGGTATACTGCGCATGTCGTGTGCGGTTTGCCTAATAGATATGTATATGTAAACTTCCTTTAAGCGGCCATGATCTCCGTTTTCGCGTGTCACCGCTCATAGTACTCCGCTCTAAGGTTAAAAATCTTATCAGAAGTTAAGGCATAAGTACTTCAAGTCTCAATTCCATTACTTCGGTGTATTTAGAAGCGAATGCCCATAAAAGGTTCTATGTTTAAAGAGTATGCAGACAATCGCATGCATGGTTTTGGGGATTTAGCTTAGGTTGCATGACTTTAGCTTTTCACGGTTTTAGCTTCGATAAGCACAGTCAAACGAACTAACGAGGTCAGACAAGCTTTTGTCCAAGTAGAGCTTAGCTCATCGGCACCTAGCCGAAAATAGTCTGTGCATTACTTCGTACTAGGGGCAGTTAGGGGAATGCTTGTTCGTGTGGGGAAGTCACATGATCTTAAGTCCGAACCAAGACTTACCTAACAACTTCTACCCCTTAGTTAACGCAAATACATAGTAGTTCTTCAGTCGGCCCTGATTACTGTTCTATTTCTTGGGTCGCTTTAAGCTATGCATTGATTATAAATTCTATTCGTTCTTCATCGATCAGAACGAGCCCACTTAAATGTGAGGTCTTGGTTGACCGGTCAAGAACAAAAAAAACTAAGAAGAGTAAATATATCCATCGCGTCGCATCGGGGCCAGCAGTATGGTTACCAAAGGTTTCATGGACATTATAACATAACACATAGAACAAAAGGCCCTTGGTCTTACATACCCGTTATCTTGTACTGTTTCTTAGTAGACGTAACATTTAAGCCTACTGAAAAAAAAGCAGCTTCATAATGTTTTCATAGTCTTATCATCTCATCAACCCCTTTTACTTCGAAAATGCGATAGAAATACAAACTCGAATCTTCCTGCACTCGGTCTTCGAATCCTGACTATGGTGATCTTTTAACTAACTAGATCAGTTAAATTCAACACAACTGCTGTTTCGAGGTTGAATCCCCTTTTGGATTTCACCGGTCATAAAAGACTTGCCTGATTTTCCTCACCAATGCCTACGTCATTGTCTTACCACCCTATTTTATCAGCACGGATGATGGGGACCCCGCATCGGGATCGTAAATAGATCCATCCACCTATCCTATGTGTGACTCTCAAGGGCGTTATAATGGTTACCCACGTGCTTCGTGTAGCATCGGCCATGATAGACGGAAGTTTGTCGACGATGTGCAACCGTTTAACTAATTGGTCTCCAATCTCCGAACCCAAGTTATCGCGGTCACCGAGGGCGCGGGGAATAATACGTAGAGAGCTCCTTTTGCCCTGTCTCTCGGGGTAGAATGCTACAGTTAGTACTCTGTATGGAAGTCCAGACCTCATATACCATGTGCCTGCGGGATGAAGTCTTTTATCTAATACTCAAGTTTAACCCTTGCCCCGATTTCTTGTTGCTGTCTAGAATATTTAATTCACTTATAGTTTAGACTTACCTAGGAATTAGTAGCTACTTTCTCGCATTGTGCCGTCTAGAAATGCGGTATCACGTAGGCAAATAGACTGCTTGCCCACGGATATACCGAGGTATAGAGGAGCGGGCCGGTATGATCTTCTTCATGCTCCAAACCAGATACGATAAATTAAAGCTATCCGAGTATTCATTCGTTATAATGATTGGTTGGGTAGCACTCCGTGGCCTCCGGTTGCAGATGAACCAGCAATGGTTATCAGTTCTCCAATATCCAGACAGGGAATACCAGCCATGACCGGCGTATGAACGTCTATATAAGAGTTGCTATGTTATGTTGTTCCTAAATTTTAACAATCTCCAATAGCCAGATAACCTTGCCCTCGTTCTTATATTCAATACATTCCCAAATCTTGAACCATAGCCCGCACGGTTTGAAGTCCATAGCAACATGGACATCACTGGAAATGCATTTGTTACCGGAGGAGGCAAGTAAAATATCATAGTCTATGAGCGCCAATAACTTATGTTCTTTAGGAAGCGGAATTGGGAAAGCCTCTTCTGTAGCTTTGGCAAAGGAGGGAGCTAAGGGCCTCCTCGTGGCAGACATCAACCTCAAGGCTGCCGAAGAAACCATCGCAGAAGCTACTGCTGTTGCTACTAATCCTAGTTTCCGTGCCGAGGCAATTCACCTTGATGTCACGAGCGAAGAATCGGTCAAACAAGCCGTTGCCAAAATGATCGAGTCTTTTGGCCGTATTGACTACTGTGTACACTGCGCAGGAGTAAGTTCAGACATCGGGATATTTTTACTAAATACCAATCATTGGTAAATATCAGGGATTTACTTCTAGTGCTGACTTCTAAGACCGGATTATGGTCATATCGGACAGTTGACGAAGCTAGCTTCGACGAGTTGAAGAAATCCCTCGCCGTCCATGTCCACGGGACCTTCCTTATAACCAGTCTGATCTCAGCGGTCATGAAGTCGCAAGAACTAGTGACAGTCGACTCTGCTCATCCAGAGCGAGGCGGGACTCGTGGTTCAATTGTCCTCCTAGGCTCATCAGCATCCATATTCCCAATCCCTAAATTAGTGCCATATACTGCGTCGAAGCATGCTGTGCTGGCAATTGCCAAGACGGCTGGTAAGTGTCACAACAGAGTTACCTCTCGATTTGCTCTGCTTCCTAACACGCTTTTACATCTAGCTATGGAAAGCGGCGTTCATAATATCCGAGTGAACTGTATCTGTCCTAATTGGACTGATACGCCTATGCTACGGCACACATTGGAGATATCCGAGGAGATGAGTGTCGAATCGCTCTTGGCTACTATACCGACCAAACGGCTTTGCACAGCTTATGATATTGCCGACGCCGCACTTTTCCTGTGCAGCCCGAGGTCATGTTATATAACAGGAGTTGCTTACCCGGTTGATGGTGGTATGGCGCTTACCTTGAAGACTTGATTGTCACTGTCTAGGGCTATCTAGGTACCTAGTAGGCTTAAAGCAAAACGTGTATCATATGTAATGAAAGATGTATGGAATGGAGGGCATATAAGGTACATACAAGGCAGTAACAAAGTAGACTGACTTCGCCCCTATTGTGTGTCGTTTCCTCTACCACACCTCGATTTACTTGAGAGCAAATGATATCTGTCGCGTAGGTGGGAGGCTAGAGTACGAAGAAGATTATAGAGTACTCTTCCATAACTCAAGAGGGCCTTAACCGATGACAGATCCCACAAATAACCATGGCTCTTACCTGCTTTATGGCAGATACATATTCATGATGCATTGATAAGAATAGTGCCCGTGACTTACGGATTTAGTCAGTGGATCGGGTGGCAGAATAATCTGTTTGGCTTTGATGAAAGCAAAACGCCATGTGCATACTATTATCTAGTGAAATAACACGCGTATGTATTGCCAAGTCCACATAATAGCATGGCCACTTCGGTCTCGATTCGTGGAGCTCTTAGTACGACCCCGTGCACCTCTTGGGAGCGGCATAACCGCATCACGCAGAGTTACTAGTTCATATTGAACTGTTCAATATGTTAATCCTATATGGTAGCAACAACCGGGAAGAAAACTGGCATGTGACGATTGAATAAAGCGGGAGGAAATGAAACTGGACAGGTGGTAGACGAAAGGGGGCTTGATAGCAAGTACTTAGGAGGTGGGGAAAGGAGCTTAGAATAATTATACGAAGGTAGCCGATATAACGGAAGTCTTTAATTAACATTTATGCATTGGTATCTAACGTATCCTCATCTGAGGATGATCTCTGGGTATGCGAAGTAACGCCCTCATGAATGCCTGTAATGCAACGCCGTGTCTATGCAAGATCGTGTCCTTTTGAAAATCTAATCCAATGCTTCGCCGCTGAGAATGCTCCTTAGGATATCAACGCCAAGTCCCTCCACGGCTTGTTCCAATTCTTTCTCTCCAACGCAGCTTGCAACCTTCTTTTCGTCCGCTAATCCGATGCCGGACCCAAATCCACCCTTCTTTCCCCTTTTGCTCGGTGTATGGAGCATAGCAAGGGAACCTGTCTTCCCATCCACCGCAGAGACCAAAGATAATGTCTCGAGACTGCCGATGACTTCACGAAATTCTGAGCTTGACAACGGATGTAGAAGAGATTCTCGGGTACACAGTATACTATATGTCTCGTATAATCGTTTAATGCTTGGGGCAATGCTTTGTGACTTGGACGGCGTAGTCGGAACGGACATTTGAGATGCCCTATTTCGCTTTTCTAGCGCCATGAGTGAGCACAATGCTGCCTTCTGTTGCAAGTTTAAGGTCTTTAATCGTTGGTTTGTTCCATTGCTGAACGCGGCGGCTGTGACCTTGTTCAGATGTGCTATGCTTACGCGAGGTGCTGTTTCTACTGTTAGGCCTCTTAATGACTCTGCTAGCATTGCTGATGGACCTTTCTCCGACGATCGTTTAGGCGAAGAGGAGAGATTCTTGTTTTCCCCGAGAGGTTTCTTCGACGGTGTAGCGAGAAGTATCTTTTCTTTAATCTCTGCCTCGTGTTTCTGCTTTGTCTCGGCCTCCACGAGGTCGAGAGCTCTTCGACATATCTCGAAGGCTTTTCGCAGGTCACCTGTCTGACTTGACACTTTGCGGGAGCAAAGTTCAATGGCGGCTGGGTGAATGAATGGTAGCGGGCTACCCTCAGGCACAAGGCTCTTGAGACGGGTAGTGATTATCGATTTGATCTGTGCTGCTGAATATGGCAGAAATGGGAGGAGTTCGGGCTTTAGGTTCCGAGATTTCAAGCGTGGAAGAAATCGGTCTGTTAGGTCCAGCGCATTCGCAATGCCGATCAACACAAGGCGTGATGACTTTTGCATGGACCATTCGAATAGTCGGTATAAACTTTCCAAGTCCAAAGTGAGAATATGGTCGATTTCATCTAAAACGACCAAGTAGACACTCGTTGTCTTTTTTCGTGGTATGAAGAGCTTCTCAACCGTCGTGGCGGCGTCGCCTTCGGAAATGTCTGTCTCATCGCAAATTTGGTCTATAAGAGTTCCGTAAAGATCCTTGGATGATTTTATGCTCATGCAATTGATGTAGGCCTTCTTCACAGTTTTTGTTTCAACCAAATCTTGCGTGACTTCATTTATCATAGCACTTTTCCCTGTTCCTGGTGGCCCACTGACATATATGCATCCACTGGGGTTGGGCTTCGAGCATCGTTGTAGAAATTCTTTTAGCTGTGAACGCTCATCGTCACGTCCAATCAATTGACCGGGATCGGCACTTCGGGAAAATAGTTGGCGTGCGTGATGGTATACAGTCTGAAGGGCGGCAGGCGTGAGTGGTGTTTGTGGGAAAAGGCGTTTCGAGACCCTTCCGGTAGGCGTAACCCGATGACGGGGGGTAACGGGGACTTTTGAGAGGGCATCTCGGAAACGAGGTGTACTGGGCGTACGTGGCGTGGGCGGTGCGCATTCACCTACAAACTCAATCAGATAATGCTCCTTTATTAACTACAATGTGAAATGTTCTTACCCTCTCCACTCTCCTCTGCATTACGTATACGTTTGGAAGGTGACTTGTCTGTGACCTTTAAGACGCCAATTTGGCTATCGAGATTGTCATCGGTAGTAGTTTCTTCGGGGTCTACATTTTCGTCATTGGGTGAGCAAGTACGTGTCTGGCGCCGTGTTCGTTTTGTAGGTGCATCTATAACTTCTAGACTCGGTGTCAGTTGCTTCAATTGGAGATTATTTGAATTATATTGCTCTTACCAATTTCTTTTGTACTCCTAGTCCTCTTTCCGAGAGTTGATCGCGCCATCTTGATTGTGTTAGGTAGTTTTACTCAATGCACCTGAAGTATGAGAAGTGAAGTGTAAAGGATGAAGTTGCCTATGATGTGGAGAATTTAGTTTGCAGGAGAAACGGGAAGAGAAGAAAACTACTGTGTAGCTCTAAGATGAAATTGGCAAGGGAGAAGACGCGGGTCCGCAGAACGCGAGAAAGTCGCGTAAAGTGGCTTCAACGCGCAGGCCGTACTTCCCCTGTTTCCTTGAAAGGTCCCTAGCTTTTAACCCCTGGCTAAGGACTTGGCATAGCGCGAACATGACGCGCCAATTCTCCTCACTCTTTCAGCTTTATCAAGTCCACTAATAACCCCACTTTATTTAGCCTTAGTAAAAGCTTGGGCCATCCAAGCTACTGGAATAAGGCGAACTCCGGACTTATACGTTAGGTACCTAGGTACCTCCTATGTATGTACAGCTGGAATTCTTTGTCTCTTAAACCGCCAGCTGCCGATGGCTTATCAATACCTAACTTTGTATACCTCATGCCCACACTTCGAATGTCAGCATCCGAGGTACTACCAATCATCTTTCATCATCGGTGTTAGGTATCTACCTCTTAGGTATCTACGATAGTAGTTGGGCCATCGCCACATCGCCGAAGTTGAAGTCCCACTCTTGAGTTGGACGATGACGAACTATGAATCGTACCCGATTATTTTCAGTATCATTTCCTACTTTCTCTACTAGACAAGGTACTGCTGGCAATAAAGGTGTATAAGGTATACGTTACTTGGTGGGTAGGACTGCTTCGATGTCTGCATTCCTCTTTATTACACCATCGATATGACGGACGATGGTAGTACGGCATATAACAGCCACATCGAGGGGCTTCGACAATATGAGTTCCCCATGTTACGAGGCAAGCTTGCCCCATCCAAATACTATGTACTCTTTACCTATTTAAACCTAGTTGATTAACAAATATATAGATGAAATCTATCTTGACCATGCCGGGACCACGTTGTATGCGAAGTCCCTCGTGGACAGATTCGCAGCGGATATGATGTCGAATCTCTTTGGCAACCCTCATTCCGCTTCTTTATCCTCTCAGACTTCGACCTCTCGGATTGAAGATGTTCGACTCCGGGTCTTGCAATTCTTTAATGCTGACCCCTCTGAGTTCGACCTTGTTTTTGTTGCTAATGCAACCGCAGGCATTAAGCTAGTCGCCGATGCCTTGCGGGGCCACGAGCTCGGTTTTAACTACTTGTATCATCAAGCATGCCACACCAGCTTAGTCGGTGTTCGAGAAGAAGCTTCATATAGTCTTTGTCTGAATGATACTGCTGCACATGACTGGATCAGTGGAACTAATCCGACTGCTGAGTTCGGGTATCATGCCGGGCCAGTCCTCTTTGCATATCCAGCTCAATCCAATATGGACGGCAGAAGGCTTCCTCTAGATTGGTCTGATAAAATACGAAAAGGCCGATCTAATTCGGACTGCCCAATTTTCACTCTGCTAGACGCTGCGGCATTCGCCTCGACATCCCCCCTGGACTTAAGTAACTCGGAAGCGGCTCCCGACTTTACTGTACTGAGCTTTTACAAGATATTCGGATTTCCGGACCTAGGTGGGCTTATCGTGAGACGCCAAGCGGCGTCAATTTTCTCATCCCGAAAATACTTCGGGGGTGGCACGGTCGATATGGTAGTCTGCCTTAAAGAACAATGGCATGCTCCCAAATCGCAGGCCTTACACGAGTCGCTGGAAGATGGGACACTTCCAGTACATAGCATCATTGCGCTGGACTCGGCTCTTGATGTCCATCGTCAATTATTCAACTCCATGGAAGATGTTGCACGCCATACATCGTTCCTACGTCGAAGACTGTATAGTGGTCTAGATGTTCTTAGGCACGGTAATAATCAACCAGTCTGTGTTCTGTACTCAAAACCCCCTCTCGTATCGAACAACGGTCCAGTCATAGCTTTCAACTTACGAAACCACCTGGGTGGTTGGGTTAGTTTGGCTGAATTCGAGAAGCTTGCGGTGTTGAAACGATTTCATATCCGCACGGGAGGACTCTGCAACCCGGGCGGAATCGCATCTTCCCTTAGCCTTGAACCATGGGAAATGAAGAAAAACTTTTCGTCTGGCTTTAGATGCGGAACAGAGAATGATATCATCGGTGGGAAGCCAACGGGGGTTATTAGAGTAAGCCTGGGGGCCATGAGCACCATTTCAGATGTCGATAAGTTCGTTGGGTTCATTGCTGAGTTCTATCGAATTGAAAACACCCCTGAACCTGCGTCTACAATTCCAATCTCAACCCCCCAAAACCCATCTGATCTGTACGTGAAAAGCATCACGGTTTTCCCGATCAAGAGTTGCGGTGGATTCCGTGTTCCTGCCGGGGCAATGTGGGAAGTAAGAGAAGAGGGACTGGCATGGGATCGAGAATGGTGCTTGGTTCATCGAGGCACCGGTCAAGCATTGAGCCAGAAGCGACACCCGCGTATGGCTCTCATCCGACCGGTGATTGATTTTACTAAGGGTCATTTGCGAGTTTCATATTTGGGCCCTTCAAAGACAAGCGAACCTGAGCTATATATCCCTCTATCCGCAAATCCATCTCTGTTTCAAACTAGTGCTGCTTCCAAACCAATGGCTTCTAGGGTTTGCGGCGAAGAAATATCGGCGCAAATATATACATCTAATAGCGTGAATGACTATTTTTCAAAAATTCTCGATGTGCCGTGTATGCTAGCTCGATTCCCGCCAGGCGGCCTGGGGAAAAGTATGCGGCATGCTAAGGCTCACCTTCAGAAGCACCAAAAGGTCAATAAGAAGATACAGTACAAGATACCCTGTCAGTTTCCAGGTATGGATACGCCACCAGATTCAGATTCCGAATCCGAGCGGCAGCGGATTCTACTATCGAACGAAAGCCCAATCCTCGCAATAAACTTATCCAGCCTAGAGACGTTGAATCGGCAAATAGTCGAGCAAGGCGGGAGACATATCTCTCCAGAAGTATTTCGAGCGAACATCGCCATTGCCTCTTCGGCTTCAGAATCACAGTCGCTTGCCTATTCAGAAGATCACTGGTCGAATTTAAGGGTTGGGCAACAGGATTTCAAGATGCTGGGTTCCTGTCGGAGATGCCATATGATATGCATAGATCAAGACACAGCTGAAAAGAGCGAGGAGCCGTTCGTGACCTTGGCTAAGACTAGAAGGTTTGATGGCAAGGTGTTCTTTGGAACGCATATGTGCCATATGCCTTCATCAAAAGCTGACACCAAGGAGGCCCAATTTCCTACCATCGCGGTGGGAGATAAAGTGCTCGTAGATCCAGTCTGATAAATTTTTAGCTTGGTTAAATATTAACTATATTAAACCTACGAGGTGCGCATATGCTTTAGTACCATGTCAAGTGCGAAGGGGAGAATGGACTTAAGAGATAAATATATAAAATTCAGAGAAGATATTTATCTCATACCTGCCTAGATACCCGCCGTCAACCTAATAAGACATTGAGCTATTAGTGAAGCCGGGAAGGCAATGAGCTTATTCTTCTTCTTCGTCGGGGACTTTGCAGCCTACCACAAGAGGTTCGAACACCCCGAGCGCAATAAGCCGTACCGATACGGTAAAAAAACAAATAAAGGACACTTCACGAAATGTAAAATGGTGCAAGGGAAATTACCCAAACCAAAGCTACCAAGAAGATTTTTAAAATACGCACTCGAACCTATAAAATACCGGAACTTCAAGTAGTTCCTCTAAATAGCTTAGGTTAGGTAATCTTTACGCTAAAAACAATAATAACTAAGCCTACTATAAAATAAGGCCGAAATGGGCTTTATTATTAGGAACAAGCGAAATTAGGCCTTATTAACTACCGGTTGCAAACAGCCGCAATATTTTATAAAACTATACGAAACGTTAGAACGAAGGTAAAAACCCTAAACTCTTACCTTCTAATAGATTACATTCTTTTATATTCTTATTTTCTTATATCAAGTAATACTCTAGCTTTATCCCCCCCTGGGAAGTACTTTAAACGTCTAAAACGCCAAAGATGCGCCGCTATATCTACGTGGATCAGCGAGTTCGATGAGTCAAGTAAGGTCAAATAACCGTATAAACTTGACCTGCCACAAGTTTCGTAGATCTTCCTCTTTACATCATCAACCAATCAGAACAGTCATTTCATTCATTCTATTCCCTTACATAACCGTGCATGCACAACATGACCTTGTCATTCCAACATTATCATCATCATCATCATCATCAGAAGAAGAAGAAGAAGAAGAAGACGACGAAGACGACGACGACGACGAATCATCATCATCATCATCATCTTCGTCGTCTTCGTCGTCGTCGTCGTCGTCGTCGTCGTCGTCTTCGTCGTCTTCGTCGTCTTCGTCGTCGTCGTCGTCTTCGTCTTCTTCTTCTTCTTCGTCGTCTTCTTCTTCTTCTTCTTCTTCTTCTTCAACTTCTTCAACTTCTTCGTCTTCTTCTTCAACTTTATCGACATGGCCATCCTCTACCATCTGGGCAAGCACATCCACATAGCCACCGCTTGTAAAACATGTTTTAGGAGCCCCCTCCACTTCCAAACCCGGAATGCGTGTTGCGATGTTTGTAAGTTCATTAAGCGCACACCGGAGGTTTTCTGTATGGCATAAGTTACTTCGGTCCTCGAGTAACTGAACCCCTTCAATAATGAAGTGTAGGCGAGACGGAAAATGCTCTCCAATCTTTGTCAATATATCCAGCGCAACCTCGGGATTATCCAAACTAGGAATAGACCTGGTGGAGGGATCGACTCTGTTATAGACCTCAGGTATGAGCTCGGCAAGCTGTGCAATGATGGACTTGACCATATCCAATAGCAACTCCGGGCAGGAGAGCGTTGGTAAGCCGTTTTGGCCATAAAATCTGAGCGAGCAGAAGTAAGATACACACTGGATATCAGAGTGTTTCAATAACTTATTAATGACTGCGGCCGTCAAGGTATTTCGACTGGGGTGTTGCGCCCCGTGAGGACCTTGGATCCAAATTGCCTCTTGGTGAGAAGACTCAACCCAAGAAGACTCAATCCAATAACAGACCCGGTTTTGAATATGATCTTGAAGTGGGTTGTCTATTGTTGCGATGGTATTCTCGATAGTGTCCATATCTGAGTGGTGTCTTGCCAGAATCGGACGGAGAATATCCTGACATTGCTGGCGAAACCACAAACGAAAACGACGCCTATATTCCTCATTAGGTATGGACTCCATCAGAATTAGATATAGGTAGTTGATATTATTTTAGTCTATCGCTGGCGAGTCGCAAAGGGGCACACGATGTGGGGGTAACGGTCGTCTTAGCTATGCGCTTTGGTCGGGAAGATTAAGGATATCCTCTGTAGGCTTGGCCACTGATTGGTAGTTTCCTTGTTAACATTGCCGAATTTAGAGAGAACGGTGGATGTTGTGCTCCAGGTTGCAATGGATTCTGTTGCTGTTTAAATAGTTCGATGCGGATGGCGCTTCGTTTTATATTTATCGATGCTAATACGAGTGAATGAACCTTTCATTCACACACCCCTAGGGGAATTTCTTATCGGATGCTTTCCACAACCAGGTAAGAGATACCTAGTTCAATCATTTTTCGTGTCGTGCGTGTTGGGTGGTAGCTATGTAATCTATCCATGACTGTCCCTTTGGCACATACCTATCTAGGTAGCTAGATAATTTATAGCTGTAATTCCTGATTAATGTAGAATTTTAGATGGTTTGTGCCACGAGGTAGAACCTAACAGCATGGAGACAACCTCGTTGCTCTGCAAGGAACTCTAACCTATCTAACGAGCTTACGGCTCGTGTACATTAGGTACTTAATATGCCCTTTGTTATATATGCATCATCTAGAATCATGACTGTTTGGGCCGTGAATCACAATATTATGACTAGGTACTTTGACCATCCGAAGGAAATCCTAGTTAGGAACCCCATGATGTAAAGTTAAAGCACGTGTTTCTTGCAATACCTACACAAGGACTTGGGAAGTCAATCGCTTGTAGCAGTAATCCTGATCTAGTAAGCCACGTAGTGTATAATATTATTGATGGTGTTCTCGAGTATCTACATCAAGAGGGTATGTTCTGCGTATTATGTGGTGGTAGGCCAGTGCGCAGTTGGCAGCAGGATCCACAAGTAAGGGGTAACTAAGGGGTAACTAAGGGGTATCATCGACTATGGAGGTGTAAAGGGAACACATTAAAAAAACGTAAATTTTGTTCATACACTTACCCCTATCTGACTTATTATTAGTGTATATGCAATATTATCTACCCTTTTGCCCCTTTTCGTTATATTCAGTACCGAAACCCGAAACCTTTGTCGCTTGCTTCCACTGCGGCCGAAGTACTACGAAAATGTATATACCAACAACCACAATCGTCAGGGGGATTGCGACACAGGGGTATGGCCAGATATGACTTGAATCGAGATCAAAAAACGTCATGGAGAACAATGTCTGGTATCCTTATGTAAGAAAGGTCTCCTTTATTAAGGGGTAAATTCTTACTGCGACGAAGGTAGCAGGGAGAAAGACCATGGTTACTACAGCAATTGATTTCATTTGCTTGCTTTCGCTCATGTTGTCTCTTGCAAGCGCCTAATCGTATATTAGCTTTATCATTCCGAAATTGGCGTCTGGGAGCAAGGGTAACAAGCAGACCATATTTGTAGCCAGAGTCATTCCATCGATAATCATGTTACAATCCCTTATTAAATCCAAGTACTCGGAATGAATCTCAGTCAGACGATCTTTGATTCGTCGGCCTGTGTTGTAGAAGTTGCTTTCGTCGTTGATCTGATCATACGCTCGACCCAATTCGTCTACGTGGGTAATCATACTAGCTAGAACTCCGATCCAGCTTTGAAGGCCATTCCTGATTGCGTATATGTTCAGCCAAGGGTCAACATAAGACTTTGCATTCGTAAGTGTTCTATAACCATGAGCTTGGAGTCCATCGATAGTATCTTGCAGGGCTGTCTTCCTGGATAAAACAAGCTCGCGCATTCGAAATCTCTCGATCTCAGCAAATATGCCAACTGAAAGCATTGGATGGCAAAATGTGTCTTCTGAGCTTTTAATAAATCGATTAGAAATCCTTTCCATGATCGTTTTTCCTGTAGAATGAGCATTGCAACCATAGAAGACCGCATAGGTGCGGCCTGTATTGGGAAAGTATGTCATGGATAGCGCTAGGTCATCTTCCCAGTGAGCCGATGAGCGACAGTTGTATACTACAGTGTGTTAGTGTATTAAGATCTCATCGGTACCACTCATAATATTATTTACCTATCGCGGTCTCCGACGAATTCGCAATAGGAAGATACGTCCGTGAGAATGTCGCCGCATAATTGCGAAAAATTGTTCTGGCTATCGAGTCGTGAATATAGAATCGGCTTAGGACATGTTCGAAGACCGGTCTAGAGAAGGGCAAATAGCTTATTTCGCAATCGCTTTCTTTTCGGCTTCCTAGTCTTAGAAGATTATTAGAATGCGCACTATATGTAGTTCTTGCGGGAGAGCCTCACATCACGGACGTAGTAAAGTTGCGAGAACTCTCAGATATAAGTTTCTCCTATATTCCATTAGCGGGAGCCATTGAAATAGGGGTTATGTGCAACCTTTCCGAACCAATCCTGCCATTCAGAATCTGACGATAGATCCCAGTGCTGGACTTTTCTTTGTCTCCAGGCCGTTATATTAGTTTCTCGGCGAGGCCTTAGTTTTCCGAATATTCTGTAAAGCTTACCTGGTCATCATAACCTAATCGTATAACCTTGCATTTTCGGTTGGCGTATTCAAAGTTATCCAGGTCTCCTTCGGATAACCTCCATCGTTGTCGAACCCAGTCCATAATGCAAAATTTGTTGACTGGTCAATCGGTTGAAAAGTGCGTTGATTATTTGTAAAACTGGTGGCCTTGCAGGCCCTACTTATATAGCATACCTTACGGCCTGAATCGTACCCTAATCACCTAGGTGACGTGGATTACACCCCGAGTCACTTCCAACAACATGAGATAATATAAACGGGTTGAGAATTTGAGAGGCTGGTGAATAGATTTGTCAAACCCAGTACATATGTTCGCATTCCTTCCGGACTACTTAGGTACCTAACCTACCTAGGAAGGTATATTTATCTGTGAAGCATTGATAACCCTATACGTAAGACTTCCGTCGTAAGTCTTAGCCGCAATGTGATTCCTCCAAAATGTGCAATTCTGGGCGAGCAAACCTGCTGTACGGAACGCCTGACGGGGGCTATCGAGATTGTGTTATCTTGCGTTATAATCAATCATCCAATTAGTAAGTAGTGCTTATCAATAACCATTAACAGTTATAGGAGGCCGTGATGGGCGGATGTAACTTGCATACAAACTTGCGGGAGGACAAGAACATTAGTGGTTGGGTTGGTACTACCCATACGCATCGGACTTTGAAGTAGGCTACGTAGTTTCTGACTCTTGCTTGCCGGGTGATATACTAGACAAGATGAGGCTCTGCAAAGAATAGTTCGAATAGGTAAGCTAGGTGGTCTTGGAGCTTACCATAGATAACCATGCCTAGGTACTCAGGAGGTTTACGCCGTCTTGTTTGAAATCAGCTTGCCAACCTACGAATATGAGGTAGTTCTCGGTACTGAGTAAGGTGTGGATATAAGCGGCCGGTGGGTCGGTGATGGTTGCGAGTACGCTCACTTCTCCTGTTGGCTTGACTCCAAAGGTTTTGTAGGCGGGAGGACTGGTTAAAGTATTATAGACTGATCCATCAGAGCCGTGGGCCGGGTGAGCTGCCAGGCGCCCGCCGTCAGTCCCTAGCACTCCCTCGTCAGATGAATCAGAGGCGGAGTATGTAAAGAGCTCGATAAGCTCAAGAGTGACTGGGTCTATTTGCTGTAGAGGATTGCCCTCAGTTGTCATAGCAAATGACCATCATACTCTCCACCTCCTAATCACTTAAAACTGATCAAGCCGCAGTACGTGTATGCGAATGCGAGTCTTCGGAAGCATGATAGAGAAAGGCTTACGCAGCATATCCATCGACTATAATCTTAGCTACGGCAGTGTTGACTTATATGAAGCTACGAATTAGATCCTTCGCTATTATTTTGGACGGGAAGAAACGTGAAGGGGAATTGGTCCTGATAGCCTGGTACGTATCAATCGAGGCTTAGAGCCTCATAAGATCCTCAGAATTGTTCCCGAATGATATTAGATTAGCAAGCATCCAAGATGGCTACCCGTCTAGGTAAAATAAGCAGCTTCGTTGAATGGAAAACTACCTAAAGTAGTACAACGAACAATGGTAAGGCATTCGCGTAATCAACAGGCACCCAGCGCCTTGCCATCGATCAGCTGCGCTTCAGCTCCCTCCCCCAACTCTACCTTAGAGTCTCCAAGTTAGTCCTCTTTCAATTATCAGCCACTTCCCTGACTCCTCCGTGCACGGCACTCGGTGCATAATTCTCGGGGTATCTTAAACAATTTATGTTCAGGTACCAACAGACGCCTGGCACAAGGCTCAAAACAGGTTATTTTTCGGTCGAATTCCTGCGGTCCGAAAAAGTGACGCCCTGCGCGGCACCATCTTTGCTTGAAAATCATTTCGCACATCGCGGCCCAAGAAGTGCGCCTGTATCGTGATGGGCCTATCCACGGACCACCAGAGTAATATGTGTAGTATGATGGATTTCCTTGGTTAATCCGTTTGCAGAGATGGCACTCGGTGTTTGCTAATATTTTGCTATTGCGAAGCGGTTAAGTGAGGAAGATTGTGATATTATGCGAGGTTGAAGTCCACTGTCCAGGAGGTAGGAAACATTGGGCACTTATCTTATTTATAAGGGACAGTTTTCTTTTGCGTGCCTTTAACGTTTAGGATATTCGATGGAGTGACTTAGATATCATTGACGGAGGATATTCTATGTCACTGCTGAGTGCTAGCAAGATTGCCATTCACCAACCCTAAAGAAGAAGATGGCTAAAACATGTGTATATTACTTACCTCCCATACTTATACTCACAGGCGTCCACTAAAGGCTTAATTATGAATAGATACCTACCTACCTACCCACCCAATCTAAGGTACCTAAAGGACCTAGGTACCTATGATAGCCCGAATCACTTAAGTTCAACGATCTTTTAAAGACGTAGACATTGATCCCAAAAGACCATTGCCACACACTCATGTGTTAAACTCGGCTTCTGTACAGCTCTATACTTGAATAGAGAATAACGAACCATGGTGATGTCAGGGTATAGTGTATTCGAGGTAGCTACAGGGTTCTATCTACTATACAAGAGGCGCGAAGCTCCCTCGTAAGAGGATAGAAGGCCAGGCGTTATTAATTCAATAAATGTATCGTTTGGTCTACCTACCCTGGACACTCACTCTGTGTATAACATCAACGGGTATTGATCCTGACAGGTGATAAGTTGAAAGATATCCTTGCCATGATTACAGCGGGAGTTACGTTGTTTAGCGGACCCAAATAACCCCATGGCTCAGATACTGAGTTAGATCTTTTTTATGTATATTAACGGGGCCTTGCTGTATGCTGTATATAATGTTCTGGGTTCCTAATAGACGATAAGTTTTGAATTGAGCCTCGTGATAACCCTAGTGTTTAATATACGCTTTTATTCACATACTGTCGGTGGACAAGGTCTAACGTTAGAACTTCTAAGGTCAGAGATAGGTATGCTGTAGCAGTGAGGGAGAGGAGAGTCTATTAATGATATGTTACAGTCTAAGATCTAAGTGCGTTGTCTCTGAAGGAGACAACTGTTGAATAATTCATGTATTGATGGAATTATTATCTAAGAGAATTATTATTTTTTTACAAACACTCAAGATGATTCTGAATGTCTGAATGACACGTGACGATCAGTCACGTGTTGAGATGTACCTTGGTACATCTCACAACAACGCTTATATGTGAATGTATATAGGTTACGTAAGCTACCACATGACTAGCACGTGGCCGGTGCGCAGCTAGCGCACAGCTGCGCTCCCAACACATACGTTACTATAGTATCATTGTGTTCTTATTTATAAAAATTAGTATGGTATTCAATATATTATTTTGTCCCCAATATTTCTTGGATATAAAGTACTATCGTCCTAAGCTAGGTGTACAAATTACTACCTAATCTATAACAACCTAAGAATACACAAATACTACCAACGTACGTACGTAATCGGGCCTGCAAACCTTCATTCTAAGTCCTCTTGCCGCGACGCTTTCCTATTCACTGAGTATTGAGGTCCGCCCTCCCACGAGGCCATTTGTCCTAACTTCCTGCTTAATAACATGGATTTTGAATTCAACGTACTCTTCGCGACCAAAAAATGACAGAAATCCATTCTTATCAATCCAATAACACGCCCCGACGTCTCCTCGGACTTCTCGACCTTTTATAAGTACACTATCGGAGTCCATATGGCTTTGGTACTTTGCGTTGAAGAAGCTCAGAACTTGCACATTAGCTGCTTGGAGACTATTGTATGTGCCTAAAAAGTCGAACTCGTGGCCCATATATGGGCCATGTTTCGTATGTGCGACAGTATAAACCGCAGTCACGTCCTTATGCTTATCGCTGCTCGCCGCCGCAGTGGAGGGGGTACGATCTTGGATCAACTTCCGGGCTTTGAGATCTCTGATCATCGGAAGCGGGTAAGCGACTTGAAGTTCTTTGAAAGTAAGGATTCTCCGTGAATCCCCGTCCTCTTCCGAGTAGTCCGATCTTTCGTTGTCATCATCATCATCAATATCCTCGCTCTCTAATTCCTCATACTTGCTTGTCCCTTTCATAGTCTTCGCGCGTTTAGGACTAGACCGTGTCGTCTCAGCTTCGGCTGGTTTTCGTTTGATCCTTGTCATAATTGGATACTCGGTGGACACTCTTTTGAATGGATACTCTGATACGGAAAGATTTATAAGTAAAAACCTCGTTTAGTAATGCGAAGAGTTGTCGCAAAGGAAGCTCGTATTAATTGATATAACTCTTTGCACTGGTAAGCGCTGAATAGCGTGTAGATTATGGCCTAGAAACGAAAATGACTCTATTGATAGGAGACGCGCCCCTTAAAACCACGCGATCATCGGGAGCACAGACATTAATCCCATGAAAGTATCCATGACCTAATTTTATCGAAAAACACAAGCTTCGTAGTTCTTGTCCAGGACATTGCACTTATACAGGTACATATGTAAAATATAATGAAGGTTGTTCCAATCCAATACTCGTGCTACGCCCCACTTAATTCTGGTTTCGCAAGCGTGTACTAGTCTTAACTGGTATTTACTACCATTATTTATACACTACAATTATCTTTAAATTATATAATATATTTAATTAAAATCGTTTTAAATATTTAATTTTTTTATTTAATTTATATATAATTATTAATTTAAATTTATTAATTAATTGTTATTATTTAACTTTTTTTACGGTTTTAAAATAATATTTTTTATAAAAATTTTATATTTTTAATTCGACGGTTTTAATTAATTTTTTTACTTTTTTAAAAACCTTATTATTTTTTTATTTTATTATAATACGTTTTTCGGTTATAATTAATACATTTTTAATTTATAAAAAGTTATTTTTTATAATTTTACGAATTTTTTATATTTATTTAACGTATTTAATTTTATTTAAATCCTTTTTAATTTATATTAATTTAATCGTATTAAAAACGTTTTTTTTTATAAAACGATTAATATTTTTTATTATTTTTAATGTAATAATAAAATTTAATTAAACAATAATTTTAATTTTATTTATAATACGATATATTTAATAAAATGTTATAAACGTATTTATTAATAAAAAATTTAATAATAAATCGAAAAAAAGTATTTTTTTTATTACGCGTTTTTTAATAACGTTAAAAATTATTTAAAAATTAAAAGGATAAATATTAATTTTTTTAAATATTAATTTAATTATGTTTTTTTTAAAAGTTTATATTTATACGTTTTATATATAATTAAAAAATTTAATTTTAATAATATTAACGAGGTTATTTTATATTATTAAATTTAACGTTTTTACGTAATAATATTTTAAAAGTTAAAATATAATAACGTTTAATAATTAAAATAAATACGTTAAATTAAAAAGTATTTTAAAAAAAATTATATCGTATTTATTATAATATTCGATAAATTTAATTATATAATAAAATTTATAATTATTAAATATTAATAACTTTTTTTTATTAATAATAATATTTTTAATATATTTTTTAAAATATTTTAATTATTTTAAAATAATTTTATTATTTATATAATTATTAATAAAAAGTATAATAATTATATTATTATAAAAATTAATTTATTAATATTAAAAAGTTATATATAATTATTTTATTAATATAAAAAACGTTAATATATATTTACCGGTAATATTAATAACTTTTATAATCGTATAAAATTTATAATTTTTAAATAAATTAAAATAATAAACTTTTTTTTATTTAATAATAATTAATTAATTCTTTTTTTTATTTATTTAAAAATTTATTTTATTTATATTTTATATATTATTTAATAAAATACTTTTTTTTTTAACGATTTTTTTTAATTTACCGTAATAAATTTTAATTTTATTAATATTTTAAAAGGTTTTTTAATTAATATTAAAAATTTTTTAAATATATTTTAAATAATTATAACGTTTAATAAAACGGGTAATTTAATTTTTTTTTATTAATAATAAAATTTCTTTAAATAATAATAATTTTTTTTTAAAACGTAATTTACTTTATTTTAAATGATTTTAAACCGAGGTTTAATATTTAATTTAAAAAAATATACCTTTTATAATTATACCATTTTTTAATTAATTATAACCCGTAAAACCTTTTTTTTAAAATATTTTACTTTTAATTTAAAGTTATTTTAAACACGTGTTTTTTAAAAAATTAATTTATAAAAAAAAAAATTATTTAATTAATTAATTAATTAATTAATAAAATCATTAAAAATAATAACGTTAACACGTTTTTATAATAAATATTAATTAATTATATAATTATATTAACTTTATTATTAAATTTATCGATTAAATTTACGTGTTTATGTTTTTTACGGCGTTAAAAATAACCGTAATAATGGTCGTAATCTCGATTATAACACCGGTCGTAACGCATTAACTGTAACACGCGACGAGGTCGTACGAGTATAAAAAAAAGACGGGAAAGTTTAAGTAATAATATTATTACTCCCGAATATACCCGAATATAAAATAAACTATCTTATACGTGGTTATAATAATAGTTATAAATGTTATTATAAGTGTAAATATCGGTGTAACATTTTTATACGTTAAAACTTACGATATTATAATATAATGTTATATAAATATATAAAAAAAACGGGAAAATTAAAGTTATTATATTAAATAAAATATAACGCGTTTTATTTTATTTATACGTATTATTAATTGTGTTAATGGTTATATTAATAATAATAATAATTAATAATATCATTTATTATAAAATGATTTTAACGTTTAAAACCACGATATAATAACGTAACGTTATATAAATATATAAAAAAATTAAATAAATAAATATATTATATTATTAATTTTAAATTATTTAAGTTAAAGTTATTTTATACGTTATAATATTATATTAAAATTTTTATAAATATAAAACTTAAATTTATTATTAAAATTTTACCGTAATATAAACTTAAGTTTAAAATAACTTTAAATTATAATTTATTAAAAAATTTACTTATGATTTATAAATATAAACACACGGGTTATACGTTATATAATAAACGTAATTTTCACGTTTTAATAAATTATAATTTAACGTATATTAAAATAAAATTTACCGCGTTAATAATAAATTTAATTTATATAATAAAGTTAATTCGATTAAAACGATTAATATAATAATAAATAATAAATTTTTTAATTATTATTAATTTTATTTTAAATTATATTAATTTTAATTTTAAAATAAAACTTTATATATAATTATAAAATTTATTACGCGTTATATTAAATTCTTATATAATAATTATAATTTTAACATTAAAAATTAATTTATAATATTTATATATTTCGTTTATACGTTATTTTATTTTTTTTAAATTTATTAAATTAATAATATTAAAATCTTTATATAAATATATATTTAAATAATAATAAAATATAATAATAAAACAATTAATCAATTAAATTTTAATTATATAATTAATTAAATAAAAAAAGATTTATAAATTATAAAAAAAATCTTTTTTATTTAATTATAAATAAAACACGGTTTTATTAACTTTAACTTTAATATATATATTATATAAATACGTAATTATTATTTTAACATTAATAATCTTTTTTTTCTCGCATAATTACATATATAAATACATATATTAAAATCTTTTCTTTTTTTTTATTAATTATTTTTAAATTAATATCGTTAATTATTACCTTTTTTATAATACTTTTTTTTTTTTCATTTTATATATAATATAATTTTAATCAAATATAATTACGTCATTTCATTTAAAAATATTTTTAATAATATCATTATAAACTCATTTAACTTATTTTTATAATTATAATTAAATTTAATTAAAATTAATAAATTCTTTTAAAACTTTATTAAAATTCGATTTAATCATCGCATTAATTAAATTATCCTCGTTATAAATCCATTAAATCTCATTAATTTCATAACATTCATAAAATTATTAAAATAACATAATATTAATTATAAATCATTTTTCTTTTATATTATTAAACTTTATAATACACTTATATAATAAAAATAAATTAATATAAATTATTACTTATAAAAATTAAAAATTTAATTATTTAAATATAAACATTATTATCGTATTAATAATTAATTTTATATTTACGCCGTAAATTATTACATATATTTTATTCGTTAACATGTTTTTTATAATTCGTTAACATTTAATTAAACTTTAATATATTATATTACTTTTTATTATAAATAATTCGTCGTTTTTCGTCTCGTTTATAATAATAATTTTATATTTAATTTATAAATTAAAATCTTTATTATTTATAAATAAACCATTTATAAAAATAAATATTTTAATTATAATTAAATTAATAAATACATATTAAATTTCTCGTTTAAAATTATTAAATTACCATTATAATCTTTTATTTAATTTAATTATTTTATTTTTTTTAAAATTTTAATATTATACCATTTTTATTAAATTAAATATAACTTTAAATTAATAAATAAATATTATATATAAACCTTAAACTTTTTATTACATATATTATTATAAAATATTATTTTTTTTAATTTTAATAAATATTATTTTCTTTTTTTATCTTTTTTATTATATATAAACATTACTTTCTTTATTTTTAAATAATATATATTCATTAAAAATTAACTTTTTTTCTTTTATAAAATATATTTTAAACTTTATAATAAATCCGATTTTTTTAAACTTTTCATCCTTTAATTTATTAAAAAATTCATTTAATACTTTTAATATATCATTAATTTATATTATAATTAATTTAAATCATTTTAATATACTTATTATTAAAAAACATAAATCATAAATTAATATAATCATAAACAATTTCTTTTTATAATAAATAAAATATATTATTTATTAATATATTTTAACTTTAAAAATATTATATAAAAATTTAATTATAATTATAATCGTACTTTTTAAAAACATAAACGTTAATTCTTTTAATAACTTAATTATAATCTTTTAAATAAAAAAATCTTAAGATTATATATATACTTATATCACATTTTATAATTAAATTACCATTTTCCCGTTTTTTTTACATATTTTAAAAATTAATATAAATACAATTCATTAATTTACCCATTAAATTATTAATAATTATATTAAAATCTCTTTTTTACTTTTATTATTAAAACTTTATATAATAAATCTCGATTTTTTATATAATATATTAATTATTTTTCCTTTTATTTTATAAATAACTTTTAAATTAAAAATTTAAACATTTTTATATTTTTTTTAATTAAACTTTTTAAATAAAAATACGCCTTTTTTAAATAATCCTTTAATTTTAAATTTATTAAACTTTTTAAAAAATTTATTAAAAGCAATTATCTTTTTTTTTTTTTAAAATTACATTATAAATCTTACATTTTTTACTTTTTTAAATAATTAATATATTATCACTTATTTTAATTTATTTTTACTTTTAAACAGTTATTTTTATAATCTTTTTTAAATCGCTATTTTAAATTATAATATATATTTATTCGTTTTTTTTTTATTAAAAATAAATTTTATATTTAAATTATTATTATTATATAATATATATAAATATTTATTTTTTAAATAAAGTTTAATAATTATAATTTAAAACTTTATTAACTTATCATTTATTTTAATAATATATATTTTATTATTACATATAATTAATTTATAAAATCTTATTTAACTTTTATTTTTTTAATAAATTTAAACTTTTAATTATAATAATAATTTAAAAATATTAAAAATATTTAAGTTATTTTTTATATTTAAAACTTCGTTTATTTATCATTATAATTTAAACTTACATACTTTTATCATTACTTTTTTTACAATTATAATTCTTATTATAATTAAAAAAATTAAAAGTAACATTTTTATAAATTTTAAATATATTTTAAATATAAATAACGTAAATATTAATCCGTTAAATTTAATTATATCATTAATAACTTTCATTATTATTTAAAAAATATTATATTTATTTATTTATATACCTTATAAATTTTTAAATATTATCTCGTATATTTATTATAATAAACCGTAATATTATTTAAATTATTTTATTAAATTATATACTTTAATTAATATTTTTTCGGTAATAATTAATAAACTTTTTACATTAACCATAAATTTATTTACAATAAAATTCTTTTTAATATTAAATATTAAATTATTAAATAATTTAAGGTAATTATCCATTTAAATTATTTATAATATATTTTAAATATATTTAATTATTATATTTTTTAAAAATTTTATTATTTAAAATAATATTATTTTATTAATTACATATAACATAAACTTATTATTAATATATATTATATTTATATATATATTATAATTAAAATTTATATTATTTTTTATAATAAATTTAAACCTTTTTAATGTATTTTTATATATTTAACATTAATAATAATATTTATTAATTTTTTTAATAATAAATTTATTAAATTTATTATATTTTACTTTATTTAAAATATTATATAATTATTTTATAACAAAATAATTAAAACGTTAATAAATTTATTATAATTTATTTTTTATAAAATAATAATATATAATTATTTATTTTAAATTATTTAATAAATACCACATATATTCCCATTTTTTAATAATAAAATAATTTTTATTTTTATAAATTAACACGTTTTTTACATTATTTAAATATATATTAAATTTATTTATATTTTTAAAATATAATAAAAATAATATATTTATAAATATAATATAAAAAAAAATAATATTAAACAAAATATTTATATATATTATTTTTATATTTCATTTATTTATATTATTATTAAAATAAATTATATATCGTTTTATTATTTTTATATTTATTTTAATATATAAATATATTTTTTATAAAACTTTTATTTAATTTTTTCCTTTTATTAATATATTAAATGTTTTTATATTTAACATTATACTTTAAAATTTATGTATATATTAATCTTTTATATAAAAAACTTAATAAAATTTACGATTTATTTTATTAACTTTTTTAATAAATATTATCTTTTTAAAATATCCCGTAAATATATTTAATTTTATAAATATATAATATATTATTTAATTTATAAAAATATTAATTAATTTATACCCGTTAATTTCTTTATATTCGGTAATATATTATATAATAAATACAAATATATATTCCTTGTTTTTAAAGTTATCTTCGTTAAAATATTACTTTTAACCGTTATAATTATAAATATTTTTCTTTTTAATATTTTTTTTTCTTTTATATTTAATTAAAAATATATTAAACTTTTCCTTTATATTATTTATTTTATATTTTTATATATATTATTATTACTTTTTATACTTCGTTTATTATTTTATAATAAAATATTTTATAAATTAATATTTTTACTTTTTATATATAAAATACTTTTTATTATTTTATTAATTATTATTACATTAATTATTATAACATTAATTATTATAACGTTATTTGTAAAATTTTTCCTTTTTATATTTATATTAATTACGGTTTTTATTATCTCGATATATTTAATTAATTACGTATTAAAAATAAACTTTCTTTATATAATTTTTTTAAATTTAACATTTTTATGTAATTTTAATTACACTTTAAAATTTAACGTAAAAATTATTAAATATAATTATTAAACATATTAATACATTATTAAATATTTAATATTTTTATATAACATTAAATATCTTTTATATTAAATAAAATTTATCATTATAATTATAATTTAATTTTTTATATATACGTTAAATTTTTAAAATAAATTTCTTAAAATATATTATTAAATTATCATTAAAGTTTTCGGTTATAATAATATAAATGTTTATTAACGTAAATTTTTATATATACATTTATACGTTTTTTACGGTATAAAATATATTTTTAAAACGAATAACCATTTTTTAAAAAGTAAATTTTTTTTTCGTAAAATGGTTATAATAATATTATTAAAAATGCCTCGTAATAATTATTTTTTTTTACTTTTATTTTATTATATAAATCTTTAAATATCTTAATTCTTTTATTTAATATATTATATTTTTCTTTTTCGAATTTATTATTATTATAATTATACATTTTAATAAAATTAATTAAAACTTGTATTAAATTATTTTATACTTAAAGTTAATATAAAAGTATTTAATATAAAAATAAATAAAATAAAAAAAGATAAAATAAAAAAAAGTAAAATAAAAAAAATTAAAATAAATAAAATTAATATAATAAAATTTAATTTATATAATATTAATATTTTTAAAAATAATTAAATTAATATTATTAATATTTTTTTATTAAGATTTAATTTATTAAATATAAATTTATTTAATTTTAATATATTTATTAATTTTAATATATATTTATTTATTAATTATATATTAATAATTAATTAATATTAAATTAATTATTTATTTAAAGTAAAAATATATTTAATTAATTTATTAAAATTAAATTTATATATTATTAATTTATTAAAAAAAAAAATTTATTTAATTAATTAATTAATAAAAAAAATATATTTAATTATTTAATTAAAGGTAAAAATATATATAATTAATCCTTTAAAAATTATAATATTTATAATTAATTTATTTATAATAAAAATATATTTAATTAATTTATAAATAATGGTTAATAAAACCTTTTAAATATTTATTTTTTATTTATTATTTTTTACTATTTTTTTATTAAAATTAATATTAAATTATTTATATAATTATAATTTAATAAGTTAATTATTATTTAATTTTTTTTTAATTAAATTACTTTTTTATTTTTATTTATTTATAAATATTTTATTAATAAACTTAATTATATTTTTAATAATAATTTTTTTAATATTTATATTTATTATATTAATATTTTAAATTTATTTTTTTTTTATAATTATTTAATATATTAAAAATTTAATATTAAAATAAATATATTTTTTTTTATATATTTAATTATATAATTTAATAAAAATATTAAAAAATTTTTTACATTTAATATATCGTAAAATTTTTCGGGAAATGGTTTATTTTTTAATATAAAAATTTCGTATTTTATAAAATATTTTTTTATTTCGTTTTTTAATATTACGTTTACTTTTTTAAATATTTTTAAATTTTAATTATTAAAATTTATTTAAAACACATTTTAAAAATTTTTATTACATTAATTATCGTTATATATTTCGAATTTTTTTACGTAATATATATTAATAATTTTTAAAATTACCGTTTTAATATATTTTACATTAAAGTTAATATTTATAAAATTTTCGATTACGTATTTTTTTTAATTATATCGTTTACCTTTCGTTACCGTTATTAAAGTTATATTAATAAAATTTTAATAAATTATTTTTATTACTTTATAATTAATTTATTAATTAATTATTAATTAATATTAAATTAATAATATTAAAATTTTTATATAAATATATATTTAAATAATAATAAAATATAATAATAAAACAATTAATTAATTAAATTTTAATTATATAATTAATTAAATAAAAAACGATTTATAAATTATAAAAAAAATTTTCTTTATTTAATTATAAGTAAAACATAACTTTACCGGCTTTAACTTTAATGTACGTGTTACGTAAACACGTAATTATTATTTTAATAAAAACAAATATTTAAATTTTTAAATTTTTATGATGTATAAATTAATAATTTATACCTTTTTTAATCACTTTAAATTTTATTTTAATATTTATAAAATATTATAATTGTAATTTTTTTTTATTATAATTATTTACTTTTTATTTATTTACATTTTATTAATAATGATATTTTTATTTTAATCTTTAAACTTATCCTTTATTAATGTTAAAGGTTAATATGTGGGAATTGATTTAGAAAGTAAGGTACCAAGGTACATACTTCAAACAATTCAATTTTAATTGAGTGCGGTCCGATAACGATATCGATACGGCACGGGAATACGTAGTGCCAGATAAGACCTAGTGGACCTTATCCTTGTCCACTTTAAGCTCCACCAAGACATTGAACTTGGATCAATCCACCAGAAAAAAGTCATGATAGAGGTGTGAGACCGCGTTAACCTAGACAGGCGACAGCAATTGTCGCAGCCATGATTGTAAGAGATATGGGTGTCCGCCACGCCCGGAAGGCATTGGCCGCCCCTTTGCGCCAGGCCTGTCTTCGCGCTCTTTCTACGCAGCCCACCTCGACAGGAGTACCCGATCTCACGGAACCGACCCTCCAGTCTCCCAATGCCAATCCGCAACCTCCTCCCTCCATATTCAACTCCAAGATCCGCGCCCCCGCGCGCCGGAAGAAGCCCGTAGCACCCGATAACACCGTTGCGAACTACGAGATGGCGCAGGAACTCAGGTCCCAAATCGGCAAGGTGGGCACCAAAGTCCAGCGCACGTATAGACCAGCAGACGTCTTCCTAAACCCCCCCGGACCAAAGGACGTTACGCTGGAGCTTCTCATGGCGTCGCAGGCGCACATGGGACACCACGCGTCGCTGTGGAATCCCGCCAACGCGCGGTACATCTACGGCATCCGGCAGGGCATCCACATCATCTCCTTGGAGGAGACGGCGGCGCATCTACGGCGGGCGGCACGCGTGGTAGAAGAAATCGCGTACCGCGGGGGTCTGATCCTGTTCGTAGGCACGCGGCCCGGGCAGACGCAAATCGTAACGCAGGCGGCCCGGTTGGCACGCGCGTGCCACCTCTTTACGAAATGGACGCCCGGGTCCATTACGAACTCCGAGGTCATTCTGAACGGCATGCCCATCCAGATGCTGGACGAGCACGACGAGCCTGTCGAGGGGTTCAACCGCCATCTCACCGAGCGACGGCCCCTGATCCCGGACCTGGTCGTGTGTCTGAACCCTATAGAGAACTACGTCCTGCTGCACGAGTGCGCGCTGGTTAATGTGCCTACGATTGGAGTTATCGATACGAATGCGGAGCCCACGTGGGTTACGTACGCTATCCCGGCGAATGATGACAGGTAAGGAAAGCCGTGCAATGACTAGGTACCTAATTTATACGAGGTGAAGCTAATAATACACGTGCTATATAGTCTGAGATGCTTAGCCGTCATCGGCAGCGTGCTAGGACGGGCCGGCGAGGCGGGCCACGAGCGGCGTATCAGCGACGCGAAGAAAGGCATAGTAGCGTGGAAAACTCCGTTAGATGTCGCCAAGTTCATGGAGCAGGAGAGGGAGAGAGCTGCGCTCGAGTCCGCTTCGGCTGCCGAGGCGGCGCGGGGACGTGCTTATCTCTCCGAGGAGGCCGAGGTTGGCTTTGGTACTGGATTTCAGCAGAGTCGTTCGACCGGGGCGAGGTCAGACCCGGACCTAGATTGAGCTACTAGACGGAAAAGACTCGGGGCTGATGTATGTGTAAATTACTGCATTAGGTAAATGCACATGTGTAAATAAGAAAAAGGAGGGATAAGAAATTCCCAAAATGAACTCATGCTTCGTCTTGAATGTTTGGTATCATTACCTAATGTTTAACCTAGGTCTACGTTGTACTGTTTTCCAAGTCCCTGCTCGTAGGCAACGCCTGCTAGTTGGTCGACCTGAATGTCGTTTAGATGAAACAGAATTCGCTCGTATGTGTGCGGAATATGTTCAAATATTATGTGTTGGAGTAATAAGGGGATTGGAGCCGTACGTGAGGCCGCGTTACCCTCATTCTGGCCCGTTGAAAACGACATTGTAGATACTACTCCGTTTGACGGTATTATTAGTCCCTATGTCCCCCACTGCTGATTCTTCTCCTACCGCGTTGGTAGTTGACTTATCGCGAGGATCAATTTCCCCTTCTCGCCTGGTGTCGGGATCATTCATTATACCGGCGTCAATATCCATCTCGGAGTCGTCACCATGTTCGATTAACATGTCCAGGTCCCGGTCCACGGCGTCTTGATCTTCGGGATGGTCGTCCCCACCGTGCAATGGATGCACTGTATGGTGATGTGCCTCGCCGTCAATACTGTCGGCATCATGTAGCAGTGCCTGAAAGGAGTCTGGGTGGTGGTGGGAATGATGGTGTGTCTGCATATGAAAATGTTCATGAAGGACGGTGTCCTGGGTGTCTTGGGGGTTGTAAGGCTCATGCCGTGATGTATCTGGGGCATGCGGACTAGAGTGTACAACCGTGTCACTAGGATGGAATGAGTTGAATGCATGAGGATGATGATGATGGTGACTTTCTGGTGGATGGTGGTGCGTAGACTGGGATATAATCTGCGGATCTATGGGATGGTACATATTCGTAGCTTCGTGTAGTGAAGCAAGAGTTGCAGCAGAATCGTGGTGGAGCTGAGTCTGTATAAGGTGATGATGGGGTTGTAACGCAGCATCTGATAATGTCTGTATGGGCGGGTTTAACAAAGACGTGATATCACTTGGGCGAGCATATGGATGTTGAGGACCAACTAAAGCCGGAAGTTCGCTGTGGGTGGGTGCTGGTAACTCGAGGACCCTGTCAGTCGCATCGACGCTTCTGGATCCAGGGGCTAATACAGGAGACAATATTGACGATATGGGACCAACACCGATAGTGGCATTGTCGGAGTTTACATTGAGGCGCCTAATAGGGTTCTGAATAGAAGGTGTTTTGCTCGCTTCTTTGCATTGTTCACATGTCCTAATTACATCCGAAACAGTTTCCTTGATGCGACTCCAGTGATACTTCTCAGCAATAGTCGCCGTAGTCTTGTTAATGCCGGCGTGACCGCCAACCTCGTGGAGGCGGCGCGAAATATCCATCTGACGGACGGGGTCGCTGATAACTTCCTTATCCTTAAGCATCAATACGTCGTTGTCGAGTAGCTTATAGTGCGTCGCGGCGCTCCGGAGCCTGCTTTTTTCGGCGCGGTCAGATCCATTCGGGTAGCGCCCGTATTTGAGGTAGAACTTGATTTTGTCGAAACGCTCTTCACTCACGAGAAGTGGCTCGCCGTTGCCCTCGCCGGCACCAGGCCCAAGGTCCCGCCCGTAGATTATGGCGTCGATTAACCGATCTGGGTACGACTTAAGGTTGCCACATCCCTTAACACGTCCGATGCGTTTGAAACCGAGCGCATCCCAAATCTTACACGAGGCCACGTTTGTCTCATAGACGAGGTTGAACACCGAGTATGTATAACCGAGCTTTGGTGCCCAATCCAAGTAACTTTCACCCATAAGACGACCCACGCCGCGATTGCGGGAAGCGTCCGTCACGAGAAAACCGCCGTTGCACACGTGGCTGCTTCGGCCTGGGTAGTTAGGCTTGATATAGAAACTGCCCAGGCATTCTCTTGACCAGTCCTTACCCTCTACCACATCGGCAGCACTCTCGATCTGACCGAGGAGCATAATTCCACCAAAATTCTGGAACCAGTAAGCAGAGAACTTCTCCAGGGGCATGGGGTCTATCATGGGATAGGTATCCCCGCCCTCAATCTCCTTTGCGAATTGGTCCGAGAGGTAGGCTAGCAACGAAGGGGGTACTTGATCGCGAGAAGCAAAGGGCACTACAGTTGCAATAGTTTGTCGATCTCGTAGAGTCACCTGACGAGGGAGGACGTTTGGTGGTAGCTCCGGCTTGTTGGGGTCCGGATAAGGGGGTTGCCCGGTGACACGGTAGATAGTTGGACTTGACGGATCATCCATAATTGCCGGCATCTTGTCTCCGAATCCGTTGTCCTCCGGGGCCGTTATGTGCTGAAAGAATTGCGTCACTTAACCTAGACATGTTACCTATCAACAATACGTACTTATTAAACACATCGTAAGACCTATCCTATTTCTTTCATCATCTCCTTTTTCGTCTCCTTTCTATAACCACCAAAACATTGCCATGTACATTCTCGAATAGATAGGTGAATCATTTCTTCTCGAATCATCGTGACTCGAATGAAGCGTATAATGGCCATCTTACCGAAATTAAAAATGACTGGTTAGTTTCTGGAACGCCGCACAACGCTGTGTTACCGTTGCCACACAGTACCCCTCGATGTCGGTTAAGGGGTTAAGGGGGGTTAAGGGGGGATTGGTCAGGGATTGTAAGGCGTGTGGTTGGCGATGATGAACTGTGCGTCGGGAAGGGAAATTCGTAGACGTGAATATTTTGGAACGCAGAGCTAAATGAAAGCGCCACGGTAGAAGCTCGGGGAGTTATATTTGGCTTAAACGAATACTTTTCGCATGTACTATGTAAGCAATTATCGGCGTTGTAAATTTGAATTATGAATATATAAAATTAGCCCGAACCCGTGAACACCAAGAGGGAAACAGGAAAAAGGGGGTAGATCCCGGTACGCTCTGCCTGAGGTTAAATTTAGACAGTCAAACGATTTTAGGAATATTCTTCATTAGACGGTCTTTTATTCATTAGACGGTCTTTTATTCATTAGACGGTCTTTTATTCATTCGTGTGGTAGATATTCCTACATCATCTATGGAATAAAGCAGCCACACGTAGTTTTTCAGGTATCATAGCCACATTACCGCGCCACTAATGCATCGTTGACCTTAATACCTTATGTTTACCGTCGTGGCATACCTCTTCCTCGTCCTCTTAACGCCCTCTGTGCTGCTCCAGGCGGCAGCGGCTGGCCCGGCGCCTGCGGTTGGGCACTCTCTTCGTTCCGGATAGTCTCATCTACACCTAGGATCAAGCAACTGGCCTCGGTAGCTGACTGTATGGCATTAATCTTGACAAGAGCCGGTTCCCAGACGAACCGTTCCATCATGTCAGCAACACCCTCGTTCACGAAATCGACACCAGCCCAGACACCGCCTCTGCGGTGCTCAACACGTAGTCTATTTAAGATATCGGTCGCGTCGAAGCCGGCGTTATCGCACAGTTGGCGGGGAATAACCTCGAGGGCTTTAGCGAAAGACTTGATGATGCCTTGTTGCTTGTGCGGAACATCTTTGTCCGCGAAACGATGTAAGTACGCGGATACCTCCATCTCACAAGCACCACCGCCACCAACGATCATATGGTTTTTGATGGCGCGCTTCACGATCATGATGGCATCGTGTAAGGACCGCTCGACTTCGGCGATAAATTGCTCAGCACCACCACGAAGGACCAGAGTGCACGTCTTGGCCTCTGGGCAGTCTTCGAAGAAGTTGAAGCGCTCGCCGCCAATCTGGCGTTCTTCAAAGGAACCACACGTGCCCAAGTGATGGGGTTGAATATCGGAGCAGGTTGATTGTATGGTGGCGCCGGTGGCTTGAACTACTCGTTCCATATCTTCAGAAGCGACACGACCAGCACAGAATATGTCTCGATCAGCAAAGTACTGTGTTGCTAGATCTCCGATAGGTAGTTTAGAGAGCACGACTTTGGCGCCTGTTTGGTAAACGGCTTCCAGCTTCTTGTAGATGATCTGCCACTCGGCGTCGACGATTGCTTGGTACTCGGAAACTTGCTCGACTCGTACTTCGGCGTTGTCCTTCTCAGCCTTCAACTCCAGCTCGACGTTCAGGCAGACAATCTTGGGTTTCTTGAAAGACTTGGGTTGCTGCTCGAAACCAGCATACGAAAATGTCTTCTTGAAAGCTACTCCGTTGACGAATAGGGAGTCAGTAAGGGAGCCACCAGGGATCTTCTTGATACCAATAAGTTTCTCATTTAAGTCGTCTTGGTCCAGTGATAGGACAGCATCCACAACCACTGCAATACGGTTAGCTTTTATATGCGCAAGCGGTATGGGTTCGGGTACCACATACTCTTCGTAAAAAATGGAGTATCTTTCTTGATCAGCTTGCTCGTCATAGCTGTGGCCGCTAGTTTCGCTAGGGTATCCCGCCTGTTGGACTCGTCTGTCCTCACCGCAATCTCTTTGATCTTGTTGACCGCCATCGTCGAAGCTTTCCGTAAACCCTTGATGATGATTTGGGAGCTAACACCTTGCTCAACGTGCTCCTTGATTTCCTTGAGTATCTCGCCAGCAAGAACGACTACGGATGTCGTTCCGTCACCGACTTCGGCATCTTGTGATCTTGCGATATCGACGAGGATTCGTGCGGCAGGGTGTACAATATCGAGGAGCTACAAGTTTTTAGTGGCATGATTTAAAAGAGAGGGAAAAAAGATTAATGAATCGAACCTTCATCACTGTTGCTCCATCGTTGGTAATAGTCTGCCTTCCATTTTCGTCCACCATTAATAAATCACCACCGTAAGGTCCCAGAGTCGACTTGATGGTCGCTTGAACAGCTTGGCAGGCATTTATATTTGATATTATCTGGCCTTTTCCCTGAGAAGTATCGGTCCCTATATCCAAAGTTAGTCCAGAGACGGCCTTCATTCACTAATCGAGGGGTAGCTCCTGGTCCTCACCTTCTTTTAGGACGATGATAGTGGGGGTTTGACCTCCGAAAGACATTTTGGAGGAGTGTATGTGGAGTGTATGTGGCGAGTGAAGGAAGTGGTTAAAGTAGAAGTAGAATTTGTTCGAGGGAGTTGGGGAAGTTTATTCGCCTCGAAAATCGCCAATACTTGACCCTCGATAACTTTCCGTTAGGTGGGTGAGCTTTAACCTAAGAGCTTTAACCTAGGAGCTTCAAAAAATTGTTGTAGCCTCGCGGGGTGGGTCACATACAGCACGGGCCATGATAACCCCGGCATGTGGACATCATCAACCCCTCATTAGTAATCAACATGCACCCAACTTAGTACTAGTTATAAGGTTTAGATGTAATTATACCATTTCTTGAGTCTTAGCGAATAGGTTAACAGTACAGTTACTTAATAATATTGCTAGCTTACATAATGTCCGAGGTACATTCCATTAGTTAGGTTGTGATCACTGACGTCGTTGATGGTTGATGGCGAGACACCACGCCTTCATGAACAAGCGTAAATATATCCCACTGTTCAAAGAACTCAATGCCCGAAAGGGTCAATAAGTCATCCAGTAGTGAATACCACCGATCAAATAATACATAGACATGTCGACAAGTTTGACACCCACTGAATTCATTTATTTTGAATCTAGGCTCGATCTCCCTTTCCAACTCCTCAATTTCAGGGAAAGGTTCACTACACATGACCGGGTAGACCTCCACTAAGATCAAGATGTTAGCTTTCATGTGCTCTCGGCGTTAAAACAACTAGCTATATCAAATGTATTTTAAAGGAGAGAAAGTCATACTAGTGTGCTTTATAAGCCCATACTGGTTTGGACTCAATGATTCCGTTACTGCAAAAATGGTGGATCTGCGATTTTCATTGAATCCTAACTCTTCGAAACTGAAATTGAACCGCTCATATTTGTCAATTACGAAGATGTCTCTTTCAAAGTTGATGTAGATGCATCCACACGGTGCGCCAGATATACCGTCGTCACTCTGCGCGTCTTCCCAATCCTCATCCTCATCGTCGCTTAGGAATGTCGGCTCCATCAAAGTTCGAAAGACGGGCAGCTGGACCGGATACATATCTAAATATGTTTTCCGAGCCAAGAAGTTGATACGTAGGGCCGGTGATGTGAGAGAAGGTGTCGGCAAAATTTGCTTTTTCACATCGTCCATAGGTACGAGGCGATTTCTGTTCGCGTCCAAGATGTACTCTCGCCATATTTCGGCTTGAATCTCGACAGGTAGATTAGGGAAAGCAGGAAAAGACATTGCTGCTAATAACCTCGAATTTAGGAGAATTGGGGAAAGGAACAAGGTGTGCTTATATAAAGTGTAGGTCGAGCAAGCCCTTATTCTCGAGACCTTTTCACTTGTTGACAGTGCCTTGAACATAGGGGATTTCAATTTGGAGAATGTAATCGTTGGTTTGTGTTTGAGGCAAGGCCCTAAAAGAAATTTGAGATATACACATGTAAGGTAAGTACCTAAAGTACCAGCTCGTACCTTCCACCTTGCCGGCACTTTGGTTGGAGGTAGTTACCTCTTACGCCTTTCACTCTTGACTGACGCAACATGCCTTCCATCAAAGTATTCAAAGGGTAAATGATCCATGTAGTTGACACAATATTAAACTTTGATCAAATGTTTCAAGAGTTTTAGCATCTCCAAAAACGGACGATCTGTGAATCCAACAAGATACGCACTTTCCGTTGACGTGTTAACATGCCTTGTTTTACAGATAAAGGAGCCTACCTACCTACCTACCTACATAGGTACCTATGTATCTAAACGATGGCGACATAGAGGATGTCGTAGCCACACAGCCAGCTAGACGACGTAGGAAGAAACTGATGTCCACATAATTATCTCCAAATGCTCTAGATAAAAATAGAACACCCGGGTTACATGGTACATCTTGTCCACTATATGAAATATCCTTGCCCAGTCAACAGTGGCCTGGTCGAGTATTATAAGATATATTTAGGTATGCTGTTGAGTCATTCATAATTGTTAACGTCAAAGTTGAAGCTACTACGCAACGGCGTACCGGAATTCCGAAATTTTCATGCGATCTAAGACTTGACGTTGCCATGTTCCAATGTTGAAATAATATAAGTTTAAACTATCAATACGAAGCGAATAAAACACTTGCCCAAATTGCTTACTGGAGGACTGCTAGCCCCTGAGAATTCTTTCCGGCCAACCCCTCAACACTGAATTTTTGAAGAAACTTCGCTTTTCCTTGCCCACCAGAAATATCCAAGACAATAACAGCAGCGCCGGTAGTCTGGTTTCCAGGCGATAGAACATAGAGAAAGTTTCCAGCTGCCACGAGGTCGATGAAGCCTGCGTCACCCGTGTGGGATAAGTCAATGTGAGAAATGATGCTGGCATCCTTGGCGCTCATCTCAACGATGCGAGGCAGAGCAACGTCTGTAACGAAGACACTCTTGGTAGCGGGGGCATAGGCAGACCAGCATGTCGCCTTCTGGTCGCTAAGGGCTTGCTTGCCGACGGTAGTTACGCCTCCAGTTGCCGGGTCAAGGTTGAATACCGCCGCTCCGAAAGAGGCGTCAGTAGAGAAGAAAGTGTTAGTTCCGGGGATTATCTGGGATCCAAACAAGACGGCAGTGCCCTCGGGCGTGGTGCGAGTGTCGTGCGGGCAGTCCGAGTTGATCTCGGAAACGGGTAGCGTAGAGATAAATCCCGTCTTGTTCGTCGCGGGGTCGCCCTTGACGATAGTAATGAGCGTTGACTCGTCATCGGAGAACAAGACTTGGGAGACGGTGTTCGTTGGGCCGACGGGCGGGTTCGATTGTCCGAGGTCGAAGGATAACACGGACTTGAACGAGTATAGACCACCGTCATGGAACGGAGCGCAGGAGACACCGGCTTGTGTGGCGGTGGTCGCAACACATAGGAGGTTATTCTTGGCGGATGCGGCGACAGTGTTCGGGAAGGGCTTTTGGATGTAGGTTGCTCCTTCGCTGATAAATGACAATTGGGTCGGGTCACTGTCGGAGATCTTCATTGGGGTTACAGATCCGCTAAATGCGTTGACGGCGAAGACGACCTGTTATAAATTAGCTTTCATGTTAAAGAGCAGCGTGTATAAGTCAAGCCCACATTTCCAGATATGGTGATGGAAGACTGGCTCACGAGCGCGTCCGGCGCAGCAGGCTGTTTCATAGCATTTAGGCTGTTAGACCCATCCCCATTCACTGAGATCTTCTTCCCGGCCTTCAGAGTGCCATCCGATTGAATAGGTAAAGCTATAATCGAGTTGTCGGCGTCATTGGATATGAAATACACAGCCTTTCCAGTGGTTGGGACAGCCGGTTTGCAAGAAGAGTGCCGGTTGATAGCATGGCCAGCAATGCCTTCAGCCAGCATCAAAGTCGTGAGGAAGTTTGCCTTCATGATGGAAAAAATGGAAAGTTAAGAGAGTGGATGGACAGTGAAAGGCTTCGCTTGGATCTCGAGGTAATATTACTGTAGGAAAGGAAATGTGATATTAGTAGAGCTGCTTGGTCTTGATAGAATCTGATGATATTCATATTCCATAGAGATTGGATAACTTGGTTATATACACATCTCAACTGAACCACGTCGTCGTCCATTCCCAATGGGACGATACACTGGGGATCAATGATTGGAATCTGGATTTCCCCTTTAGGAAATCTCACTATAAGTTTGAGGCTGCAAATTGGCCAAGCATTGTCAGATTGTATGATCTGTCACAGGGGTTAGGCGGGGACTAATCTCGAACTACAGATTGCTTATTTTTTTATTTTTTTTACAGGTGTATCCAATGATTCCAATCACATACAAAGGTGATTTCATTCCAATATAGATACCCCTGCGAGGGATTCATCAGCAAAACGAGGGGCTGAGCAGATTTGAGCCCAGGTACTCTTTGGAATCTTTCTAGTTTCCTAATTTAGCCCCTGGATCTGTCAGTTCGTGGAGTAAAAATGGGCCAAAGAGATGAAATTAGGTACCTTTTTTCTATTTAGACATCAGCATATCCCCACTTTGATCAGATCCTGATGTCTTAACGTCCATGAGAGATACCCAATGTAAATGATGGTTATTGGTACAGCTTTGATCTGGGCCTGATTATAACCATTCGGTATTAACGACCATAACCGCGTCTTACATAGGGACTCCACGGATACAAGGGGTAAAAAGCTTAGGCGGGATGTCTGTGTCTATAACAGCCCATTGCAACCGGCTCATTGATATCCTTACGCCTTTAGAAATGATTCTCATATTATAATTTATAACCCCCATAGGCAGAAATTCATTGCTAGTCCTTACCTACAGCTATTATGATATTTCCTCTTACAAGGGGTAAGTGATGAGGGCATATTTAGGATTTTACTCAAAATCAACATCATTCCTACTAGTAATACTCGCAGAACTGCCGTTGCTACAAAATTTATATTATCCATAGAATACTGCCTCCTAATTAGAAATATATTTTGCCAATTATAACTACGGATGTTTCAAAACAGGTGAGTTTGGACTAATGCAACTTTGATCTGAATCCTAACTTGGACAAGATACGGCAAAGGCACCTAAGCACACAAGTCCAATTTATCATCTCAGCGAGACCGCAACGAAACGCACGTATAATTTCGGCTTCAATTCCACAACGCGAAGCTAAGAATTCATCGATATTCCCCCAGACCGCGATGTCCTAGTAAATGCAGTGTTCTCCATCTCGGCCTATAAATATCAAATTTCCTGATGTAACATTTCCTCCAGTTGCGTCACACCACTCACATTCTCCATCCTTCCTACTCCATATCCTCTTTAATGTCGTTCTTGCTTTTCCTCTATCTCGTCCACACAACTCTCGCAGAGTAGATATCTCCTGCTGTCGTTCACCTGGACCTTTCTGCAATTCGCTTTTACCGTGCCACAGGGGTCCGTGCGTGATATAGTAGTATCCAAAGTTTTCTCGCAAATAGGGCATTTGAGCTCGCACACATATTCCGTGCACATGGTGGCGGCCGTAGTGAGTTGATTTTGTTCGTTGGCTGGGTATTATAGAAAATGTTCTGCGGTTGCTGAAAGTTTTTTTTCAAGTATCCTTGACGGGTTCTAGGTGGTAGTGAAGGGAGTTTATTTTGCTCTGGGATATGGTATGGTGCATATCTTTTGCGAGATAGAAGTGTTTATATATGGATGCGAAAATAGTGAATGGCGTTGAGGTGCAAACTGACTCCTACGTACAAGATGGGTTGGAGGCAAGGTGTTCCATTCACTACTATAGTACGATCATCAGACATGAGTTATGGTAGGGGCTGTGATATTTTGGCTAATTCACATCAGACAATAAATCATAAACATTAGCAACTTCTTCGTCTCCTTGATGTTTCCTTGACTCGCTAGTGAATTGTTGTTGTACTCTGTTGGTCATTATTGCTTACATTAACTAAAGGAAATTATTATATTGAATATAGCAATTGCTCATTGCCGCGTACTTCCACACCTATACCCACAAGAAAGGTTGGTTTCTGATGTACAGTGATGAGCGGAGCGATTCAGAGACGACCCTCGGGGTGCGTCACTACGTACAAGGTTACTTTTTTCTATTGTACACCAGTGACGAAAGGATACATGTAGGTATCATCAGATTCTAACTTCTTGAATTCGAAGAACTTGGAGTCCTAGCCTTGCAGTTGGCTCACTGGCGCGATACATGATTAGGGGTATTCTCCATTCAGTCTTTCCTAAACTACGATTTTATATATAACATATCAACCTAGGTACCTAGGTAAATACCCAGTTTTGAGTGCATGATTTGATAATATTGAATATAATTTGTTGCTTGTATAGGTACATATCATATAGGCGTCACTGAAGATTGGATGTCTAGGTAGGTACCTACCTAGGTAATATAATAACAGGAGGCCAGTGTCCCGACGATATTTAAAGCGAAACACATGAATCTTACAGAAGAAACTGTGGTTACAATATATGCGTGTTTCCTATCTTGAATCTCTATCCCATATAATAGCCAGGTTAAAGCTCTTCACTTAGTAGTATTGAATTTAGCGTTTCTTAGTTCTTACCTACCTAGGTACGTAATTGAATATGCCTAACACACAGTGGTCTGATGTATCTCAATATCTTCTTAATGACACTAGGTCATTTCCTAAGTTTAATGGGATGACTTTATTGTTTGCCTATAGAATATTCCCAAAGCGATGACATGAAGATATATTATCTTGGTTTATAGGTAAAAGGAGTCATGAAATAAAACGCTTGCCTAATTCATATAAACCGGATAAGTTAAGAGCTTAACAATCGTTATATCGATCTTCGAGATTAAAGGAATCATTGTAGAGTCGCAGCGTATTCTATGCTAAGCACTAGGTTCGAATTAGAATATTAACTCGCCATTCATTTTAAGAAGTAAGCGCTATCACTGCTAATAGATTATCGATGGTTAAATGATCTAGATGTGGACGAAAAGCTCTAGAAATAGGTTAAAAGCTGACGCCACCATGGTCGAGAAACCCCTATTTCAGCCTCGGCGATCTCCTTGTCTTCATCCAAATCACGGCGTCTCCCCGATTGTAAATCGATCTCTTCGCTCTTCCAAAATTGTGTCTTGAAAGCAAGTTTATACCCAATAAATATCACAAAAAACAATGGCAACAGAATGTAGGCATCGACAAAGCCGCCGGCATCCCAGGGAGAAAAGTTAGACCAGCCTTGTACCAACGCCAGAAATATATTCGCTGCTAAGCCAAAATATGCATTCCAGGGATACCAAAGAGAAACGTACGGTAAATCCTCGACGAGATAACCTTGTGCTTCCCAGGCTTGGCGAAATCGAATGTGAGTGAGAGAAATAGACCCCCAGACCAGGAATGTTGAAACGCCACTCAAGTTGACAATGTATCCATAGGCTTTAGAAGCACCGGTTGAAACGTTCATCATAGATATTGCGCCGAATGCGTTTGCGAGAGTGATGGCAGGAATGGGTACTCCCCTCTTGTCCGTCCACCCAAGGAAAGACGGTGCCATTCTTTGCTGTGCCATGTATAGCAGGGTCCGCGATGCGATGTAGATAGAACTGTTGATGGCAGAAATGCAAGTGATAAAAATAAAGGCATTTATGAGATGCACGCCACCTTGCCAGCCTGCATTTTGAATCGCAACAGTCATTGGACTCAACAAAGCGCGGCTGCTACCGTTAACAAGCTGATCAGCATTTGCTGGACAGGTGAGACCGAAAAAGAAAGCTGCGCCCATATAGATAAATATGATGCGCCAAAAGACTTGGCGAATTGCTAGTGGGACAGCAACTCGAGGGTTCTTGGTCTCAGTGGCAGCCACAGCCACCGACTCGCAACCGGCATAGAATGTAGAACAGAAAACAAAGACTTTAGCTACACCACGGAAGCCCTCAACGAAAGGCCCTGGGTCATGCCAATACCGGAAGCCTATAGCATCTGTCCCGCTGATTCCGCCAGACACGTATCTACATGGGGCTGTTAGCATATTGGCTGATACTATTTCGTGCGGGTCCGAACTTACACAATGGAAAATATGTAGAAAGCCACCAATCCTACAAGTTTAAGAAGAGCTAGCCAAAACTCAGCCTCACCAAATGTAGAAACACCCAGGAGTTGGAATAATAAGAAAGCGGTCTGGAAAAACGTCAGCAAGGTGATTGAACAAGTTGATTGGAAAGTTTGATAAGAGTGATGCATACCCATAAGAGTAGGAAATATCCCCATAGGGGTACCTTGTCACTCCAGAATACGAGGATGCTAGTTGTAGCATTATACTCGTTGGCAAGGACCGCGAACCAAATAACGAAGTAGTTCCATCCAACGGCGACGCCAAATGCAGGATCCACAAATCGAGACGCAAGCTGAGTAAATGCTCCTCCCGATGGATAAAGAGTGGTCAGCTCGCCTAGGCTTTGCATAATACTGTTTTTTTTCTTGTAGGTCAGCACCAGATAGATAGGTAGATCTGCATGTTATTACGGGGGCATGCGATGGTACCTGAAAGCAATTATGCCGATGACGCCGAAGCCAATCAACAACGAGGCCGGCCCACCGGTGGACAATGCGCCTCCGCTGCCGACTAAAAGTCCGGGTCCAATGATTCCGGCCAAAGCCATCATTGATAAATGTCGCGTCTTCAGACCGCGTTTAACCCCGGACTCGGGATCAATTGAGCGGAAGTCATCCTGATCGGGATCGTCATAGGGTTGTAAGACGGTCCGATCAAGATCCTTAGGGCTGCCACTCATAATAGGAAAGGATCACGACGCTTCGCCGCATCAAAACAACAAAGTTACAAAAACGAATGATTGATACTGCTTGCTTGATAAAATATTTGCTATTTCTTAGAGGAGAACTGTACGAGCAGCGGACACGACACGACGTTGGCGGGTTCTAATAACATTTCGCGCTGGAAGAAAAAAAAACTAAAAAAAAAAAAAAAAAACTTGATCGGCTTAGCAAACTCGGTGATGATTTCGTTAAGACGGCATTTGCCATTGGCCTGTAAAATTGCGTGATTGAGGTTCTGCGCCGCGTAGACTCGGTGCCAAGCTGACGGCTATCTAAACTTAATCTGGCATAGGATTAGCGCAATAGGAATAGCGTTCCTGCCACATCCAAAAAAGGATCCCCTGTAGTCTTTCTCTAGCATGCGTTAGGGATAGTCTATAACTTGTTACTAAACATATCAAGAACATATATGATGATATACACCTGAGCATATCGTAATTCAAATGTTATACAGCAAAGTCAGTTACCTAAATAGAGCTGAATATACCTAGTTTACGAGCACTAATGGCATTTATTACGATAATTACCTAGAGGTAATTATTCTATGGTTTGGATTGATGCAACTAAGGTTCTTGAGTTTTGTCGTGATACGAGAATGATGTCGAAATTATAGCATTTATTTTCACCCATTCTTCAATTCTACTACTTATAATAGTAAGAAATTTATAGGAATCTCATTACGCCTAAATAGACACTAAAAACATGCTTAACCCTATCATCGATTCTACCACGCGTATGAAGTCTTTATCAAACATATTTCCTCATTTCCATAGTTACTTCATTTCTCCTGACCGGAACTAGTCGCGTGCTTCTTTAAGAAACTGTTGAACCTCTTATAGAATACCGGCGTGCTAGGATGGGTCGGGGTGACAGCAGGGAAACAGTGCGGTACACCCTGATAACCGTATATCTCGGCGTCAACACCCGCAGCCTTGAGCGCTTCAGCATATGCAAAGGCATCATCTCGGAGAACATCATAGCCTGCGCATTGTATCACTAAAAACAGAGCGAACAGGGCACCAGTCAGTTATAAGGGGTTCAGAATAAGGTGATATTTAGAGAAGGGATAAGTGAAAATTCTCTTACACGCTGGCGGAAGATTCGCAAGTGATTCTGCAAGCAGAGGCGAATGCCTATAATCAGGCTTAGGGTCAGGATTATAGGACCTAAAGAAAGCCTCCATCCTCAGGGTGCTAAGAACGGGATTTTCCGAGTTTTGAATGTAACTGCCGTATTCATATTTATCCCGGGGGAAGAACTTAGGATAGCAGACCGTAGGGAAGTGAAGGATTTGGGCGATGACGCCGGTAATGCCATTTTCCCGAGCCATTAAGGCCATGACCGGAGCCTAAGTTGTGATATTATTAGTACGTAAAATCGTATGTAGCCAAAAGAGGCATCACTGTGGAAGCTCACTAGGTTGGCTCCCGCGCTACTCCCGGCGACAATGATCTTCTCGGGATTGATTCCGAGAGTTTTCGCGTTATTTTTACACTGTAGTTCAGATTTAGTTAGTGCATGGCCTTTCAATTGTAGCTTGTTAGATTGGAGAACATACCCATAATAATCCATCGTAGCAATCTTCAACTGGCCGTGGAAAGGGAAACTCAGGCGCTCTTTTTGGATTAGCTATGTACCTAGGTCATAGGAAATAAATAGTATAAAATACGCACAGTCGATAATCTACACTAACAACAACAATATCGGTATTTGTGGCCGCATAAACGTTCTCGGCACCGTCTACCTCATGTCGTCCGATGGCAAAGCCTAAGATGCAGAAGGTCAGCAGAGTATAGCTAAAGAAAAAGAGGTTCTGTCCAATGTCCCATACCACCGCCGTGCATGCGATATACTAGAGTCGCGTCTGGCGCAACATTTGGAGACTTATAAACTCTTAATTCATTTAAATGGCCGTCGCGGGCAGGAAATTGGAGCAACTCCGTCGTAACATCGCGATACCGATCGGGTCCGCCGGGGGGCATAGCGGCGTCGGGATCACCTGCGGCCTGTCGGAAGGCCGCGAAATCGGGCAACGCCCAAAGTGGCGAATATACGGCGTCGAGAGCGGGCTCAGCTGCTATATACTCGGGTGTTTTTTCCGATAGATGGCCATACTTGGGTAGGGGCTTGAAGTCGCCGTCGAGGTTAAAGTATTCGGACTTATCCTTGAGGTACTCCATGACAACTTTCTCGTTAACGTTCTATATTATACTAGAATTATTTATCACGAATATTAACGGGGTTGGGTTTATTTAGGTCTTGACGGAGGTTCTTATAGTTTTACCATTCTATCAAAGGTCATACTACCTACATGAGATAGTCCCAACCCCTATTATCCCTGAGGCTACAACGCCACATAGAGGAATTCTATTATTTTACAATAAGAATGAATCATTTTGAACAATTTTGCTCTGTAAATTTGATGGTCTACATAGGGTAGCATTGAGGTTAGCTGTAAGCGCGGCGTACCCTAGCTGCTTACTCGGCCACATCGAGCTGAGAAGTGATTTCAGGTCCCATCATTATGAATCATAGTACCAATATACGTTTTGGCAATTTGGTACCCCTTAGCGCCCGATATATTCAGTACATCACTCTGCATACATATTTCAATGTAAATATATGTAACTCTTAGAACTACAATTTTTATAATTGACGGACCGAGTGATATGTGAGAATAAGGTAGTGGTGGTATTATTAGGTGCTCATCTCGCTTCGGACACAGCCGTAGCGACTAAGATGGATCATACTGCAGCCGCGGACCCGATCTGTTGGCTAAAGGGGTTCAGATACGGACTTCGAAAAGCCGCCAGCATGAACCATTTAATGCTGCCCCCTGCCACCTACGGATGTATAAATACTCAGCGGTGTTCAACTTTAGGAATGCAATATAACGACATCCTCGCAGCTTCACAAGAACCTCATAACGACCTCTTTAGCCAAGATGGCTAAATTCGAACTACCAAAGTCAGTGAGCGGTCTCCGCGTCGTGCCAGACACTCAACTCGACCTACGGCCTGAATCTGAAATCATAAACGAACTCCGTTCGTTTCGACTCGTCACTTCAGAGAAGAACGTATGGGCTTTCTGGGATAAAGGCATCGATTATATGTATCCAAGCTATAGATGTACAGTGGTGAGCTGGGTGAGAAAGCTTGGCAGTTCATGGACGGTTCGCCTCGTAGATCTTGTCGAGGACTCACCCAATAACATCTACAACTACGTCTCTAAAGAATGGTTCCCCGACTGTTTCGTAAACCGGACGATGGACGGCAGACATGCAGCACAACATTCTGCTGATCTCGTGAGGCTGCCACTTCTATTCGAGCACGGGGGTGTCTGGATGGATGTCGGAAATATGTTGCACACTCATCTCGACTCCTTATTCTGGGACCATCTCACAGCTCCGGATACCCCTTACGAGATGGCCGTCTGGATTATCACCGGTCAGATCAGAAAGAAATGGGGCAGCTTCGGAAACTACATGCTGGCTGCACGAAAGGGTTGTGTCTTTATCAAAAATTGGCACAATGGTTACAAACAGCTGTGGAAGGGACGCACCAATGCAGATGGTTTCCATAAAATACCCCTGATGCAGGACATTGGGCTTGCTGAGGGGATGGCCGATTGGAATTTCGAGGATAAGGTCAAAGAGATGAGCGACTACGTGGCGCAGATGCTCATTGGCGACCGTACGAGAAACCTGCTAGATTTAAGCACGAACTGGAACGGACGCGAGTATTACAAGAACAAAGTGTTTATGGTGGAGGGCATTCTGAACGGCGTGCTAGGTGCGATCAAGACGGAATACGACGGAGCTAAGCAAGTAGAGCTCTTCACTACTCGGCTCGACGAACCAGATGGAGCGAAGAGACAGGCAGCCGAAGCCTTCATGATAGAGATGCTGGAAAAAAGCCACATGTATAAAGTATACCACAATTCGGCAGGCGGGCTACCCGCACTGGGAGATCTTGTGAAGAAGAAGGAATTCATGGATGCGGACCACAGGCCAGGCACCTTCGGCGAGATGTACAGGTACGGTACGGTTCACTGGGAGTCAACCCGCGGGGTAGAACGGTTGATCCCGCAGATTGACGAGAAGGAGGAGCTAATTCGGGCTACACCTACAACTCCGGCGTTACGGGAACATAAGTAAAGGCTAGGTTTAGCAGTTAACGTTAATATACCTGATTACATGCAGTGTTAGCAAAGCTCCTAGTTACACACGAAGTGGAATTTTGGAGCTGGAATTATGATATTATCGTTCTATACTAAGACTTATAACTTAGAGTCGATTGGGTATGATCAAGTTTTCCTCTAACGCCACGGTTGCCTTCCAATGGTTTTCTATTATAGACCAATATCGAGTAGGATGCACCCTCATGTGGCCGACGTGTGGCGAGTCATCGAACATCTCCAACGTCGTCTTATAACCCTTATTCTTTGCTACCTCCGCCTGCGCTTCGACGTCTTCCCACCAGATGATGTCGTCCGTCTTGGAGTATAAATACGCTCTGGGAGCTCTAGGTGTTGCTATCGAGTGGTCCAAGAACACCCTGCAGCTATAGACCCCGGACGGCTCCCTTCCAATGGCCTTCTCAATGAGGTACATCGTGTATAAGAATGACCACCATATTCGCTGCGTCACTGCAAACGGCCATGGAAACCATTTAGCTGTCCCTACTGCCATTGCCTTCGACCACCGTCCTACTTCTTTGGCGAAGTCAAGACTGCCGGGTGTGGAATCGTTTATACATAGATGGTGCGGAAGAGCCTTGTCCTTTCCGTGACGCTCTTGGTAGGCGTTCAATGTTGCGGCGGCATAAATACCACCAGTGTTAGACATTATGTGTAAAATGATTCTTGACGAATCATCATCAGGAGTAGGGAATACGGTGTCGACAATAGGCATCATATCTCTAGTCCTCTGGTCGAGCGATTGATAAGTAGCTGCAAAGGTTGATGATATCACCATCAAGATGCGAGCTCTTGGGAATAGCTTATTATAGCCATCGACATATTTGGCAACATTCTTTGGGTGGCCGTCACCCCATCCGTATATAATGATCGTTGTAGGGTGATCATTTGGTGTTTTCTCGGCGGTTTCAGAGGAATCTTCATTACGGATGAAGATCCGATCGGAGATAGGTGTAAACCCCGGTAGCCCCTTTTGCTTCCCTGCCATGTCTAAGGGGGGGAGGTTGACGAGTACGAACAAACTGAGATGGATAGATAGATATAAGCACAAGTTGCAACCGAAGTATATAGAAGAGGTAACTATAGTTAAATATAATATTTGAAGAATTAGAAAATTTGAGGCCAAGCCGTTAACACATAGTAAGTCCGATTCGGTTAGTACGATTCAACGCGGTGGATAGGGGTAGAGTGTTGTCAGGCTTGCCAAAAATTGTTGGGCGCAGAGGATGAAGATAGATACCGAGGTAAGTGGAGCTGATCAATACCCAAAGCAGCTAAGCGAAAGAAACTAAATGCAATACATTTACATACATACACAGTCAAGTATCTTGAGTCTGCTGGTGTGGTGTTCAAAGAGTTAAACTTATTCTGTTAGTTATGTTATTCTGTAATATACCTATAGTTGGGGCGTGCTAGCAAAGCACGACAAGTTGGAGGATTAGACGATAGGGATGAGATTTTGACTTAAGTCTCAACCATGGGAAATCCCGAGCTTACCGGTGTTGACAAGCCGGTCATTGCAAGATAACTAAGACAATTTCCTCTTCATCGATCAATACCAGACGCGAAGTGCTTTCATTTGGTTCAAATGAAAATCTAAAGTACATGAAATAGAGGCGGTGGCTTGATATTGTGAACCTCTCGCCTGGGCATCATGATCTCTCATGCTTTTCTATCTTCTGATAGCAAATGCAAGTCGGATCTCCAGAGTATCGGTAACTAAGAAACTAAATGCGTCCCTCAAGGTTTCGTCATAAAGAGCATTCGCCACTTTATCCCAGTTATCAGAATCTGCCTGAGTTTCGAGCCAATTCTTGTCTCTCACTAGACAATCAAAGCTACCATACTCATGATCCCATCTGAATACCCACTCTGGGAAAGTGGTCAGCTCCTACTGCCCAAGTCCCCCTCGTTGATCGGGCCCTTTGCCGATAAATAGTAGTATTTCCGTAACGTCATCGAACCACCAGAATATTTCTGTTATTATGTCGATGTTGGCGGGTCGCAAAAGGTTCAGAGGCATGACAAGACGCTTAACCTTTGATCGAACGAGAAAAGAATGATATTCCAAACGATACGCGTCTCCACGTTGGAATTCGACCCACCTCTCTAAGGTGATATATAATGCGTCACTCTCAGGGTTGAAAGAGCGTGAGAAAACATGTTGGCCATTCTCGCGTGGTTTGATCTTGATACCCTACGGACGTTAGGAAAGACTGACTATGCCAGGGGTTAAAGATTGACAATGCTTACATGTTTGCGGAACCAATCCAGCGCAACACCGCGAGCTTCATAGCTGACGTAGAAAAGAGGCACATCCAATTGGACATCATCGTTCAACTGTTCATGGCGGAACCACATTTCCGCCTCGCCTTTCTCTGGTATAATCTTATCAGGTTCTAGCCGCCAACATTCCTTTTTGAAGAAGAATACACTCGGCCCAGTGTGTTCCGGCAAAGCTTCGCGCCAAATTATGCAGCGAAGTTCCGGCGCAAGTTTGGGGAAGAGAAAGAATGCTGTCTCTGCCATGGTATTAAAGAGATAAGAACTTCAGTGTTTTTCCTGATATTAACACGCTACCATAGGTACCTATATAATGCCTTGATATAATGCCTTGATTAGTCGAAGATCTGTTGTAAGGTTGTTGTTTAAGATAATTTATAAGGCATAGATGCGTCAATGAATTGCTATTTGCAATATGGAGGGAAGACATATGAATGGAAGGTTCGATATAATTATACTATATAATACGCGTCAAGTGCCTACGGCATTGAATATCTCGGTAGTAATTACCTGATCAACTTACAGTCTTCACATCCTCAGCAGGAAATCAGTTCAAAGTATCGCCTCGAAGGATTATTTCCCCTTGCCCTTTCCCGAACTTCCTCTTCTCCGCTTCCCCCAAGTCCAATGCGCTTTCGGATTCTCAGCCAAAATTCTCATGGCCTTAGCGTCAGCCGCGTTCGGTCCGAACTCCCTTTCCAGAGCTTCTATTGCGGCCAGCGCGTACTTTTGAGCCTTCTCCTCTTCACCAAACAGTGCAAAGTTAAGTGCCGCCCGTGTGTACACTCGTCCGAGATAGACATCCAATCTTTCTTTTTCGTATAAATCTGCTAGCTGTGCCCCAGTGTCGGCAGTTACGATGGTCTGGTTGAAGTTCTCTAGGGCGGTTTCTAACTCTTCGATCCTCTGAAGCCTCGCATCTGAAGTAGCGACCTCTTCATTGCTCATGCTGCAGTGAGAACAAGCGCATTCAAATCCCCACTTGCGTAGGCGGGAACGACGTTCTTCTCGTGAGAGCATAAGTTCGATATAGCTGATGCTTAGTTCCTGACCGGGCTCTATATTACGCGCGGCGACTGTGATATGAGTCATATTAGAGATACGATAGTGAATACTACATGATAATATTCTTATTAGCCATTTGCAGGTTGAGGATTTGCTTCTGGAAACAGGCTTACTTTGGCCGACAGTCGTGATTGAATCGAGATATCTCCGGATAACACCCTAGGTGGCTACCCGAGTCGCTTGCCCCGTCGATGTACATTTGAAAGCAGTTTGTTTCTATTTTATCGTAGACGTCCTCGCCCATCTGGCCCATTAAAAGCTCTCGGCCTCTAGTGGGAAGTTTTCTTACGGCGATGTCATATAGAACATCCCTTGTCCCTGACTCCATTCCAACGTGGGGGGCGGTCTGCACCATCATCGTCGGGGAGCGTATGAGGATAGTTTCCCCTTTACGTATTTTTCTATCGGCAACAATACCAACGCCCTTTCCGGGCACCTCTGCCACGTGAAATGGTAATGTTGTCGCCCCATTATTGACCATGACTGGGAAATTGCTTGCAATCTTTGCATTTACTTCGCTGGTGACGAGTACGATGCCATCACCTATGTGTTCGTTTGAGAAGATGCATGTTTCGTTTACACAATGCTCAGGGCCCTCCCAATCTAAGTTGACCCCCGAGAGGTTTCTCAAAATTCGCTTCTGTCCCAATCCAGCACAGGTCCCGTCTTCTATTTTACTTAATGGGCTCCAGGGGCATATTGCACCCAGGGAACTTGCTCCGGCAACTGTCCCAAAAAGCGCCAGGTAGCCATAGAGTTCGATAACGCGCATGATCTTATATGGGAGAGTCTGGAAAGAATCGGGCAAGATTATAATAGTAGGTTAATATTACGCTCATCATTTTATCCTATATTCTAATGAGTAATCTCGGATATGCGAAGAAAAACCGTGTTCGTTTTGAGGGCGATCACAATAGGTCGTGATCATCGAAGATATTTCCTTCTCTTTGGCTATATACAGCTTTAACCGATTCACAATACAGGATTCGGAGATCACGCTACAACTCTCAAGCAAGAAGCTAATCCCTCGGCTACTCCTCTAGCTGTTACTTTCCTATAGCTAATTACCCTCCGTAGAGGTACTGATTATTGACTTGGCGAGTATTGTGACCTACTTTGGGCGTTATTTATATCATTTGCTCAGAGTCCAGCTCCTTCTCCTTAGCTACTGTCGTATGGTGGAATTTATTGTACTATCGCACTAGAACATTATCATCACTGTCCAGTTATTGTAACCTTTTGGAGAATCGTTGGTCGAGCTCGTGGAATAATGACCCATCGTGCATTGATGAGAGTACCTAGCCTAATTACACCACCACCATCATACCTGGCATTACTTGTTATAGACACTTGCCAACTGCCAAACACAAAATGACTTAGACCCCAGTTCCAAGACATCCAACTTGACATAATACCGCTCCCCAATCCCGACTACATAGCAATCAACGATGTTCGTCAAGAACCCTTATCCTGCCTCCCCAAGCTAAGCTTCTTCACCCAGCTCCAAGCCGACTTCTTAGGCTTCTTCTTGACCTCCCTGACGTTTCCGATCCCCAAGCGCTTGCACTGGCCCTTCGTCGCGAGGAAGCACTCGTCCCCCTCCCAGCAGCACATCCCCGGATACCACACCGCGGCGCTGTTGGTCAGGATCCGCAGCGTCTTGGACCCTTGCGTGCGCACCGCGACGTTGGTCCCCGTCAGGACTCGCTCGTCGTCGTCGAGCTGCATCTGCCCGTACAGCAGCACGATGATGCATTCGTCGGGCAGAGGCGCTGATACCTCGCACGGTCCTCCGTCGTGCGATTCCGTCTCCGAGTACGCCGGGGTGCTTTCCCACCCGAGCTGTAGCCACATTAGCCCTGGTATTTCTTTTTCTTTTCTTTTCTTTTCTTTTTTGCTTTCCCGTGTGGTGGCGAATAAAGCCCGAGACAAAACATACGTGAGCGGTGATGAACTTAGCTTTCTCAGCCAGCTCATCACGGCTGTTCAAGCCTTCGCGAAAAGCTTTCCTATCCGGAACGTCTGCTTTTCCTACGATCGTCATGTTTTCTCCTGTTCGAACTAGAGGCTAGCTAACTGGATGGCGGCAATGTTTTAAAATTAAAGATTGAGATGCACGAGCCGTGCTGGACTTTCTAGGGGCTTAGGCATCAGGCTGTAAAGAATACCCCGCCTGCGATGGCAATGATACTTCGCTGCATACTACGTAGTGTAACGAAACATGCCGGAATTCGGAGCAGGTAATGGTTGGATAAACAACTGTTCATAGGACTTTAACAACTGCGACACATGTCCTATTCTAATCGGTGCAGAACTGCGGTTGTTCGCGGAGGACTGCGGTGCACAAGGGAATGAAAGAGCCGAAGTATCACGAGCGAGAAGCAATTGCAAGCAATTGCGAAGTAATGGTATAATTATCACGTAAAGGTATATCAGCGCAGAAGATCCAGCATCTCTACAAACCCGCAAAACGCCTAATAGTCCTAGATCCGTATTCTAAAGCCCTCCTAAGACTTCCGCGACAAGACTCTCTAGCATCCGGAGGCCAAACCACTTCGCCACGCCTTGGTATACACCTAACCGCCTGACTACTTCACCCCTCTTAACGCTCTCCGTCCACGGACCGCTACATGTACAATGCTCCATGAGGTCATTCAACCGCACGCTGCCGCACCGCTCACACTTTAGGTCTTGCGTGCTCCACTCCACCACCATACTCTGCACATCCGCCAGTAACCTCTCCTCGATCTTCAGTTTGTCCAGCTCAGCATCGCAGAATGGACACTGCCAGGTCTTGGCTGCCGCTGCCCTCCGTATTTCCGCCTCGTTGTCACCGGCAAAGGCATTCAGATCCGGTAGTAGGTGTTCGTCGCGGCACAAGTCCCAGTCGCGGGCGAGGGTGCACTCGTGACAACTCCACTGTGCTACCTTGAGGCTCTCGCTCGGATTTGCGAACGCACCCTCTTTACTAAACTCGCGCACTTCGAATAGTGCGAGCAATTCTTTCCTTAGCAACCGCGCTTCCATGGTGATGTTCTTGTCTAGTGACAGGACTTGCATAAGGCTTTTTACGAGCTCAAGTACTGCATTGCGATTTTGCATGTTCTTCAAGTGGCTACCTGGTAGAACGGGGAATGACCAGTCCGACGCCAGTTCTGGGTGGAGGAGCTCACGAGCTTGGGTCGAGACGAGGGACCTGATCTCCTTCTTGAGTTGCTTTTCGAAATTCTTGCCGAGGATCACCTGCGAAATATCACCGTCGTCACCTTGAGAGCCGTTGCGCAACGGTAGCTGCGTCAGACGTGGTGTCGCATCGGGGTCCCCGTTTACCATCAAGGGGCGTTTAAGTCCGTGCATAAGTTGTATAAACTCGACAACCCAATGCTGGAACGTGTCTTGTAGTCGAAGAGGTAGGAAGGTCTTCATCTGCCAGTTCATAATAGTCTGCAGACTCTGCTGCTCGGCTTCGACAACTTCTTGACAAGCTTTCCCGCCGTAGTTAAACTCATCATACCACACCAGGTAGTCCCAATACTCTTTAATTTCGAGGTCAATGAAGTGAAATAGAGGTTTGCTCTTAATGCTCTTCAGGATGTATTGGCTGTATGCATATGCGTTGCCTACTTCTGACTTTGTTGTCTGTAAAAGTAGTCGATTGGAATTCGCAAACACAACTTGCGAACCGACCCGACGGAAGTCTGCCATAAGCTGCAGCATGGCTTTGCGACTCATCATCTGCACATAGTACTGCAACGCTCGGTCGTACATGAAAGAGTCGGGAGACTCGACCCATCGTACTAGATGCTGGACGAGAATATCGGCCATAGGACTACCCTTGCATGCTTCCGCCCACCAGGACTTGACCATCTCACGTAGTACAAGTACTCCGGCATTGGCAAACGCTGATTCAGAATGCAAAACCTCGTTGCCATCTGATGGTGCAGCATCAGCGGCGGGGTTAAAAGAGATTGAATCTGCGCCTTCGAGTTCGTTGATTAGAGCTGATGTGAGTATAGTATTAATAGCCAGATTCCGAACTTCGATATCGATACAAACTGATGCATATGTCCCGGGGGTATTGATTGAGGGCATCGTAACCGTGTCGAGCAGACCCGTCACATCATCTTGCTCATAGCCGGCGTGATCTGGCCTAGGGCCCGGTGACCACCACAGCACCACGTTATTTAACTGTAGCCGGCGAGCGTATGCAACGTCGATGAGGAACCTCGGATCGTCGCGCTCCAAGTTACATAAGGGTATGTCGCCATACCTTGCTAGAGCTGTGAGGTGAAGAATCCACGACCCAAGATTAAGGTAGTGAGAAACAAGACGTTTGGCGACAACGGATTGCCAGCCAAGAGGCGGAAGAGAGCTATCTGCCTGGTCGTATCGAAGAGGAAGGATAGGGAACTCTGCGAGGGTAGGGATATCGTGAACTAGCAGGCTTTGCTGAGATGACTGAATGACAAGCATGAGAGGCTTCAACTCATCCTTCTTCATCTTCTTGATTAGATCACTAATCTCGAGGTGCGCCTTGCGTCGCGTTGTTACCTGAGTTACTTTGAACGTTAGTTTCTCCTGGTAGGCAAAGCATTCTTGCCAATTGCTACCCTCCCCTTCTTGTCGCCTCTTTGTAAACATCTCACTATAGATCTTCGTAACGTTAGGCAGGTCTTGCCCGGAATCCCTGTTCTTCTGAAGGATCACTATATGAGCTTCGTCCCTAGTCGAAGAGAATACGCCGAAGATCTGCCTCTCTCCCGCAGTGATATGTGATATGTAGAGGTACGCAAGTGGACTAGAGTCCAGGTAAGCCTTGGGTTTTGTCGGCTTTATTAAACTCTTAAGATCGAAACCTTGATCTAAGCCATTTCCGAGTACACCGGGCTGGCTCTCGTCAATGGTACACGAGTTGCCAAGTTGGAGCACCGCTCGAACGTTTAATGGGATCTGCTTTTCATATACGCCTTCTACACTCGGGTGGTTGAACAGCAATGAAAACTTCTGGGACTCGGCAAAGTAAATATCCTCAGGTACGGTGATTTTGAACAAGTGTGTTGACGAGTGTCCATTTGGTAAGGTGTGATAGACTTGCTCTACTTCGCAACCCTGAACTTCGATGTCGGGGAGGTCCTTGCCCTTGAGGTTTAGGAAAACCTGCCGTGAGACCTTGATCTTAAGCGAGTGAATCTTTGCGTCGATTAAGACGAAGGCAGCTACTACGCCTGGATTATCAGTTGCTCGGAGCTGAAGTAATTGCCACGTATTCCTGAACGTAACTTCTGCTCTCTGGCGAAATGTCTGTTGGATGTTGCCGCTCGCATTGCCACGGCGGTCTCCAAAGAGGTGGCGCCGGCGGATTCGAGCCTGCTTTTGGATCTTCCACTTTTTCTTTTGGTATTCCAAAAAAGCTGGGTAGTCATCAGATGGATTTGGCATCTCCTTCGGGAGGGCCGCAAAAGGATCCGTATTCTCCTTTTCTGGTTCGGGGGATTTTCGCTTCGTCGCCGTTGGCGGGGGTTGGGATGCGTTGATGGCTGCAGTTATACTCTTCGGCTTTAGTAGCTTGGCCCCGAAATCTTCGAGATCATCCACCCTCGAACCTGTAAGATTTGTTATATCCTCTAGAGGTCCCTTAGTGCTTGCGAAGAGGTCGGTCAACTTTTTCTGCTTCATCTTGTCATCTTTGATATTGATCCGCCGCTGAAGCCAGTCCGGGTGTGCCACTCGCGGGACTGGGTTACGAACTTTCTGTAACGCGGCAGGAATGGTGATCAACTTTTGGATAACAGAACCCAATCGTTCTAAATAGTAACCCCAGTCTAAAAGCGCCCTGGGGTCGGTATCGGAGGGTTCTTCCTTAAGCCACTTTGTTAAGTATGTTCGCTTGATGTCCGGTGCGGCGGAGAAGATGGCGACTGGGACAGCTCGATCGGTAACAGGAGCATTTCGAGGTTTAGCACAAATAATATACTTGCAATTGAGACCCTTATCTTTGACCATCTGCTCGCCTAAGAACTCTGCCAACCGTTTTGCCGTCGTGATAGATGTGGACTTTTGACTTCCATATTCCTCGAGCGTCTTGGACATGCTTCTGTTTTCGCAAATGAGATCAATGAGTTCCTCATCAGCTAGTGTCGAGCCCTTATTATCAAGAACGTCTAGCCATCTGTTTGCCACTTTTGCTACTGCAGCGTAACACTCTGTGAGGGTAGTTCCCTCTAAGAAGAATTTGAAGATTTGCTGCTGGAAGATCTTAATAAGCTTGAGTTCACCTCTTCGCTTCACCTCGAATCCTTTGAGCTCAGCCAGACTACCGTCGTCATTAAAAACGGCATATCTTTTTTTCAAATTCTTGTCTTCTTCTTTTGATGTCGGCAAAACCATCGCCTTGTAGGGTCCGTCAACTTCGAAGAAAATTGAATTATCGCTGTGCGTTTCATATTTAAACGTTTTTGGATCAACCAAAGTCTGATATTGGTGATTCGTGAATTTGGCGTGGACAAGATGGTTTAACATGACGCAAGGATATGAAATAGCACATTTCTTGCCGTTCTTAAGTTTAAAGACGAAGTTTTCTGGGAATGTCGCAGGCAACATACACCAAATACCGTCGGTATCTAATTCAAGCGGTCGGCCAAGGCGTTCGACAAGAGATCGTGCCAACTGAATGATCGTTGCGCCAGTTAAACACGTCACACCGGCCATTTCCATAGAGTACCATCTCGAACCCTTTCGCATGACATAACCGTAGAATGAGTTCAAAATGACCTTGTGCGCGAGTTGTAGAGAGTCGTAAAGGACAATCATTTTCTTCGCGGAGTCAACCTCTGTGCTTGGTGCTCCGGAAGACTTTAGGGACTCGGTCTTGCCTTTCCAGACTTTCGCTTGTCCTTTATAATCGTATCGACGATCTCTGAAATCTCTGACTGTGTCGATATAGAAAGGATTTTCTCGTTGACAAATAATCGCCTCCCGGACAATAGTGGTCGACTCACGGATCTTGTGGTAGACCTTTTGACTATACATCTGCAACCGTTTCCTGATGAGACCAGCCTGTTCATCTTCTGGCAACTCCTGAAATGTTCGCATAGGTCCGCCAGGTCGTTTACCTGGGAATTTCTCGTTTTCAAGCGCATGCCGAATCATATTGTACTCGTCTCGTTTCGCAGGTAGATACTCGCCTCTCCAAGCCCAGGGTAACCTCCTATCGCAAGTTTTACCTGGGCGGTTGAAATCGCAGGCAGCGCAGTCCGACTCCTGAATCATTGAGTCCGGCTGCAATCGATTTGTTGTCATAATGTTAGGATACATAGAGGCAACATCTAAGTGGTAAATTAGAGGTCGCTCGTTTCGGTTGGGTGTCTCTTTGAGTTGTAACAACCGCGATGCAATCTGCTCTTTAACTTCGTCGTAGTTGGTGACATCATCCAGAGACTTCTTTTCTTCGATTTCGATCACGAATTTAAGAGCCGCATCTAAATCCCCGAGGAGCTCGTCAACCGCACCGGGGTCAACAGCAAAATTCACCGGAATATCTGCTCGAAATACACCCGCCTCGATACTTTCGACGTGGCCGCCGACATAAGTTTCGGCATCAAGTAAATGCCCATCCCAAAATGACTCTTTGGGTGACATGTGCTTATTTGGTAGGATGATTTCGTGCTTATATGCTTGCACCATCAACAACATCTCACACAAGGTACCTGTTCCTTTGCGTAATACGTCATCGCCTCCCAGGGGTAGAATCGTACACAGCGAGAAGATAAATGGGTGGATATACTTCATGTATAGGTAGTACGTAGCGACGGCATCTGAAACTGAATACTCTGCTAGAGTCTGAGGTCTCTCGTTTGCGTATGGTGTCATAAGCTCCGGATCGAGTTCGTCTGGATCGTATCCAAGCTTGGCAACAGTAACAGCCTTCAAACCTCGACTACCCTGGGGCAAGTAAGAATCTCGGTTGACCCACGCTAGACAGTCCATATGGACGCCGTAGGTGCACTTGTAGATGTCTTCACTATCTTTCTTCCATCCAATCTCTCGATACATATCGATACCGTTAACGCTTGCTCTCGTTTCCACAAACGGCCAATCGAAAAAGTCTCCGTTATACGTGGCGATGACGGTCGGTCTCGCTTCTTTGACGTGTGAGAAAAACCTCTCGATAACAGCTTTCTCATTAGGCTCGTTAAAAATCATAAATGCTCCAGGGTATTCGGGTTTTGGGGTGTATTCGAAATCCGCAATATCCTCCGAGACGATCTCCCGATTTGTGATGAGGAAACCTTGCCCATCGATCATGTACGACATCATCATGATCTGATCTATGGCGGCGTCGGGAAATTTGAGGGGGGCCTTCGTCGTCTCGATATCGAAGGCCATCACTACGGGGTCGGCTTGAACTATGTGTTCCTCATTAAGCGTTATAGTGGTAATGCCATGCTTTACTTCCACCCAATACCACTTTCCTACCCGAATATCTGGCATTCTCATTAACATGATATAATAACGGAAGTTGGTGATATACACTCACCCATATCTATCATTACTCTTACGTGGTACGGCACATCGTATTCTCTAATATCGACAATGTAGTCGCTAGCGTCCGCAAATGAAGCATTATGTCGTCCGTCGTCATCTCGTGAATCATCAAATAGGTCGAATCCCGCTTGTTCGCTATATTTTATGTTAATATCTAGACGTTTGAGTAAGATTCTTCTGGGAATAGGGAGACCAACGAAGCAACCTCTGCATAAACATCCACCGTGCCCATAGATTTCTTATTCTTCTCCGCTATAGGCATTATATCCCGCCTTGCACTCATTAAATCTGGTACGTTCCTAAACCGTAACTCGAGGAATGTCCTTCTATATCCGAGAAGGTGGTTCGGCATAGACAGGTCTTCCTTCTCGACTCGTCTAATACTGTGTACGACACCGCCGCCCGGCACTCGTTTAAGCCATTCCTCGACTTCGCCCTCTCTTCCTTTTCGGCACGCAATGACGAAGTATGGTTCGTATTCGATAGTTGCCTTGAACGTCTGTCCGTCTTCCTCGATAAAATAGCAGTCTAATGCCGCTCTCCCATCAGGGGCTCGATCGTCGCCAAGTGCTACGGTTGTCGGTTGGACGTTGACAAGCCATCCCTCTTTTCTTCTTCCTGACTCGTATCTAGCAAACCCCATAGACTCGTCAATTTGCTGCGCAAGGAGTGTCCGCTCCGCTTTCTCGTCGGCTGATGTAGCCTCGTTGCGTGTAGTTGACGCAGCAAATGTTCGAGTCCGACTGCCACCATGGTAGGCATTCTTGCCTCCCCGCCGAGCATAGCCCTTTTGAGGGCGGCGTAGAGATGTGTTGGGCATATTAGAATAGGTAGGAGAATAATGGTCTTAATTATGGCCTAGTGCAAAAGTTGAAGGAATTGTCGATTATGGCGACGGTTTTGTTATAATGCAGGGTATTTTGGGCGTCATTTGCGACGGTAGGGTTTAACTGAGATAACCAATCCAATTGAGATCCCGATAATTACCTTGTTAAAGTAGTTGATGTTCCAGTCTTTAGGTTTGCTATTCGGTATAGTTGTTGTACCTAAAAGAATCTATAATCGATATGGATTGGGCTACAAAACCCCTGTTCCATTAAACGCGAGACGCGTCTTTGCATAATATATGTACGCGTTTTATGTACTACCATTGTCGCGTTCCTTAAAGTGCCCCTATATATGCATAATAGCACTCAATTCGTTTTACTCGGTTAGATCAATATTCCCATTGGGCCCTCTGCATAGCAGCGTCATAGCTCCAAATCGCGATTTTTGTAGTCACAAAATACCGAACCGTAGAAATTCAAGCTTAGTATTTTCAGCGCCAGTGATGGCGCAACACGACAACGAGTCTTCAAGGGTGCGAGGCCCTCCACCTGGGGCAACAGGTCCTCCTGACCACGTTAAGAAACCGCAGATCTACGAAATATTCCCCAGTTCAAACCCCGAAGGCCATACGGGCGAATCCAAGGAGGGGCAAAAGAGCACTCCTGAACCCACAATCAAGGACGGGATCCAGTCCATCAAATCCGACGATTTCCTCAATGTACATAAAATCCCGTGTGCCCGCCAGGGCCTTATGACGGGCATCGGATCGGGTGCGGTAGTAGGAATGGGTCGATATATTGTAGGAGGTACCTAAGCGTACCACTTGTGAGTTCAAAGTGTGCTTAGACTAATTATGTCCTCCAGGGACGATACCAAAAGCAACAAACTGGGCTTTTGGTGCATTTTTCTTGGGCTCCATAATTCAATGGGAATACTGCCGTGCGCAACGAGCGAACGAGCGCATAGCCATGGCGCGCATAGTTGAGGTCATGGATAAAAAGCAAGCCGAGAAAAAGGTGCAAGCTGAAGAAGCTGCAAGGTTAAAATTGGAAGCAGAAAAAGCAAGGCAAGACGCTGCTACAAAGAAAAGCTGGTATAAATTTTGGTGATTTCGGTCGACTTGCCGACGTTATAACAAAAATAAGGAATCGCTACTGTACTATAGAAATTCAGGGTATGTCGCTTCTATCTATATGCTATCCTTCGAAACCCATAAATCACTTATCAACATTGACGCTTTCGACAGTCTTGGCTCTGTTGGTGTGACCTATAGAGATACCGAATCCGAAGCTATATAGTTTTAGGTTATTTCGCAAAAGCATAAAGAAAGTCGAATAGGGTTCAAATAGATAAAGGCAGCCTTGCCATCATGTCGGCCATTTATGGCTATAAATCCGCGCCAGAGCCATCCAACGCCCTATTAATTAAATCATTGCCGGTTATATCCACTCAACACCCCAAGTCCAGAATGATCGTATTGAAATCCAAGCGGTGGCAGACATATGCTGGCATCAAGTCGTAACTACAGTAGTCGGTTCTGCATCCGAGAAACGCACTCGTGCCATGGAATGTTTCCTCTCTAATTCCGCGACATTGCCAATCCGTTGTCGACGACGTTGACTTCTCTTCGCTCTAGCTTCGCTCTCCTCGCGTTTTCTATATTCGGCCAATTGCTGTCTTCGTTTCTGCGCCCGCGCGTATGCTAAAGCAGGAGTCGGCCTGAAGCCGATACCATTGATACCGGTACCGTCATCATCTTTATCCTCAGGGTCATATATAGTGATTTCATCCTCATGCCACGTAAGCGCGGCACGGACGGGGTCAATGATGATAGGATCCTCCTCGGTCAGGGCTTCTGTCGTCTTACGTTTCGCTAAGGGAGGGGTGCCCGATCGTTTTCGAATACGCGACTTAGATTCCGATAATCGGTTGATGGACGGATACGACTTCTGCAGGCGGCCTGAACCTTCTGTCTTTGCTGTCCTCAAAATAGCAGGATCCACGGCTGTCTGCAAAGAAAATCGAGGGGACTGGGTAGGCTGGGGGAAGTCGGGATTTGTTACGTCTACTTCTCCCCCCAACCCTGCCTCATGAGAATTTTGGAGTTCGGTGAGGTCAGGCAACTTGACACGCTTACGCGACGCAGTATCGTCATCGTCAAGCTGCATATCTTCGACGGACGTGCTACTTTTGATACCTCCATCAAAATCGAAGACGGTGAGCTCTGGCGAAAACCTCGGGCTATCAATTGCAAATTGGGGACTAGCCTCGTCTGATCCCGTCCCCGTTCTCGTTTCCATAAAATCAGTGCCATCGACCCTGTCGTTATCAATTACCCCGCCCCCACTTCCAAGGGCCAGTTCTTGGAACTTCTGAGCAACCTTGGTTCGAGGACTACTGTTACCATCTTCAGGAGTATAGTCTCGAGGATTCTCCACTGGTTTCAGGGTCGGAGCTTGAAAAGAGAAGGTGGTCTTAGGCAGACTATAAGTATTTGGAGAAGGGTTGAAAACGCGTCGCTCATTGAGCACATCGTCGCGCTTGCGTTTAGGGGTAGCTTTTAGCGGTGACGATTCGGCCATGGTTCGTCTAGCCCTTTACTTTGCGAATTCCAAAGTAACTGGGTGCCTATGAAGCTCTAAAGGAGAGCTTGCAAGACCTAGAGCTGACCGTCCATTAGTGTATTATTTTCGTATATAATCGGAGAAATTTAGTTAGGCATCTTGGGGTTGGGTTGTCTATGTATTCCTTGGAATCGGGATCGGAAATGATAGATAATGAATAACAGATAATCGTTTTTGAATATTGGGTAGACAAGTGTGAATCAGGAGGGTTAGCGAGGCCGGTGAGTTGGTTGAACAACTAGGTATCTTAGGTAAGGTTAGGTATCCAATGATCCAATGTACGGTAAGCATTTAAGCATTGGACGGCACCTGCAGCCGGATATAGGGTAGGTAGATTACGTAGGTACTTCCACGTGGGCATTAAGAAAATAGATGGCCACGCAGGTGCAGATGTACCAGGTGCCAACGCGGGTGTTTTAGCTTGCCCTTTCCTGCCTAATGAGAAGAAAGACGCCATAAGGCTAAGACAATGATTGGCCCAAAATATTCTTTGCCCAGACGACAGGTACTATGTACTTCCAATAAGCACCCTAGGCAGTCTTCAACATTGCCTGGCATTTAAAGGATGAGACATTCTTGTGGATTCGAACACAGTTCAAATGCCCACATCAATGCATCTTTAACACAGGTAGTTGCATTCTTTACGCTGCCGAATGCTTGTATATAGTATACACAATATCTTTGGTTGAATCGTCTCAAGATCTCATTCCAAATGCGATAGATAAGGCATGTAAATAAAGGTTATATCCCATTAACCCCCAACCAGTTTAATCGGGAATTTGGCTCTGGGCTGCTCTCTATTACCTCCGTACATGGGTGTACGTAGGTACCTAGATTAGGTTAGGTTAGGTACATATGCACATCTATGATACCCACGTATTGCAAATCCGGTTGTACGGGTCAGAATAACGTAAAAAAAGGTAGCGCACCTACCAGCATAATTGTTAGTAGACTGCGCCAGTTAGGTATTTTGACGCTATGATAACGTAGAAAAATAAAGAAACCGCGACTTACCTAGGTGGAATGATGAGGTAAAACGGAGTCGTATAATCCGCTTTGTACGACCGTGTACGACCGTGTACGACCGACCTAATTACCCCGCCATATGTACATGACATAAGGTACTATGATGTAGGTACCTAGTGTAGGTCATTGTACATACCTTGTAAGTTAAGGGATGGCTTGGAAACTCTCCCCACACTTGTCACTTGTCTCGTGAACATCGTATATAGCCTGAATACCAATGCTCTCGCTATTGAGGCTGAGTATTCTAATTGATTTCCCATATCTAGCAGCCATCCCGCCCTGAGTCTAAAAGTCTATTTCGAGCCTCCAGTTAACCCCCACATCCCGCCAATTCATATTAGCATCAGTGACAACTTGACAACTATAGCAAACACCACCATGGCCGACGAGATCTCATTCCTGCCACTCGGCGCTATCATCCAATCTTTTAAGGTTGGTGGCCTCGACATTGTCCAAGGCTTCCCGGCCCAAGAGCTTTATGCCGAGCACAATAGCCCGCACTTTGGTGCCACAATTGGCCGTGTCGCAAACCGCATTTCCGGTGCCAAGGTCGAGGGATTGAACGGAGGAAAGTCGTATAGCTTCGTTGCTAACAACGGACCGAATACCCTGCACGGTGGAAATGTGGGCTGGGGCAAGCGAGTATGGAAGGGTCCGACCCCGGTGGGCGTCCGCAAGAACATTCCCGGAATCGAGGGCGAGCTTAAGGGTGGAGAGACCGTCGAGTTCTCGCTTACAAGTGAGGACGGGGATGAGGGGTTCCCCGGTGAGGTTCTGGCCAAAGTGTTCTATACGGCCGGCAAGGTCACCGAAAACGGAAAAGAAGTCATAGTTCTTAGCCAGGAATACGAGGCTGAGCTGGTAGGAGGTGCGGAGGAAACTATCATCAACATGACAAACCATTCGTATGATCACCTGGATCCCTACGGGTACGGGCAACAATGCATTTTACTGATATGAATAGGTACTTTAACCTCTCGGGCAACCCAACCATCGAGGGAACTGTGGTCCAACTTTGTACCAATTCATATCTCCCTCTCGATGAGTGGGGTATCCCAACTACCGGACCAACTGCGTACTCCAAAGTCGCAACGGCGACTCCTTTCACCCTCGGTGCCCAGGAGCCAGATTTCGACGACTGTTTCGTCGTCGATCCTGCCGCTTCTCCCAGCTCTGTACCGATAGACACACGAGGTCTTCCTCTAACTAAACTCGTTTCCGCTCATCACCCAGAGAGCAAGATCCACCTAGAGGTTCTCAGCACGGAGCCCGCGTTCCAATTCTATACCGGCAAGTGGATTGATGTGCCGGCTGTAGGCGGGGCTCCCGCGCGCGGGTCGCGCAGCGGTTTCTGCGTGGAGCCTAGTCGGTTTGTGAATGCTATTAACGTCGATGATTGGCGGAGCCAGCAGCTTCTCAAGAAGGGTGAGAAATACGGAGCCCGGATCGTGTATAAGGCATGGAAAGAGTAATCAGCACTCTGATGGTGAGGGATAACAAGAAGTTATTAGAAGACATGGGCCGCTTATATGTGCTATATTAACTACTCAAATCTAATCGAACATCTACAACTCTTCTTCGTCGCCTTCCTCAACCTCCTCCGTAGCTGGCGCCTTAGCCTCCTGTTTTCTATATAATGCAGCCAGAAACTCGCTACTGCTAGCTTCTTCTAACCCTTTATCCTCGCGCTTTTTGAGAAAGCGCGGGAATCGTAAACTGAGCCCTCGATCCTGGCTCACTAGTCCAATAGCCGCAGTGTACGTCGGCGACAATGTAATGTCGGCAAACGCCATCTCCCACACCTCCTGAGGTTCGAACCAGATATCCGGCTCGGGACCCGAGTACTCTACGAAGCTAGGCTTCGTCTTGCGGACATTTTTATATTTCCTCCCGTCATTCTCATCCGCCTCGTCATTGCCCTTATCTTCTTCCTCCTCGCCCTCCCTAGCGCCATTGGAATCCGATTGTTCTTCGCCGGAACCGTCGTCATAGAATTTCCTATTCGCCTTGTAGAAGGCATCCGTAAACCCGGACATACATTTACACACGACATCCAGGGTCCCTGTTGCGTCGTTACGAACCGCCATTAGTATAGGCGACCACCATTTCGCCTTCCGGCCTTGACCATGCCATCCAGCTACCGGTACAAGATCTAGTGTGTCAAACGAACTGCTATAGTCCTTTTTCACCTTAAGCCACGAGTCGAGGCGCTTATCAGGTTCGTAAGTAGCAAGTAGTGGTTTCCGGCGTGAAGATGGCTTCTTTTCGTGGTCACCGTTGCTAACTCCCTTCCCTTTGCCCTTTTTCCCTTTCGACTTCGTTGGTAAAGTGAAGGTTTCGCTTTCTTCTAAATCTTCCGCCGGCCGGTTGGGATCCTCTGAGGCGTCTCTGGGAGCGGGCAGGTTGGGCAGGTTGTCAAGAATCTTAACCATGATGCCCTCACATTTATTCTCTATGGCCTGCTTGAAGAATTCCAGCACACCTTCGGAGTCCTGCGACGTAGCGTCGAGGCTCTTCACCCAGGTAAAGTGGTGCGGTATTTCCGTAAATAGAGATCGTAGTAGCGTACGTCGCTCGCGGAACGGCCGGTCTAGAAGCGGTTGCCCGTTCAAGTACATTAAGTCGAACGCGAATAGGCAGACGTCGATTGTGATGCTCCCAATTGCCACGTCCTTCCGGGCTCGGTTCGTGAGCGTTTGAAAGTTCTTTAATTCCCCTGTTTGACGATCCATCGCAACCACTTCACCCTCCATGATAAAACTGTCGACGCCCTCCCCACGCAGCTTTGGCACTAATTCGACGAGGTCTGGGTATTTGTCGGTCATGACCTCCAGATGCCGGGAAAATATTGATACCTTGCCCTTATCATCACAGTGGACCTGCGCTCGTTGGCCATCGTATTTGAACTCGCAGGCGAAATCTCTCCCTTGTAACTTCGTAAGCATCTCGGATAGATCCCTTGTAATACTCCCCAGCATTGGCCTTAAAGGTATATGTAACGTCAGATCGCACCTTAGTAACAACTCATCACACACTCCTATTTGGAGCATAGCAGGGATAAGATCGTTATAGTTGGGGCGCCTTGCGAAACATGCTTTAACGATCTCCTCGGCCCTACTCCACACGTCCGCGAGTTCCTCCTTTTTTAATGCCTTAAGCGCGTCGACGGATTTCAATGGAAACTCCGCGCCAAGGGGTCTAGAAAGGAGAAACGCGCGCGATAGAGCGATTAACATTGTGGTTTTCACAGCGCCAATCCGTAGATGTTGGCATAACGTACGGACGACATATCGACTCTCCTCGCCACCCCGAGCATCTTGTAGCAATCTGTCCACGATACGCTGTTTTACCTCGCCGCTGCCCTGTCCCTGGCTACTAGCTACTTTTACTAGAGACTGATAGACGCCTTTAATCGTAAGAGGCTTTGGCTTCCGTAGCGTGAAGCTCTGTTTCTTCTTCGCTTCGAAGGCAACGTCACCCGCATCGCCGTATTTATCATAAATTGCCTTCAGAGATCGACCGTCTAAGCCGCAGACATTTTTCAAGGCCTTCGAAATCGCCGAGCCTCCTAATCCGAGTTCCAGGGAGATATAAGGTGGCGATATTGAGTTTGTGGCAAGCCAGACCTACTTACTGTAATTAGTAGGACATATAAACATAGAGAATAAACATGTAACTAACAGCTGGTAGCAAGCTCTCGGAATCCCCTTCTACAAGGACGCGTAGGCAATTAACAAGGGTGTCTACTATCTTAATTCGGCTAGATGTGTTGTTGATAAGTACGAAACAGCGCGTCAAAAGTGCGTATGACGCATCACCACCATCGCTGGCCCAATGTTCCTGAAGCTGTGGTATGTACTTCGAAGGGTCGAATGTAAGAGGACTCTCGTCAAATGGTATGGTCTCTGAAACTATGTCCACGGAAGCTGTAACAGATTGTAGCGACAGCGTGCCTTTGCCCTTATTTTCAGCCTTCTTTGCTCCTACTAAAGGATCCGAGGATGCTGGTGGAACATCAATAGCTTTAGCGAAATTGTCCGATCTAGGCGGATCGAGGACCGCTGCTACGGCTGAAGATCCGGAGGCGTGCCCCACAGCTTCGGCCTCCTTATCCCATTCAGCCTGGAGCTTCCGCGCGAGCTCCTCGTCCGTCATCACCTGATCCCGCATAGGACCTTCATCGCTCGGTGTTTTATCCTCTGGTGTTTGATCATTAGGGCTTTTACTTTGCGTCTGCTTCGAGAAAAAATACTCCAGACCCCTTGAAGGTAAACCAGATGATTTCGAGTTGCCACTATTTAGCTTCCGCTTTTTCGTTGGACTAGGCATCCCAATCTCGAATCCGTAACGAAACACTTTCTGGGTATGGATAAAAGCACCATTTGCCTATTAGATGATATCTTGTTCATCCAATGGGCTCGACGCGCTTTCCTCGCATTCCGTAGTATGATCTAGTCGATCATAAGAAAATATTGATGATGTCGTTGACAAGTACCGGTAGCATCGTTGTTTTGCATTTGTAATAAAACATTCAATTATACGAGAAATGCATCCTTCGAGGTGGAACGCGGGTTACGTAAGACGTCAGCATGGGATTGTGGCGCGCATTAGACTTCCAAGTCATTTTCTACTTTTGGTAATTCTCTTTTATCCGTGCGCAAATAGGCGACGACACTCAAATCAACAAATCTAGAAAACCACGCTTTGATCTTTAAATGAATTAAATGAAACAAGCTGTCGTACCGTAAAAACTCATCCTAATACAGCCAGTCGGAGATACAAATCGGGTCCTACCATCGGTAGACCAAGAGGGGCCTTGCTCAAGAGTAACGCACGACCAGATCCCAACAGAAAATAAAAATCATCCCCAGTTTGTGGTTAGGGTTATCTCATGTTTGTAACGTTCAAAATCCTTACCATTATAGTGCGGCGAGTTCATCTGCTGGGCCGACGATGAAGGAATATATACGGACAATCCAAGATGTAATTGCAAAAAAGGGTAGCGAAAACATCACGAGTGAGAACGCCGTAACCCCACGAGGGCGTGTAGTGATTGGTGCTTAGTTTTTCTGTTGTTGTGGTTAAGTGTGAGAATGGAGAGAAGATTTGCTGGAAGGGTGAGTTGCTGAAGCGCGGTCTTATATGTGTAATTTTGAGCAACGCGACTGCTTAACGTTAATTCTATTCTTGCTTGAGGAGATGGTTAAGTTCTTTTCATTGAGGATGGTGCAGGTGGTAGTTGTTCGTTTATATAAGTAAGTGTCTACCCTCTATCATACAGGACCTACCGGCTTAGTGTAATTTTGAGCAACGAGACTGCTTAACCCTAATTCTATTCTTGCTTGAGGTTGTTTCATAGGATAGTGCAGGTGGTAGTTATTCGTTTATAAATAAGGTCTACCCTCTATCAGACCATCCTTTCATCGTTAACAGTTTGTTGAAATTATCAATTATTTTGCCTTTGATAATGTCGACATATCTATGCTTAATCATTAAGCATGTAGACGTACTAACCATTCTTTCACCGTTAACAGTGCCAATCTTTTATGCTACTTGCAGTTTTTATTTACTTGATGTTTCTTTTCCAGAATCCTGGTCGTAGCTAACTTCTTACCTTATGCTTTTGCCAGTAGAGTCATGGGAAAGTTTATCTTTACGCATGGCACCTCCAGTTTTTACTTCCTTGAAACTAACCCGTACGTAACTTCTTACCTTTACAACTACAAGACTTCACAATCTTCATCGAGGATGGTGCAGGTAGTAGTTGTTTTCATCGAGAATGGTGCAGGTGGTACTCTATCATAGCAGGACCTACGAACCATCCTTTCACCGTTAAGAATCCTGGTCGTAGCTAACTTCTTACCTTATGCTTTTGCCAGTAGAGTCATGGGAAAGTTTATCTTTACGCATGGCACCTCCAGTTTTTACTTC